CTCTCATCCTCCTCCTTCGAACCAAAACCTCCTGACCCGATGGCCAAAGACTTTTAGCAAGCCTCACAATGTCTGTAAAACATAGATCGTTCCTTCTAGCATGTTATCAGAGTCTGATCCGGTTTGTCCACTCCCACCCCCTTCATTCAAGAACACCTTTCTCGATCAAACATCTGGATAGTTCCCTTTCTGACTACTGCTTTAGATGAAGTCCGATCGAGCGCCGTTGAACATCATTTTGCGCAAGGTCGACATCGTGGTAACTACGCCACTCAACCTGCCTGAGATGTTGCGAGGGAGTTCTACCCTAAATTCCTCGTCATTGATGAGGCTACCTTCTATCGAGACCCTTCAAAGGTTCCACGCCTTGGCCAAACTACCGCAGGTCACGAGCATTCATCTGGTCGGTGATCACAACCAACTGGCAGCATTGTGCTTTGCACCCCAGGGTTGAGAGGCATGGAACAATTCGGCTTTTGAGAGGCTCATCAACAAAGACTACAACGTCTGCAGTCTAAACCTCCAATATCGCAGTCAGAAAGCAATATACGACGCGACTTCCAAGATATTCTACGACGGTGAAGTGGAGCGTTATGGCCTCCCGCGCGGATTGGGCGGGAATCTCACGGCTTCTCTAATCACCCGCACCGGTGGGATGACATCGCTGCGTGATGGCAGACGGGTCCGGTTCTCGACACATGAAACAACTCGGCCTTTGGGAGACTGATCGAAAAAGCCCACGAGGCCTGCACACTGAACATCCAATATCAAAGCCAGAAAGTAATCTACGAAGCGACATCGAAGATATTCTACGAGCAGAGAGTTGAGAGCTTCGGTCTCCAGCGGAAATGAGGCGGCAATTCATGGCCTCTCGAATCACCGCCCAAGTGAGATGACATCCCTGTGTGATGGCAAACGACCCATCGTCGTGAGGTGTGGAACAATTCGGCCCTTGAAAGACTGATCAGAAAAGACTGTCAGACTTCCGCAGCTGATGTGTGGTAGAAGCAAGAGCACATGTACGGGGCCAGATGCAAAGAAGGGAGCAGTTCAGAGCTTCCCTCTCCGCGCACATGGGGAGGCAACATTGCTGCCTCACCCATCACCGTCCGCTTCAATCAAAATTGCTGGCTTATCAAGCAAGATATCGGATTCCTAGATATCGACGCGCAGGCGCAGCGAGACGCGTCCTCGTTATGGTTCAACCTGACGGAGGCCCGTCTCGCCGTAGACCTGGCAATGACGCTCTCGGCCAGACGGATTGATGTTCTAATCCTGACGCCGTATAATGCCCAGGTCGCCAAAATTAAAGCCGATCTCGCCAATCGCTACCACAACGCGACAAGAAAGCCGCGCATACTTACGGTTGACTCATCACAGGGTACCGAGGCAGAGTGTGTGATTGTTTCTCTGTCAATTTCTCTGTCAAGGAACGTTAACACACCAGGATTCCTAAGGTCCAAGCGGCGCGTCAATGTAATGACGTCGAGGGCGAGGCAATTGGTGTTTTACCTGGGTAAGTGGTCGTATATTCAAAGCGCCACTCTACAGCAATCGTCACGAACGCTGTTCGGTATGCTTGATCACTACTCGAAGCATGTCCCACGCTTCGTGATCGACCCCTCCTAGTCGCCTTGCTTGTCGTTAGAAATGTGCCGTCATCTGATCTGGACAATCGATCTTTTGCGGCTGTTGGCCATGCATCTCTTTCTTGGGAATTCTGTTAGATCTGGTCTCCTCTTAGGATTGGGTTATTGCGTTAGCAGTCGCAGCCACGACGCTCTATTTCAATCTTTCGATGGACAAGTTGATGGTAATCGAGCTACAGTCGCATTTTCCAGCGCATTACACCTAGATAGATGATAGTCATTGTCTATCCCTTGACGCCTAAGGACCCTAACGTATAACAGATGGTACACGATCGACAATGTTCTTTAGCATAGCTACAGACATCGCACTGGCAGATTTTGATTATGATATTTCTGCTATGCAAATTTGTGTACGATCGGGATCGCCGCGGAAGGGTGAAGTTGCCGCTACAAGTATGTCACTGCCGTTGTCGGCACGACATTGACGTGAGTCCAATGCTGCCATCAAACAACCCTGCTGCCAGAGAGCCAGCAAGAAGCGGAGAGCGGTCTGCTTCGCGACAGCCCCATGGGATAGGATGCTTATCTTCGCGTTGGGAAAGTGCCTTGGCTTCACCTGCGGTGCCCGATCATTACACCAACTGATGCAGACGTCACACCAAACGGGTTTCATGCAATGACGCTATGGAAGTCCACCTTGCGTGTCGGCTCTGCTCCATGCTCGTTGACGGACAGCCTGACTCATTGGACCCTCCAATCGCTTCTTCAGCCCGATCATCCGGCCGAGGCTAGCACGTCAGTCCTTCAGGAGCTACTCGGCCTCCTGTCAGCCTGTGCAGACGAGGAGGGAGATATTTACCGGCACCACGAACGGGGCGCACGGCACCTCGGCCACATGCAGTTTAGTGTGATCCAGCAGTATCTGCGGCTGCAACCCCGGCTCTATCTCCTAGCACTGCTCCTGCGACCCGACAAGAACTACCGGCTGCTTGCCTTCCCGGACCCAGCTCGCGGGGCCCAGGAGGAAGACACATTTATCGTGGAGGACACACTGCCCCGCGGGACTGTGCGATTCTGGATCCCGATGGAGAAGGAGTCGGGGAGGGTCTGGTCGGTCTTAGAGCCTGAGCTAAAGATACATAGCAAGGCGGCTGGGCTAGATTCGCAAGTGTCTATCCGGCGGTTTCCGTCCGCTGGATAGAATCCTACGCAATCATGGCGCTTTCCCGGGTTGAATGGCGGTCATACAGGCAACCGCAGGAAGCTTCCTCCGCGGCAGGGTGGAGCAAAAGACAGCCTTTTTCGAATTCTCTTAAACTCGCTCTTCATTCTATCCCACAGTCTATCCCACAGTCTCATCGACTCTCTTGAAAACATTTCGTATGTGAGGGTGGACAGAAGTCCATTCCTAGCAAGCTGATCCACCTTCATCTGAAAACCCATCCACCCCTCAACATTATAAAATACAAGAAAGGCTTATTTGATGAGCTTCTGGACCCTTTTAGGTAAGGCGTGATAGCCGAGCCGAGTCAAATGCTGCAGATCAGCATAGATCCGCCGACCATGATCTGTCTATGGTTCGCAGACCTCAGAATCTAGCGGTCATTCTTCAGAGAGCTCGGGAAGGCGATCCCATTCTGAGAACATGGTTGGGTAGTGAGGTCTGCCTATCTGCCCTGAAGACATGTGAGCACATTTTCCGTCGCTTTTCATCATGAGTCTGATACTAAAGTGCTACAAGGGTATGGTCGCAATCGTGGAAACGAACCTTCCCCAATAAGACCCGCTACCAAGAGGACGACAGACGAGGATGAGACAACTTCATCGAAAAGATTGAGTCCTTGCTGTTTGTTCTAGCGGTACACTAGTACAAAAAGAACGCAATACACCGGAGATGCAGTTCCAAGATCAAGCATGGTCAATAATCCATTCCTTAAATGTTCTAAAGTCTGCGAGCCAGCTGGTAGGCATTCATATGCTTTATCTTGTGGCTACTGCTAATTGTCACTTTGCATAGGCCCTTGTACAAGACAAGCATCGATGTCTCATCAGCCATAACCACCTACACCTCGATTCCGTGCATATATACCCCTATAGATTAGGCCGCGATCGGGATTCCTCGCGTGAAAGGGATTTCCGGGACGTGCTAGAGTGCTTTTGTCCTGAGAGAGAGTCGCAAATTCGCACGAAGATGTACTAGAGCGTTGCGGCACTGAGTATTGTGCCAATCGTCTTACCCTCAGAGTATCCGTTCACTGTATGTGGGATACGGCGATGTTTGCCCTCAATCCGCTAGATGTCAATCAAGATAAAACCGCTCTTGGGGTGCAACTATTCCTGTTGACAAATGCCAATTTACCAGGAATGCGTCCTTCGAGCGCCCCGATATCCCTGAAGCCTCCCAGACATTCGGAATCCCAAGGTTAATGATGCCAAGCGGACATAAAGACAATCGACCTGTGGCGAAATCTTACCCTTCCGCCCGGATACCCCAACAGGATCACTCACTTCTCTCGTTTGAATTGCTAAAGATGCAATGGCTTTTCCATCGGGTCCTCGCGCTGAGTGGAGCGGCGGACTTTGCAACATGGGATGAGAACGACGCCGATTCTGATTCCGAAAACGAAGTCGATCTCCCAATTTCCGATGAGGAACTGGGCAGCTTCGAACTCGTGCCGAGCATCCTCGGAAAAGGGGAAAGCCAATATACTCTCGAGATGCCATTTCGAGCAAAGCATGCCTGGTATGCGGTCACTTCTTTGTCACTCTCGCCCATGAATTGGAAATGAACCTGTGGAGGGCCTGGCCTCCCATTTGATAGTTCGCCAGATAGCTAAATCCATCCATCTTCACGCTCGCTTCAGAACCAATCTCCTGGTTAGACTGCGTGAACCACAAAGGCGAGTTCATGGGCCAAGTGAGCGATCCATCCGACGCTCCGAGCCGACCCTCTCAGTCCCAACGCAGGGTCGGTGATAGCGTTCCTCAACTCAACCCAGTCCATTCTCATGGATATTTGTGCGGCGGCCCATAAAGGAGAAGAAGTGCATCGAAGAGATGCTGGATCCTTGCTATATGTCCTTGACGGTGGACCAGATCATGAGCCAAGCGCTCAACCTTTCAGATGAGCTCCAGACACGCGAATTGTTCAGGCAGGCACTCCTATCCTGCCAGTGCCCCACGGGTCTTCGGAAGCCAAGATTGGCAGTCAACGATCTGTGCAACAACATGGATGAGACTATCCCAATGCTGGTGGGAGATGAGCAGGGAATTGGTGACGAGTCCTGAGATATTTGTTACAAGAGGCGGGCTTGACTGGAGAAAGGGGTCTTTTAGAAAGATATGGTTCCTCAATGCGGATGATCTGACCATCTTCGTTGAGCAGAATCTTGACTCGAACATCGTGTCTTGTTGGTCCTTAAATGCACACCTTACCTCGTACCTTTCTATGCCTCCGTGTTTGTCTCACTGAACAACAGCTGGAAGCTTTATTCTGGCAACCTCCCCGTGTCCGGAAGAAGTATAAGGAGTATTTTATTTATTAGGATTTTGTGCGGGCGAAGTTCTATTATTATGCTTTACGCATCTACTGTAGAGAGTTGATCTATAATCCTGAACATCAGAGGTCTCTTATTAAAACAAATTAGAAGAATATTCAGTTGAACCCAAAGTTTCCTGAGGTTTATAAACAGCGTGGAGGCATTAGGAAGCGTGCCCCAACTGTTCTTAGGGTCTACGGACTAAGAAGGGTTAGTTTCGCAAAGCGACCGCCACCAACGAACTATGCTTTCTCAAAAAGACTTCACGGACTAAAATGGTTGTTTTTGTTGTTGCAGGACAAGTACTTGCGGAGGATGAAGAGTTCTTGATCGATCCTAATACAGTTGATCCTGCACTGTTTACCAACGAGCAATTTCTTAATCAAAACGCAGTGTATGTTAAGGAGAAGACCAAACTTAGGGTTGATTTGCGCGAGTCTGAGAAAGTGAATCGCGAACTTCAGGCCCGCATTACCCGTCTCAACCGTATTTTTCTTACTACATGCATTATACCGGCCATAGAGCAATGCCTGAGCATGGGATGAACGAGTATGTCAAATATCAATCCGGTGCTAAGGTGGAATAGGTGTGGAAGACCAGTTGTGACAAGAGGCTGTCTGAAATATCATCATATCTCCCTCATCCATATTTGACATCCCGTCATCCCCAAAACGCCGTAAACGCAAAATCACGATACACTATATCTTTTGAGGTGCACCCACGCGCCTCCCAGAAAGCCAACCCGACGCCAGACCCGGCCAACACCCCAATCACGATCGCACACACCGCGAACGGCGCATCACACCCGACCCGGTCGACAAACGCACTCGTCCCAAAACTGGTCCGAAAACCAATAAACCTCCGCTTAGCACACCCCGCCACCATGGTGACCTGGCCGCGCCGCGGATAGCAATCCATACTGTACACGAACGCGCTGACGCCAAGGACTCACAGATCCATAAACCAACGCCTTCATCCCCACGTCAACCCTAGCCCAGCTCCATTCTTTCTGAAACGCGCGCCCGCTGCGGGCGATAGTCGATCCCACTTGGGGGCGAGGCCTCGCCCAAGGCGGAAGCATGCGTTCCTGGATCGTCGATGCAGGAATTTTATGGTACTTCAGATACACTTACTCGAAGCCCGAGGGGGGGGGGATTTGGCATGGAGGCTGATAGGCGAGTAGAAAAGAATCAGCGGGAGGGCGAAGGATTCGCTCATATACGTCTACTGGGAGGACAGGCGCCCGCGACTGCAGGACATCGAGGTGCGTCCATGTGTACATGTATGTATTCTGGCCAGCTACTCGACGGGGCGTGCATACGGAGGGGGTTGAGATTCTGGGCGTGTGCAAGTATGCCTGTGCGAAAAGAAAGGGGTGGTGACCTTACTGTTTGTTGCGTTGCTGGCAAGGGCCGAAAGCCCTAACTCTGCCCTGCAGGCTCCGTCTCCATCCTACGCAGGAATGGTTTGAAATCATCTACTCGACATCATTTACCCGCCCTTCGCCAACGACCCTACCTTCGATGCTTTCTCAACACCTTCCTCCTCGTTAAAAATAACAGCTGGCACGAATTCCTTACCCCCACCCGGTGGGTTCTTAGCTTACAAAAACACCTTCAGAGTCAGCCCGACTAGGCGGGCTGAGTTTCGGCTCCTTAGCTCAGTAATAGAACTCGGATTTCATTCGAGTGGCATTTTGGATTTGCGGTGCGACAGTATGGAAGGTCAACTAGCAACAAAGATAAAGACCTCCCAAGGTTCCCAGCGCCGTCCCATCGAGTTAGTATTCGCGTGTTCGCATATTTCGTCTGAAGATTTCAATGTCTCCATGGGCGCCGATTTTCCTTCTTGGTGGGCTGATCGGACGAGGGGGGCTTTGTGGCCGACTTGTCCCCCGATCGTGGCGGCGCCGTGCTCGCTTCCTTCGGGCGCTCTTGAGGCTTCCGGTATGGTGCTCGCCAGATATTGAACGCTTCCACGTACGGGCTCTCCTCATCGATCGGAAACGAGGTTTTGCCGGCCGGGTCGGTGCCGCGAAGGTGGGTGAGATCGACTAGGTAGAGCTTGTTGGTGCCGACGTCGTAGTTCAGATAGCTCGGGTGTTGGTCGACCAGCTTGTGGCCCTTCTTCCGCAGTAACCTGCATGCGCAAAAGGGGGAATCTGTTAGATCCATTTTCTTTTCTGAAGCTAAGAAGCGAAGTTCCTTCCTCGTGATGGAAAGGGGAAAATAAAAAGAGAGAGAGAGAGAGAGAGAGAGAGAAGAGGAAACCAGCTCAAACTTACTCGAGAATGCGCGCCAGCTGCGTCCGGATGCCGTCCAGCTGACGATCGGTGAGCTCGTCGCTGATCTCGTCCAGGTTCTCGCCCGGAGGCACCGTCATCGCCAGCACGTGGCCATATCCACCGGGGAAGGGCATCCAGGTCGGTTGCGAGCACATGAAGTGGTCGGCGTACCTTGGTCCCAGCCCCGCGTCGCCCAGCAGCTTGACAGCGTCGCACTCGTGGAGGAACTCGTTCTCCGCAATCTCCCGCACCTCCCGCTTCGCCTCCTCGGTGTCCATCTCGAACCCCCTCGGGTCCAGCTGGTAGCGCATCCGGATCAAAGAAAGGGCCTGGCTTTCGAGGTCTCGGGCCTTGAGGAAGAGGCTGCGCTCGCCCAGCTCGAGGTCGAGGACTTCGGTCAACTGTTCCTCAACATGGAGCTTCCGCTCGCCCAGCGTGATAACGCGTCCTTCCAGGTTGAAGCTCCACATGTTGGGAAGAGGAAAAGGTTCGACGCGTGGGTTCGACGCGTGGGTTCTTCGCCAGCAGAGCTAATGGTTTGCTTGGATTGGGAGTAAGGATGACGAGGTGTGAGTCTCGGATGAAGGACAGATAGAGTGAGTTGAGAGTGAGATGATTTTGAAACGGGGAGTGATATACGAAGCAGACAAGCAAGGCCAGTCACAGAAAGAGGCAGTAGCTTTGCCGATGTAGTCGCTGGATGTCTGTATCTGCTCGAGTGCCGGTGAATTGCAAAGAGAAGGTTGTTTCCACCACTGCAGGAGCAGGATAGGCCCTATTTCCCGTTGCCGATGTTGGGCCATTCACAGCATGAGTCACAGTCACCATCCATGATGCCATCAGGATGACCAACATCGGAATTGGAACTTGGAACCTACTTGCCTACCGCATTCACTGCACGCTGTCGTATCCCATCACCGAACCGTGGAAAACCTCGAGGAATTGCCTGGTGCTGTGCTTATGTAAGAATCCCTTCAACTTAACGTTACCGGGGCCTGAGTCACCCACGGGTCTCCTGAATGGGGGGCGAGATGGCGAACTCGTTGTCGTTGACCCGCTTCACAAACCATGTCCTGTCGTAGATGGTGAGGAATCCATACCGCACGCAGTGGTCGTCCATGTACCTGGCGGGTTGGCCTTTTGAATTTTGGCACGGCACAGTCAACGTTTAGCATGGAGGAAAAGTCATGGGAGGAAAAGAAAACCGCACCACTCTGGGCCATACTCACCGAGTTTCTCGGCTAGAAACTGTTCCCAGCTTTGCTTCTTCCGGGGCTCGAATTTCCACAGTGTCTTGACCTCACCCACGCCCCGGATGGCATGGGTCTTGGTGTCTGCCATCACCACGTCGGGAACGAGCTTTCCCCCGGCCTGCTGGTCTCCTATCTTCCGCTTCAGATCTGCTTTGACTTCGCGTTTCTCCTGTTTCTTGACTTCCAGGAGGAGCCGATTGACACCGGACTGGGCGTCCCCAAAGCGAACCCCAAGCTTAAGTAGGTCGGCCACTTCGCCGACCGGGTGCAGGGCATTCTGGACGAGGCGGCCCTGCAACCCCAACTCATTCGCCACTGCAAAGACCTCTCGGGGAACCACAGGGACGAAGGGCTCGAACTTGCCGCAGTAGGGCGCGACAAGGGCTTTGATCTCTTTCGCAAAGTCTGGCCACTCCTGGACTTGTTCGGGCAGCAGGGCGAATTTCGACGCGCCGGGTCGAAGGGTCCGGTACCCTTCCTCGCTGAGTAGCTCGGCCATAGGTGACCGAAGGCGCTCGCGATGCCCTCTAGGCAATAAGGGTCTCGACACGGTTGATGGGACCTCAGTGGTTGCTTTGCAGGAGTACCTTTTGAGGGTAGGTTCGATTATCTGGTGTGTGCAGTCTAGGGGAAAGGCTTATGCAGAAATCGTGTGCGGGAGGTTTGACAGTATGTTGAGTGAGACAATAGTGGAGGCAAGATAGATCGGAATTCATGACTTCTGTTCTTTTTTTGTTTTTCTTTGATCAGCCCACCGAGATGGAGGTATTGCTACGTGCAGTGAATGCTTCTAACCAAGGAAAATGCATGCGGTCGAGAGGTGAAGAGCTATGTTGAACGCTACACTATATTTGTGCAGATTCACCGTCGACACTGCATTCAATGTTGTCCCTATACGCGCTTCGCTTCGAGGCGTCCCTGTTCGAACGACCAGTCTGCCCAGCAGAGAGGCTTCCAGACTATTTCGTTCGTGCACAGTACACGCGGGGCAGTTATCCTCGCAGATATCCTCGGGTGTTAGCAGACATTGTGGCGAAGAATGCCGCCATGTCATTTCAAGCACATTTCCGCAGGGGGGTGTATTTTAAGGTGTTCTACGAGAATCCTGTCGCCTTTCGACATGGGGACACTTTCCAGACAACCATCATTACTGGGCATGTATTGCGCAATCGTTGAGCAGGGCCATTGTCACGCCGTGGAACCTGTACAGCAGCTCGCACTGCGAGGGGGCGACCATCATGGTCCGGCAGGTAGGAAATGTCCCTCGTGACATTGTTTTCTCATCGAACGGATTCCGACAGAGCTGAAACAACCGCTATCCTGGCCGAAACTATGCCAAACTATCTTGAGTTATAGCAGCAACCAGAAGGGAGTGACGCAGTGCCTGTGCTTACTAGGTAGTCAATGACCCTAGAGAAGCCTTTTGGGCGGCGGAGGGAGCAGGCGACCACGGCTGCGAGTCTCCTCGTTCCTCGCGGGGTTTTAATCTTTGTGTCCTTGTTTCTTCTTTTCTACCTTTTCATATCACATACATAGGAGCTACAACACGTCTCCGCCCTGGGTAGCTGACTGAGCGCAGATCAAGGGCCTGCCAATCGTCCATTCAACTACACAGAGCTGGCTTATTAACCTATTGCTAGACCCTCTACTCATCCACGCCCCAAGCAACCGGACCTTGGGCTCCTCGTACTCATTCATATCTGCAGTATACGTAACCCTTACCAACTACCTCCTTCAGCACCGATCAGCGAAACCATCCCCTCCCAGCCTTCTGGATAACCTGCTTCCCAGAAACACGCCCCCGTTCACTCTGTGTCAGCTGGCAACCTTGGGTACCGAAATGTGACTCTCCGTGCTTGCGCAGTCCGCTGTCAAACCGTGTGGCGTGGGTTCCTCTTGCACGGACTTTGCTGTAACTACTTGGGCTGACGGCCGAAGTGACGGTGCTGATGGCTACTGTGCCGGTTTCTATGAAGAACCTACCCCTGCCCCGAACCGGTGGATGGATAGGGTCCGGCCCGCTCCGCTCCGCTCGCACGCCACCGACATGAGTAGATCTCGCACGCTGTACTCTTTGGAAATCGCCAACACGGTATTTTCACTACATTTGAATCTCTATGTCTCGACGTGGTTGGGGTGTTAACTGGTGGGTTGCCACACAGTCCTAGGCCTCAACTTTGGTCCGAGGGTGTTTTGGTACACATTTAGATGACTCCTGTCTCTATTGATCCAAATGTAGAAAGTTATATACAGTGATGAGAACATGCGCGGACGTTGCCTGCATCAAGACACTGGCAGAATTTCTAGCGACGGGTGATAGATGTAATCCCCTTGCCCTAATACCTCACTGCCCCATTTGTGCATACGTTCCGCATTTAGCAGTAAGCGTCGACACATCGACGCTCCAAGTCCAGAAGCTCATCGAGATCCGCCTTGACCTGGTTGGCGCAGGTCGGAGCATATGTCTGTAGGCCACCGGCTAATAGAGCCTGGAGCAAGAAGGAGAACGTTAATCTCGGGGTCGTGCATTCAGACACAGAAAAGCAGGCAAGGAGACTCGCGACTGCTGAGGGACTGACAACAGATCCTGGAGAAGAGAGGCAGGCCACGTACTGTGTCACACTTGTGGAGTTCCCGCAATACATGCGCGATCTTCGCCTTTTCCCGCGGCGAGGTAACCCTACTCGCTTTCGACAGGATCACTTCCACAAAACCTGCGGTCTGCTTGATGCACTAACCCCCCTCACAAGGCGACGCTAATTAGTGACCACCACGCACACCATGACAAAACCTGACCCGGACTTCTGGATGCGACCCGCGGGTGTGGGAACTTACGCTAGAGATAGCCCGGCTCACGGGTTCTTGCTGGCCGACCGGGACCCACTGGGATGCAGCTTGGTCGCCGGAGAACTTTTGGTCGGAATATTCGTATTCCGATAGCATCAGGTCCCGGACGGCCGAGGCCCGCTCGGGCTCAACGTCATCCAGCATGGCGCGCATCGCCTGTGGTTTATCGATAAGTCAGTTCGCGGAAAGTCGGTCTGTTTGGGATAGGACGGACCAAGTCGACCGGACCGTCATCCGCGGCCTGCACATGGGCTGCGGACCTGGATGCCGTCTTGCCGAATTGCTCGAATGACCCGATCAGGTATCCTACGTCGATCTGCATGGTTGTGTTGTGGATTGCTTCTTGGGCAGACTGGAGAGAGGGGGAAGGAGGGGCTCGGTGCTGGATCACAGAACCAGCTGAGAGGACGCATTGCCTGCCGGCTGGGCGCGATTTGAATGTTTATATGTGTTCACAGGCCTTGATTCTACCCCACTGTCGACCCCATTACGTATGTGGATTTCGAGCTCCGTATAGAAAAAGGGGCTGGCGGTGGGGATCAGAGTTCGGATCGATGATCGATGACGGACACGCCTGGATTCTGCAACTTGCTCCAGGCAGCACATCACCGCTGATACTGTGGCCGAGTGGTTCCGCTGCATCGGACGGAGGTGAAAGAAAGTGGAGGGAGGGGATGCAGGTCATGATTCAGACTCACCCAATGAGCGGAGCAGATCGGATAGATTCAATTCCGTGGTCGCAGATCGCGGATATTGGACGCCCGTGTGGGCGTATGAACGGGTGGGCACTCCCCACCCCAGCTCTGATCTTGGTTCCGAGATGGGTATAGAGCTGCAGATCGGCGCCTCTGTATACGAGGCGATCGCGGCTTCACCAAAGTGGGAGCATGGACTCGATTGTGCCGGTTTGGTGATTCCCAAGTAACCTGGTTTCATCTGTTTATGTCCTTAGCCACTGTAGTATTCAGGCAATAAGAGCCGGCTCGTTGAAGTAGCCTAGATCACGAAGAATATTTCGAGCGTGGTGAGGTGGTGGGTGCCTGAGGCAGCAAGGTTCTTGATCTCTGCACACAATGCACACCGCTCGGGGAAAGACTGTGCGGACTGTTCTCAAGTTCGTTCCATTGACACCTTTCCGTAACTAGGCAGCTCGTACATGATAACTGGCTGGCAGAACGGATTCATCAATTTGGATAATTCCATTGGTAGTATGCTCCTAAATTGAGTATCCGCCTACAACCAGCTCTTCGTATCAGATTCGAGAATAGAGGCTTAATTCCTAGGCTGTGAGGTAGAGGTAGCTTTAGATTCAACATCTGTGTTGGGCACATTGAAAGGGAAAGATAGAGAGCTTTGCGACTACCAGATATCACATAGCTAGGTTGATCTGTATGAATAGAGGATGCTTAATCGCGATTAAATGAACCAGGCCGCATTCACAATCTTATAGCAATGATTGCCTGATGTGATCTCTTTTGAGCGCCTGTCCTTAACTCACTATCAGACGAGGATGATCGTCTCAATCGGGCCGTGAGAAAAACACCTCTGAAAGCAAATGCCATACATTCCAAAAGCACAATTCTGACACTCGGTGGCATTAGCAGCATCAGTGCGGCTCGCGGGCTGCAGCATACCCCAACCAGGTGCCAGGCGACAGCAGCCATGCCGAGTCGTGGTATGTCACAGATAAGAATTCCCATGCAATGTAGATCACCCGGTCTGACTCGTATGACACAACTCCTACAAAAGGCATCAAAAGGTGTCGTCGTCTTCTCGGGTCACCCTTGCTTCGCTCAATGAGCGGTGAAGGGGTGCCTTCCAGAAAGATATTTATTTCTACTGGAGGCACCCCAGTGGCTTCTTCAAAGAAAGGCCCTATATACCTTTCAGCCACTGATCTCACTTTCCCGACGCCACCGATGTAGACATCAACATGTCTGTCATAATTTTATTCATCCTTGCCGTATGCCTCGCCGTTATCTCATATACCGTTGCAACGCTCCACAACCTCCCGGCGCCCGACTTCCCAGCCATCCCACCATGGCAGACACTCTATGACATCGCCACCGGACTGACACGAGCGGACTCATACGACCGACGGATTCGCCCAGTGGTCGAAAAGCCTGGCGCCGTGAACTTGTGGCATGGGGGCCGCTGGGTCGTGGTGGTGACGCGCCCGGAGCTGATTGCCCAGGTCTTCCGCAACGACGGGATCTTCGCCAAAGGCGGAAACATCAAGAAGCTGCCCTACAGCTCCTTTGCGCGCATCTTCGGGGTTAACATCATCGACTCCCATGGCGCCCTTCACGACTCTTTCACGGAAATCATCAAGCCGGGGCTACAGCGCCGATTCGATCTCAACCCCGCGCGACAAAGCTCGCAACAGCTAGCGCAAATCCTGCTGCGGCAGCAAGCGCACCGCCCAGGGTCGGGGGTAGAAGTCCAACACCCGACTCTGGACTGGGCTATCGACGTCGTCGCCGACAGTTTCTTGGATTTGACTCCCGGCCAGATCGCGAAATATCGTGCGGGATTGCACGAGGCAATGCATCGGTTTGTTACCGGGGTCTCGACGAAGCTGCAGACGTTGATTTACAGTGTCGTTCCGGGTCTGGAGCGTTGGCCTTGGCTGATGCCGTCGGGCGACTATGGCATCCGCATTGTGGACACGCTGGAGGCCCGGATCCAGGATCTTGCAGCGATTAATTCCAAGGATGCCGTCCTCGTGGAGAAACAACAAGAAGTACCCACCGAATCCAATGACGATAAGCTGATCCATCGAATGCGACACGCATTGAGAAAGGGGGATATATCCGAGTACCACTTCCGCTGCAACCTCAACCAGCTCTTCATCGCCGCGGTGGAGAACATCGACATCGTGCTCAATTCCGCCATGTGGGAGCTGGGGAAGAATCTCACCCTCCAGGAACGGCTGCGCCAGGAGGTCGTCGCGATGCTTTTACAGCGAAGGCATGGGTACGGTGAAAGCGACCTCGATGCGCTCCCGCTCCTCACAGCCACCATCTACGAGGTTCTCCGGCTGTACCCGCCTCTTATCAACCTGATCAACCGATACACGACGGAACCCGTCTGCCTCGGTACCGAGAGCAGTAGCCCAATTCCCGCAGGGACCTGGGTCGGCTGGCACGCGTACGGCACGCACACTGACCCAAGTGCGTGGGGACCCTCCGCTCGCGAATTCGACCCCGACCGCTGGGGAAGCGACCCGGTCGCGATCAACATGTTTCGGTCGATGCAGGTCAAGGGGAAGTATCTCCCGTTCACGACCCATGCCCGACGGTGTTTGGCAAGTAAGTTCGCGATCACCGTGCTCAAAGTCGCCCTCTGCGAGTTACTTCTTAGCGTGGAATGGGAGCGAGATCCCGAGTATAAGTTCGAGTTGGTCAAGGTAGGGCTGCGCTATTCCGCTTTGGGTGCCTACTCCCCTCCAGTTCAAGTTATGAATACTAAGCGTTCTGTTTCTTCTAGGGTGTGCTCATGGGCCCTCGCAACTGCAGGTTCTTCTTCTGGGAAAGAGGGACAAAGCATCGAGTGTCTAGAAACTGGGAAAAGTGCAGGACATAGGCCCCGCAAATCCGCTTTTTACCTTAGACCATAGACTTCACGCGCCCACTATTTTCGCCCGAGTGGATTACTGTCCTCGATGTGTTAGAAACCGATAGATGAGGATGGAAATGCTTTACGCCTCGTCCAGTTCGTTCCAGATTGTACTGTCGCGCAGTACTTTGCCGAGCTGGATGAGACAGCAAGCAATCACTCTCTCAACTCCTTAAAGCAAAAGGCCTGACCGCTCTATGTATGGTCTCTAAGCCTGATTGCTCACTTGCACTTCCTGATGTATTAAACCATCAATATTACCGGTAAGGTGTCACACGAGACCTCGATCATCGTACGCTGTCAAGCTGCGTCCGACCGCCCCAAGTGGAAGTCATCTACATATACAATACATGCCTAAAATTGAACCCTTTTTATCACGTCGTCACCCGCTTGCATGTATTGTCACTCGATCACAACTCCTAGATCAACAAGATATCCACCCGAATGGACCGGATTGAAGGTCGTCCTGGTACAACCCACCACGCCTAGCGCAACCGATCATCGAGGACAAATAGCTCAATTCTTTTCTGCGCGGCTGTACTCGGTCTCCTGCTCCGCACACACAAAGCCCACGATCACCCACTCTACCCACAGTAACTCAGAGGTCAGCATTTGCCCACGAGATCTCCGCTTTCGTGCAAAAGGGGGGATCATAGCCTCACCAGCGAAAGAGATCCGAACGTCAGAGTTTGTGTCGGAGTAGCGGAAGAAGGCGGCAAGGTCCTCTTCCTTCTCGCCCTTGGCCGCTTCGATCATCTCCTGTGGGGACACATATCCTTGAAAAAGCGTCAGCACTCGGACTCACCCGCTCTGACACAGAAGAAACAATGTAATTCACCGTTTGCGTCCTTGTCCTGCGTGATTCGAGAGAGGTTCCAGGGTCAGCCAGTCTATATCTAGAACCATCGCTCCCACGCGCACCGGGAGCAGATTTACCGTCTCGAAAAAGGTCTGAAGCCACTCCTGGATGGAACTCAAGGAGTACACGATGTTCTGGCGAGCACGTCAGTCTTTTCTTTCTGTCTGTGGTCTCCCCCTTTCTTGTTTCCCAAAGCCGGAACCAGAGAGGATGGGATCAGGGGGGAAGGGAAGCGTGCTGGGGACTTCTGACATCGGGATTCTTTTTCTCCAGGACTTCCTTGTAGAACGGGCGCAAAAGCTTCTCTGCCCTCTTCTCGTTCTCGGAATTGATGCGCTCGGCCTGGAGCTCGGCCTGGAGTTGTCGAATCTGGCTCTGTGCATCTTGGTACATTTGAAGCGATGCTGGGGCCATGATTTCGATCTTGCGGGGATGACTTTTCCTTCCTTTTCTTGCTCTGAAGCACCGGGAGAACAGAGGGGTTTCGGATGATATGCTAAACAAATTGGCAGAGTGACAGATTCGACTACGGAACTCCAAAGCACAAGATCTGGGAGCGCAGGAGAATTTATGCTTGCGTGACTGCTCTCGGTATGTTGAGATCATCCCTGGGAATGTGACATGTGACACTGCAGCTTCTCCTCAGGCTTTGTCAAGCTTCTGATCTGCATGCCCGTCAGCACGAGCAACGACCACCTCGCCATCTTCCTTCTATCGCGGTCGAACTTTGACACAAATGCCAATTTATCCACAGTTATGCGGGGAGCAAAAAAAGACAGCATTTTGTGCGGTCGTGCTTCAAGGAAACTGGAAAGTCTTCGACATCACAGTCAAGTCTGCGCGTCATCAGGCGAGGGGTCATGCCGGTTTCCCCTTGCCGTCAGGATGCGCCGCACCGCTGCATGATCTCCACCTCCTTCATGCTGGAGGAGGAACACCGCCGATGGGCCTGAGACCCGTCTCCCAGGCTCGGCCTGGATGCTACGTTCCGTTTGACAGCCGCGTGAGCGCGACCAATCTTTGTTATGAAAGGGCATTCTTCCAGCGGAAAGGATCTCTGTCCCGCGTCCCGCTTATCGCGGGTGATTAATGCCCCCCCGTCGGAAAATGTACCAGGGCCAATTAAATCGTCTCTGGTGGATGGGCGGGGCATGCTTGCAGCCCTATGAAGGAGATCGGCGTTTGCTATATGACATTCATGCCGTCATCTGTGTACAACATCAATCTAGGTATGCGTCTACGCAGATAAACTACTGCGGCGGTCGCAGGCACTCGGTTTCTCACGCAGTCCTGCTCGTGGGTGTAATCAAATGATATACATGGAGGTACACTCATTCTTACAATTCTGGTTTCATAACTGAAGGGATCAGTGCACTATACATGCCACTCGTATGAAGTCAACAAAAAACCTAAAGCAATAAGGAACAGCATCCCACAAGCTCAAGCAACACTTAATTGCCGTGATCCCCACACCGAGGAAGACACCGCGCAAGCGTACGAGTATTTCCAGGACTACCCTTCTTTGAAATGGCATGTCAGCGTAGCCTGACCACTGGCACTGACCGTCTCCTGCCAGTCGTCCGTAATACCCCCGGCTGCGTTACAGAGCCCGTCCCCGTTCTTGCCGCTGTAGATCACGGCCTTTCCGCTCGCTGGGGCGGCCACCTGGGCCTTGCAGATCAAATTCCTGTTGCCTGTTCTCGCCCGATCCCGTCAATTTCGAACTACTCCACACTCAATGGGAGGGCGTCAGGGTGCGTATCGTACCTGAGCTGGTGATAATCGCATGAGCCTTGTCGGCGAACTGGAAATTGCCATTGCCGTCCTTGAGAGAGCATCCCAGATCGGTGATCTGGACAGCTTGGTCTGCGAGTGCCATGCTGGCCAGAGCCAATGCAGTGAGGCTGGTGGTGAGATGCATGATGAGGGTCTTGGTTATGGGGAGTTGTGTTTGAGATTTTCGGTGATGGGTTTGAGCATGGAAGACTTGGAAAGCAAAGTCCTCGATTGAATGGCCCTTTTATAGGGGGCGGGGACTGTCATCCACACAGACATCCAAACCATGTTAACGGTCTACTCGTGTTCTGGACAGTTTTCGGAGTCCTGTGATTGCCTCTTATCTTTCGTATTGATGGAGCCCACTTCAGCTGTCAAGGATCGGCCGATCAATCATCTAGATCATCAAAGGAACCATTGTTCATGTTTGGTCTTGTACCAAGTATACTGTCGACAAAGAAGTGCGTTTGTTTGTATCTTGGGACCCCAACAGATTAGGTTGAATCGTACCGTCGACAATGAATGGCCAAGCATTGTACTTACTGTAGATCAACCGCTGCAGAAAGCCCCTCGGGCTGTAATTTATTTCCCCAATCATTGAATACGAGGAGATTATCATTTCTGTCGCTGGTAACGTGTTCCGTGGTTGATAACGAGGTCGTATAGCTACCAGTCTGCAGCTGCGGGTAACCTGGGTTCAAAATGGGGAACCGCCGGGTAGGGCTTGGCTGTACGGTCGCGGGATGTAAGGGCGCACTCACCGCGCGGCGTGTGCCACCCTGAGATGATGCGATCCACCGGTGATCAAGATGATCAGATCAATGCCCAGGAAGAAGAAATCCATGTGTGATTTAAATGCTTCCAGCGACGGGATATGCGGTGTGAACCCGAATAGAGGTACTTTCTCATGCGGTTCGTTGTGGGGGCCTTGGGAAGCAACCATACGAGAGCCTAGACCCAGTCTCCATAGTATCTCATGGTAGCTATAAGCTTATTTCACAAGAAGTAACCAGACTGAGCGTAGCTTATTGGACCCAAATATAAGCTTATGTGGATGTTACCAGTATTGTCTTAGCAAGCAGCACTGCCACCATTTCCTCGTACGTTTTTACAAATACATATACTATTTTGGAGATAGCCGAACACCGAGTCACTGCAATTCCAGAGACCGCATGACAATACTCAAACTATATCATGTTAGACCCCCTGGGTCGATTCGGCCGAACCACAATGCAATCAGCTCTTGATGTTAGAGTAAACAGTGGATTGGCACCTTCGGTCAGCTTAGCATAGAATCAACCACTGGGTGGCTGAATTTCGAATGCCGACCATACTCGACCGGCAGGTCTTCGCCTGATGGATCTTCTTTCACCAGTTGAGCCCAACTCAGGAAATCTCTCGTAGCCATCCTAATATTCACTTGTAGACGCAGCACAATAGAATACTTGAATGCTGGAATGCTTGAATAGGTTCTAGGGACACCACATTCACCCCTCCCATTTCTAGGCCCCGATTCACCCGAGTCGTGGGTTATCCCTTCCCTCTGTTGTCATCCGGGCACTTGCCCTACATTCACCCTGTTCAGCGAGTTCAACATCTCGAGTCCTTCTCCCGGCCTTCATGGCTAATCTAATTCTTTCTCATATGGTTCCAAGTCCCTAATCTGAGATCGTCAACTCCTCCATACAGGGGCTTTGTTTCGGTCATACATGTTGTTTCTGGGAGGTGTCTCCTCTTCCTATCCAGTCACAGTCCAACAGATGCCAAAACCACCTTTGATTAGCGAAACCTATCCAAGCAATCTGAAGGCTCGGCTTGTCTTGTTTGACACAACTATTCCTTTCCCTACGTCTACGATCCCGCCGAGCGTGACGGCCAGGACCCTCCACTCGACGTCGATCGTCATTGTCCGACGCTTCGACTGCGGTGCTAGAGCCGCCACTGTGCCCCTTGCTCGCCACCGTCTTGATCTTGATTTCAACGGGAGTCTTCTGCCTTCGTTCTATTTCTTGCATGGAATCTTACTACAACATCGTTTTGATATCGAGTCTACTCAAAAGAAAGCCACTGCCATCACCACCATGAATGCCACGGTGGCCTGAACAGGTCTTACCTGTGTCACCGACAAGAACCTTCCTTCAACCGAGAAAAGGTTTAGGCGCGGGTCTCGGGTGCGGACTGGGGATGCTTTTCGTGGGAGCTCGGATTGTGCACCTTTTCCTTATCTGACGACGACTCCGCCACGAAGAAAGGTATGTCCATATTTCAATGGAAGGTTTCTTGTTCTGTTATCATCACCGGTCTCAGCTTCACCTGTACATTCTAACAAGAAGAACTATACAGACACACGACTCCTACAATAGGGCCAAAGGACCTTGTTGTTGAGGCGCTATATGGAGCCCCTAACTTCTTGGATTATCTGGTATCTTTGACGAAAAGGATCTCATGAACGTTAGATGAACTGACGATGATTTTAGTCATGGGCCTATGCCAGCGTACCTCCAGCGAGCCGAGGAACGAACCGCGGAGATGGCGAAGGAGCAAAGCGAGCATATCCAGCTCGTCGAAAAAAGAACGAAAGGGGCAGGTCAACGCTGCATCATGGATTGGTCAACGCTGCGGCTCTGCCGCCATCAAAAGTCGTTGGCTCAGCTCCCACCCTTCCCCCCCCCCCCCGGCGGGTCGGGCTCCAGTGCCCCAACCAGCGACATGAACGGTGTCTAACTCGATATCGGTGTCGTTGAAATTGGCCTTCATCTAACCACAGCTGTCATATTGCAAACATGAACGGCACCGCTCTCGCCGCAGCGTCAACGAAGCCAACTGGCATCCCACGTCGCGCGTCGTGGCGGTAGGGGCTGGGTGCGGCATCTCCAGCGCCCTCATCGGAGGGCTATTCATGCATCTGTTCCATTGGTTCCGGTCTCGGACCGATCGAAAGTATGCTATATTCCTCCCCTTGCACTACATTGATGTAACCTCCATCCCATAGCCCACCACGCACTACCACCCTCACCACTATTAGCAGCAACAACAGCAACAGCAACAGCACCAACACCAAGATGAACGGCACGGGAGCCGGCGTCCTCACGTGTGTTAACGACAAAAACCTCCACTCCACGGAGGTGGTTTTGGGTGCAGGGCTAGGGTGTGGCGTGGGGATGCTCTTATTAGGAGCCTTCTTGGCGCACGTCTTCTGGCTGTGGCGGTCCAGCCACGAAAGAAAGTATGTCTACATTCCTCTCCTTGAGCTATATTTGTGTAGATCTACATCTAATCAGCGAGGCTTACATAGAAACTCTATTCCAACCATGGAATTAAAGAACCTGGATGTTGAGGATTTGAATAGGGCACGCAAGATGCTCAACCTGCCGGGTATAGCCCTAACAAGACATCCAATCAAAATAGACAATAGCTAATAGTCAGTCTAGTCGAAGCTTTAGACCCATTAGATGAGGCAGCAAATAAACGACTCGATAAGAAGGCCGAGAAGGAGAAAGAATATCTGGAGGCTTTAGAAAATCGCAATAAAATGCAGGGAGAATTGATTAAGGAGCAGGTCGATTATATCAAGCTCCTGAAAGACGAAATTGAGCATTACAAAAATGCTTAATTCAATCGTGTCCGATCGCCCGACCCGCAGCGCAGCGTCAATGACTCGCCGGAGCTTTGACCGGGCCAGTAAATTGTCGAAATGGTTAGTCCTCCTCTGATTATCTTAACAAACGTACAGGTGCTGATGGAATGAATACGGAAGAAATAATTCGTGTACGCTCTGTGAAGGTATCCACGAAGACGATACGGCGACCCGTTTTTCCTTCGGTCTACGAGTTCTCTGAAGTATATGACGCTGCGCTTGACACCAATAGTCCCGGCCGACACATCTCTTATCGGATGTAACTAGAGTACTTTTCTCGGTTCGGCTTGTCGACAACGGACCTACAAAGCTACTATGACACACATTTTCACTCTCCCTGTTTCAAATGTTCTATTCTCGAGCCTTTTCACAGCATTGGCACTGCGACTTGCTGGGAAATCAGCTTACGGGTCGATGTCTCCATCCCACGGCCCACCACCTCCGCTCCCCACAATGACAATGAAGGATCTCGACCCCGAGTCCCTCTATACTACAAGGAAAATTCTGGGCCTGCCTGGTATGTGATGCAAATAAACCTAGCAGCCCTAAAGTAGCTAATAAGATAAATCAGTGGAGAAAAAGGTTTTTGAACTAAAGCACGCCGAAGAACGCATTAAACTTCGGAAAGAATATGTGAAGGCGATGGAAAATCTCAACGCTGCCGTCCACATTTGCCAGCGCCATTGTCAAAACCCAGTGAGAGGTAATCAAAGAGCAGGCGGAATTTATCAAGTTTTTGAAGAACAAAATCGAGCATTACAAAAATGCTTTGAATACTTCTACGGCTTTGCCGCCTTGACGACTATTGCTTTTTGGGGGTGGAGGGAGGCGGGGGGGGCAAGAGGCTTTTTTGGGGGGGTTTCTCTAGGGGCTTCTTTTGGGGGCCTTTGGCCCAGCAGTATTTTGGGTCGTTGTTTTGTATAATTTATTGTGTATAAATTACATAATGACGGCACTTCTGGAGGGTGGAGAAGGGTGGTTGATTCCTTCACGTGAGGCTATCGGAGAACTAGCTGAGGCAGCCGGATGGGCGGTGAGCTGGCACCTCAGGCACCAAGGCCCCAGGACCGTCACATAATGTCAGAGCGTGGATGAGTATTGAATCCAGCTGAGTGTTTCCTGACTGCCATGTACGGTAAAGCGAAGAAGCAATCCGAGGCAAGGATCTTCATTAGAATTTATAGTCCCCAGATATGCGCATTCATCAAGCGGGACACGTAGTCATCGTTTCCGTTATACCAATCGCTCAATTTGAGTTCCGGTAGCATCTTATCATCGTCGATACTATCCGGTGTGATGGTGAAGCCACGGGCCTTGGCACAACATGGACAGTATGAAAGACAATGACCGTAGTAGAGTGTCGGAAGATCAGGGCATCTGAAACTTGGTCAGTATGGCACGCCACTTTCACTTCCATCAATCCCGATCGATCTCTCGACATCTCCGCCGGTGGATAAGTCAAAGGCAAGTCCTTACCTGGATCTCGTACAACAGCCACAATCCCGCGCGCAGCATCCCCCGACCGCCGCGCATTCGCTTCGCTGCCACTCCGACAGGTGCCAGCCTGATCGCTGATGCAGGGACAAGTAGGCCCGCTTAGCCGGCCCGTCCGGGAGTTTCGAGAGCTTGTTATGTCGGTGGTGCTCTGCGACCCAGAGCGCTTCAAGGCTTCCGTCCAGACACTCCGTTGGAGGCTGTTTGGCTGCGATGTCGGTCGACTCCCCCCACAGCCCACGTTCAGCGTTGGCTTCGAGCAGTTTCGATTCGAGTCGCGCGATTTTGGCAGGTCGAGTAGTCCAGCAAGGCTTTTTTCTGTTCTTCAGTGCAAGGGCAGCGTCCTTTTCTGTCTGCAGCTGCGCAGCGCGCGCCTGCACCTGGAACAGGATCCGCTGATCGGCGCGGATTAGCTCGTAGATCTTCCTGCCTTGGTCATGTTTGTGCGCGCGTTTGGTATACTGCTTGAAGCGCAGTTTCTGTGCTTCGCGCCATTTTCCTTCTTGCTCGAGCCTGGTCTCGCGGTCGGAGGGGGTCCGCATTATGCCCGCCTTGGTGGCGAGAGAGCGAAGAAGAGGCATGTTTGTAGTTGTTGGGGCTTCGGTTTGTGTCGATCTGTCGAATGGGGTTGTTTCGTATGGACTTGCTTGTCTTGTGTGGAGTTACTTTCCAGTATCGTTAAAGTCAAGGATAATGTTAAGGCTCTGGTTTGCGGAAGTCTCTGTCATCTGAAGAGCTCACGATGACGGCGTCGGTCGGAATTAGCAGTGCATCACGTTTCCAGAGCATCTTCGCCGGGAGGACCTTCGACAAGAGCTAAAGGGAAATTGATTCGCCACACACATGCGTCAGTCCCTCTTGCACCTCGACGATTGAAAGGATGGTAGCCAGCTCGTCCATGATGGAAAGTAGTTTGACTCCTTCCTATAATTATCACATGACTTGCTGCTTCTTCAATCACAAGCGGACTTTTGGCCCAGTTCCCTTACGAGCAAGTTGAGCATACCCTGCCTTGCCGATATCGAGGCGGTCTGTGCCTGCGGGTTGGCCGCCGGCAGGAGCTCTTCAGGCCAGGGGCTATCTCCAATACTTACTTGACCCACCCATCGACAAGGACCAATATCACAATTGAAAGTATCTTCCATATGAGTCACACACTGATGTTCATTACATCTATAAGCAGCTCATAGTTCTAAGATACACGGGTCAATGAGGTTGATGTTATGGTACTGGGATTGCTGCGGCTGCTCGGCGAGCCGGAAAAAGATATACATATTTGCCCGGCTTTTTCTCTATTGTCGGGCGTTGTTGCCACGCACCTGCCTTGCAACCTCTGCATTCAACCATCTTAGATTCTCGCCCTTGTCTCTTTCTCCTCCATCTTAGCCTCAGCGCCTGCTCTCCAGCTCTTACCCCCTCACACCCTCACCTGCTCACTTCTTGTTGACTTCACCCTAGTGACCCCAGACCACATCGGCATGAACCGAGAAGACTATAATGTCTGCGGCATTCATCCGTCTTCGATACCTATATCAATCGTGTCCGATCACTCGACCTGCAGCGTCAATGACTTGAGGCTGTCCTTTCATCTACAGCTATAAGGATACTCTAGAGGTAGAATAATGCCTTTCCGTGGACTATACATTCTGTGCTTTATCCACAGTTACCTATCTCAAGGTGCTAAGGTAGTCCATTAATTCAATCTCCCAGCTCTCCTAAGCCCCCATACTCAAAATGGTCGATTGGAACCGGTGGTCAACAATGGTGACGACTCCTGCTCCTTCCTTCTCTACACCATCTACACGGCTCTTTCCTCAACACCATCGTCTGAGTTAACAAAACCGCTTCTCCCGCCCTTCAATTCTTCCTCTTCTTCTTCTCTTTTTCTCCTCTCTACCGAAAGGTGATTTCTTGCTAGTACCAGCTAACACGTCTTATCCTTCGTTGATATCCTGCTGCTTCTTGCTCTCGATCCCCTACTTTCTCTCGTTTCTTTTTGCCCGACCTTCCCTCCATTCTTTTGCCCGTTTTCGTGAAGAGTCGACCAGGTGGCCCGTCTGTGTCCTTCTTCGTTCCCTTCCTTTTCGTCTTCCCTCCGCTCCTACTACCCTCCCTCTCTTTCCTCCAAGAAGGATCTGGTACGTCCTTCTTGTCCCGCCCTTCCTCCCTCTCCTCGCCCATCCGCCGTCGGACTTCGACACCACACTCCTTTGCCTGCCTATCGAGGCGTCCGTTCTTTGCGCGAGATGCAGTCCGCCCCGCTGCAACCCGCTGTGTCCAAGGTAAGGACTTCCATTCGTTCCCTTGTTTCTGAGAAGTCTTCTGTTGTATCCTCCCAGGGTACGTCCGCTCCTTCTTCTGTGCGCCCTCGGGCCACGTCCACTCCTTCTGAGCCAGCTGATGCTCGGACTCGCCTTCGGGAGAGACGAGATGCCTTCGCGGCACGTGTTCAGCTCGCTCGTGACAGAATGGCGGCCGTGAGCCAGCGGGCCACATCCATTCCTTCTCGTGTGTCTCCGTCAGGCACGTCCACTCCTTCTTCGGTGCGCCCTCGGGCCCCATCCATTCCTTCAGTGCGCTCTCGGGCGATGTCTACCGAGGACAAAGCTCAGCGGGCCCAAGCTCTCTTGGAGGCTACCCTTAACATTCCTTCATCGGTGCCTTCTTCCCCTGTGCGCCCTCGGGCCACGTCCACTCGTTCTCTTGTGTCTCCAGCAGGCACGTCCGCTCCTTCTTCTGTGCGCCCTCGGGCTACATCCACTCCTTCAAGTGTTCCCTCTGCCAATGTGAGCCGTCTGGCCACGTCCACTCGTTCTCGTGTGTCCCAAACAGACACGTCCGCTCCTTCTTCTGTGCGCCCTCGGGTTACGTCCACTCCCTCTGTGCGCCCTCGGGCCACGTCCACTCCTTCTGGGCCAGGTGATGCTCGTACTCATCTTCGGACGAGACGGGACACCGCCGAAGCCAGGGCTCAGCGGGCCGAGGCTCTCTTGGAGGTCACCCTTGCATCAAACGCAGCTCCGTCTGCGGTTCTTAAGGGTAAATCCAAGAAGAGTGTTAGCTTCAATGAGACCACCACAGTCTTTACTGTCAGCCGGTGGATCCTCCCATGGAGAGATCAGTTCCGTAGGCATTGAGGAATGGGTTGTTTTTGAAGGCTTCTCTTGTCACTCTTTTGATTTCCTTGAGTCATTCGTTTTGGGGCTTCGCATTTCCTGTTTTTTGTTGGCCTTTGGGTCGTCCATTCGTTTTTTCCTCTTGTCTGCCTGGCTTGGTTGTACCAGAACCAAGTCGGCTTCTCTTTACTGCTGATCAGGTCACAGATCGGGCATCGGGACGACATCGTGCACCACCGAAGAACGACAGAGACGACGAAGAACCACCAACATCGATTCGCTTACGGTTACCAACGAGTGTCTAGCGGCCGGCATCACCGACGGACGACAGAGATAAATGCCCGAGTTCGACCCGATTTGTTTACGGTTCGTCGGAGTGTCTAGCGGCCGGTATCACCGAAGGACGACAGAGGTGAACGACCTGGGAAGGCGTTTGGGGTTGTTGCGGTTTTGTGTCTGTTGGGCAGCAGCACGAGACGGGCAACCACGTCTTCTTCGGGTAACGGTCATCGGCGGTTCGACGGCGATTCGGTTTGCGACAACATTTCGATGAATGACAGCAGCAAACGACGATCACGGCAACGGTTATCGGCGGTTCGACGGCGATTCGGTTTGCGACAACACTCTGCGATACGACAGGGGCAATCGAGTGGGGGTTTGGGATCGTCGGCGGTTCGAGGGGTGTCTCGTGCCAGCATCTGCCAACGTGGTTCGGAGCGTTGGAGTCAAGTCAATTTCAGTTGCTGGTACGGGTGTCGGAGGATTTGGGGGGACGTGTTTCCTATGTCTTTCCTTTGTTCAGTTGTGGAGGACATGTTTGGCCAACCCAACAGGGGGGTGTGGGTTAATGTAGGTCTCCTTGGTCATTCCCTTTGTTGCTTCTGACTATCTTGGTCCTACAAGGACTTGTATGGACAACTCCGGCGCGGGTTGAGCCTTTGTGTTTTCCTTTGTTGCTTTCGTGGTATCAGTAGATACCTGGCTGGGAGGACATGTGGACCAGCTCCAGTGGGGTGTGGATATTTGTAGGTCTCCTTGGTCTTTCCTTTGTTCGGAACACCTGGTCCCATAGATGGACTTGTATGGACAACTCGGGCGAGGGTTGAGCCTTTGTGTACTGCGGGGGTTGGGCTGTGATATGTCAATGTCACACGTTCTTCTTCCACTTGGGTTTCCACTCCGTAGGCTTGATTGTAGTATTAATGCAGATTCTGTGTAGTCGTAGAGGTGTGGTTCGTGTGTGCCAAGCTCCGCAGCAAATATATGTTGGGATAGCCGGATAGACAAAAGGGACGAGAAGTACTGTACTGTACATATAGACTAGAGTGTAGGTAGTATTTGTTTTTCTTTGTCACTTTCTCCATTCTTCGATGCTATTTTCCTAGGCAAGTAGCCTGATGGTACGCTATACTAAGAATAATTTTTCTCAAGTTCTCCCGCTGTTCGAGAAAAAAGCCGTCAACAAAGGATCATGGATCAAAGGATGAGTTACCAGAGGGGGAGCGGGTAAACTATCCCTAGCTAGGCTAGGTTCCCGGAAAGCTGAGTCAGCCCGTGGGTCGCAACTCCACATTGGGGGAAAACTCAGCGGGCGAGACCCAATGCATCTCCAGCAAAGCATCTGGCAGTGGAATAATAACTGAATTCATTCACTCGTTCATCCACTGCAGCCACCACCACCAGCGGTTTCGTGGTAAACAAACACTGGCCTAAATACCCCTCACCCCCCCTCCCTCCCTCCCTCCCTCCCCCTTCCATCATGACAAGTCGTCGTCTTCTATCCCAAATCACATCAATCAAGATCTCTCCCTCTGTTGTCCCCACTGCACGATTCTGGAATTCTCCTCGTGTCGCAGCCAAAACCACCGTCTCTGTCAACTCTTTCTTTCCGCGGGTCCAGAACTTCACCACTTCCCGCGCCATGGAATCCGTCGCTGGCACTCCTGATGATAGTGGGGTTACCTACGCCTCGGTGTCTGACAGACTAGACCCCTTGCTCTTCAAGGCTATCGAAAAGTTGGGCTTCGACAGTATGACTCCCGTGCAGCACCGCGTAATGACCCAGCTGCAGCCCAACGGCTGGCGCGGTGACTGCCTGGTCCAAGCTAAAACTGGTACCGGCAAGACGGTCGCCTTCCTGCTGCCGGTCCTGCACCAGCTGGTGCACGGTGACACCTCCATCCCCAAGGGCCAGGTCGCCGTCCTGATCATCACCCCCACGCGTGAATTGGCGCTGCAGATTGCCAAGACGTGCAATGGGCTCACCTCCCAGTTGCCTCGACGGCGTGAAGTCCAATGCCACGTTGCCGTCGGCGGCACGGCCAGGGCCAGCGCCTTCAACGCGTTCATCGCCGGCGACCCCAAGGTCCTCGTCGCCACCCCGGGCCGTCTGCAGGACTACCTGAACGATGAGGAGTGCGAGCACAAGTTCAAGAACATCCAGACCGTCATCCTCGACGAGGCCGACACCATGCTCGAGGCCGGCTTCCTGCGGGATGTCCGGCAAATCCTGAGAAAGCTTCCCGCCAAGAGGGAGGCCGGGTGGCAGGGCATGTGCTTCAGCGCTACGGTGCCGCCCAAGGTCAAGGACGTGATCAACGTGGTACTGCGCGACGGATACCACCACATCTCGACGCTCGACCCGAACGAGTCCGCCACCCACGAGCGCGTGCCGCAGTATTCGGTGGTCGTGCCCGGCGTTGAGCAGCTCTACACGGCCTTGCACGCGCTCCTGAAGGAGGAGATGAAGGGCAAGAAGTCGAAGAAGGTGATCGTGTTCGGCGCCACCTCGAACTTGGTCGCGCTGATGAGCATGGCGTTCGAGAAGCTGCTGATGGGCCAGGCCGAGGTGTTTGAGATGCACTCGCGGCTGTCGCAGTCGGTGCGCTCGCGGACGACCAACCAGTTCCGGGAGGCCACCTCCGGGGTCATGTTTGCCAGTGACGTGGTCGGCCGCGGGCTGGATTTCCCCAACGTCGACCTGGTGGTGCAGGTCGGCCTGCCCGCCAACTCGGACCAGTACGTGCACCGCGTGGGCCGCACGGCACGTGCCGGCAACGACGGCCGCGCCGTCATGCTGCTGACCGAGCGCGAGAGCTTCTTCATCAAGGTCAACGCCGGCAAGTTCCCCATCCAGCCGCACCCCAACGCTGCGGACATCCTCGCCGCCGCCGCCGACCCCGCCCGCTCCAAGAATGTCGTCAACCGGGTCATGGCCGCCGAGGTCGACGAGGTCACCAAGCACCGCGCCTACTCCTCCTACCTCGGCTGCATGGCCGGCGGCCGCCTGCTCAAGCAAATGCGCCTCGACAAGCCCGGCCTCGTCCAGATGGCCAACGAGCTCGCGGTCAAGGGCTTCCAGTGCCCGGAGCCACCCCAGCTCCAGAAGTCCGTCGCCGGCAAGATGGGTCTGACGGGCAACATCCCCGGCCTGAGACTCACCAATGTCGACCCCAAGCTGTCGCTGAAGGGCAGGCAGCCGGCTCAAAATGGCGCCAGGAATCACCCCCCGCGTGACGTGCTGAGTCCCGAGCCCAGCGGCGTGGAGAAGCCTAAGCCCAAGCCTAGGGCCCCCTTCAAGCCGAAGCGCAATGGCTCGTGGGGCAAGACGCTCTAATCGTTCCTCTCTCCTCCCTTACCTTCTCACCTTCTGTTTGGCATTGCCGGGGTTTCTTTTCGCGTCTAGGGTTGAGTGTTTACCTACGAATGTGTACTTATAGATTCATAGATTTGCAATTGATGACTAGGTTCTGATTTTTTTGATTGAGGAGTTGTTCGTGAGCTCTAACCCATCGGGGAGCTAGATCTCCTGACTGTATGTCCTTGAGCGATTCAGATTCAGTAGGCACTTCACACATCACAATCTATCAGGATCGTCCAAGGGCGAATGTAGTTGCTATCCGGTCCCTTCATAACCCCTTTACCATGTATCAGGGTCAAGTTGGTTGGTCTGACCATACTCACGTGACTAGACCCTTGATCGGATCAAGGCTGGCTGCGGCTAGTGCAGGGCAGTGCCCTGATGCCTGATCCGTCAGGCTGCCACGGCTGGTCTGCTCTCAGAATGACGTCATCGCGATACACTGGCTCAGGTACACCCACGCCCATCCCAGGATCCGAACCGGCGATAAGCTTAGCTCGAATCTCGCGGTGCTCTACCTTGGTTGAGCTTGGGGCTGAATCCATGACTTCGAGATGCAGTTCCTGGCCATCTAGTTCCAACCCCCTTGAAGACATCCTTGCTCGAGATCGGGGGAGTGCTACCTCGCGCCTAGTTCTGGCACCATAATCATGGTAAAGGTTTCTTGTTTACTTTATACAGGCGTCCATGGGGAGTCGAATAACAACGCGGTGCAGGGCTATGGCCTTGGAGGGGGGGTGGGGGGTGCTAACTCGTTTCCTCCGACCGTACGACCGGTACAGACTCTACCAGGGGTCGATTAGGCATCTAGCCTCTGAGGAGATTTACGTGTCGGGATGGTTATCTCATAATTTACGGCTCCGGTTGGAGGTTATGAGCTCACCGACGCGGACGACGCGATGATGCCGATCTTGGATCTGCATCAGGCCTTCCCATGGTAGCATGGATGGTCTATGGTGGGGCAGGGCAGGTCCAAGCAGTCCCGCCTATGCACTACCGCTGCCGCGCGCCATCGGCTGATGCGGAGAAGAGCCGGGTGGTGAAGCCGAGTGGGAGGGGCAATCCCTGTTCGTCGTTCTTTAAAAGAGGCGGGATCGATGGGCCGGATGGATGTCTTGTACTAGACCGCACCGCGTTGCAAACTGATATCACCCGAGGATTGTGTTTCCTGCTTATCGCCGGAGGGGAACACAGAGCAGTATGCCTTTAAAAGTCGTGGTCGTCGGGGCCGGGCTCGCGGGCCTCGGGGCCGCCATTGCGCTGACTCGTGCGGGTCACGAGGTCGAGGTGCGCTACCTAGGACCCTATTCTCTGCTACAATTGTATTCTTCACTTTATACCTGTGAGCTTGGAATGCTGATTTGATTGCGTTACTATGTTTCTAGGTCCTCGAGCAATCGAGCTTCTTGAACGAGGTTGGCGCCGCCATTCACGTGCCGCCGAACGCTACCCGGATCCTGCGCGGCTGGGGCTGTGACTTTGGCAGCCTGCGGGCCGTCCAGTGCAAGAGGTTGCAGGTCTGGGATTCGGATGCTAATCTTATCTATACTCCGGTGGTGCGTTGTCATTTGATTACCTTACGATGCTATGGCTCTGGCTGAATTAATGAACTCGGCGTTGTGTAGGTGACCGAGGAGCAGCAGAGGACTCTTCGGATCTCCGATGACTGGCTTCTGACGCAATGCGTGGATCTCCATAATACCCTGCGTGCGACGGCGGCAAGGGAGGTCGATGGGCGGACACCGAATATTCGTCTTTGCTCGCGTGTGGTTTCTGTTATAGGTCTGGGTGATGAGTTGATACTGAGTTGAGCTGATGTCGTTAAAGGATCCCGATGCTGGTGTGGTCAGCTTGGAATGTGGTGAGACCGTCACTGGAGATTTGATCATTGGCGCCGACGGCATTCATGTAAGTTTCAGTCACCATCGCGGCGGCTCCCAACCACTGACTGCTGCAGTCCCGATCCGTCAAGAGTGTCACCGGTGAAGATTTGCGCAAGGTTAGCACCGGTCAGAACTGCTTCCGGTTTCTGGTGCCGGTCTCGAAAATGCTGGCGGACCCCGAGACGGCAGCGCTGATTCACAAGCTCGGGCTGGACGGCGTCCATGCCATCGCCTCCGAGGATAGAAGGCTAGTCCTCTATCCCTGCCGCGGTGGCGACTTGCTCAACGTAGCGGGAATCTACCCTGCGGAACCCGGCTTTACCGTGAAGGACTCTTCCTGGCTGGAGAGCGGGAGCATGGAGACGTTGCTCGAGACATACCGCTCGTTCGGTCCGGAGCTGCAAGCTATGTGCCGCAAGGCCAAAGATCTCAAGCTGTGGAGCTTGGCCTCGCGGGTGCCGCCCACAACCTTCGTCAAGGGCAAACTGGCGCTTGTTGGCGACGCAGCGCATCCCACACTTCCGCGTCAGTCCTTACAGCCCTAATTGTCAATGACCGAGTGAGATCCTGGCTAACGCAATCTCCAACCCACAGACCAAGGCCAAGGTGGTGCGCAGTCCTTCGATGATGGCGCTACGTTAGGCGCGGTCTTCACCTCCTGTACCACGCCCGAGCAGGTGCCGCAGCGACTCGAGCTCTACAACCGTGTCCGCTACAACCGGGCGATCACCGTGCAGTTCATGTCGAAGACGCACGACGAGAAACGAGCCGAGATGTTGGACGAACTGCGCCAGTTCGTGCCCGAGGCCGAGGTCCCGCAAAATATGTTCGCGTTTGCCTGGAGCTCCTACCCGGCTCGCGAGGCGGAACGGTTGCTGGTCGAGAGTGCGGCGGCGTGATCTGGGCGTCTCCTAGCTAGCACTTTGCACTGTACTGTACATATCTCATCAGTGGCTGGTGATTTGCACCAGAGCCTTGGCTTAGTGGTTCAGCTACCGCTGGCAGACTTAGCAATCATCACATATTCAATCCCGTCTTGCAGCACGCGTTGAAGTGGAGTGTGAGGTTGGACTGTGTGCACCGGCAGTGTGAGGGGATGCTTCGGCTCCCCACAATTGTGGTACCCGACGGTCCGGCGGGGACAAATGTGAGTAAATTGGCCAATACCAACAGGAATGAAAATGACGCGCTGGTTGTGAGCAGCAAATTGGGCGTGAGTACTTAGACTAGTCAAGAACACCATTGAAAGGGAGGACAAATGGATGTGATGGACGATGGAGGAGGACAGACGCTGGGGTGTGGAAGTGACAAGCCGGAAGGAGTCGGCAGAATGGCCTTAACCGTGTCGATCTTCGATTAGTGCTTTCCTGTCGTCCCCAACTCGACTCATCTCCCCACGCAAGCAACCTCCCCCTTGCGCACATTCCCCCACCGATGATGACTTTTGTCTCAGGCTGGCGAGCTGCTCTGTACCATCGCTAATCCTCCCTCAATATGCAAACCCCGCGTCTGCGATGCGACACGTGCAACGCGACCTTCCAGCGACGGGAGCACTATCAGCGCCACATCCGCACCCATACTAAGGAGCGTCCTTTTGGCTGCTCGGTATGCGGACAGACCTTTGGCCGAGTGTAGGTTAAATACGGTCTCTACGGTGCAGCTGTACATTAGAGACTCGGGCTTTAACAGTTTTAACAGTGACTCTCTGACCCGCCATCTTGGTACCATTCATCAACGCGGTAATCGACCGGATTGCGACAGGGACGAAGGCCGGCGCCGGGTTGCCCGCGCGTGCAAACCGTGCAATCAATCCAAGCTTCGCTGTGATGGACGACTTCCCTGCCATCGTTGCCAGAGCCATAACATCCAATGTCACTACGAAGCCCCTCAGAAGCGAAGGTTGACTGGATCCGGTGGTCCGGTCGATGACCAATTGACCAAATGCCCCCGGGCTGCCGCCACTGAAGCACAACGCGCGACGCTGTTATCGACTGCAAGCAGCAAAGACGTCACGCAGTCGACTGTCGCAGATTTCCTCCCCCCATCGCCATCGACTCAAACAGCCTCTCATGGCTTGGACTCACTTGAAGCCGCTACATCCGTCGCTCCCGGTGTTGCAGCCATCGGCGGCTGGACACAGTTACTCGAACCGTTCAATCCTAACTATGGCTCTCGAGTTTTTGATTTCGCGACCGAGGATTTTGACAGCCTTTTCGACTTGGATCAGGGCTTGGTTCTGGATCTGGACCTGGACTTGAGTTTTGATCCGCAGGCCTATACCGTGCCCAACCTTCTGGATAACGATGAGGTAGCACGAACGGCGGCTAAAGGAGTGGAACATGCTGGTCATGCTTCCCATCCCCCTGTCACAGAGACCTATCAAGTAGCTACGCCTCTGAGCCCGACTACCTTGGTAGAAATGTACCACCGGGGCTGTTCCCCTGGTCCCGATGGGGAGGCTATAGAGCTACGACAATATCACCCCGCGGTCGATGGCACGGATCCGCAATTCGGCTTTCCGGCTATGGATGACAGCTCTCTGGAGCAGACAGATCGCGAGAACCTAGCTCATGTTCCTGAGGTCTCGCCCACGGTGGTGGAGAACGTCGCTCATGTGGCTAGAACCATGCACACCACTGCTTTCCATCGTCCGTTCCTGGAGCTCCGCTTCCCGCCTACAATTGTTCTCAATGCTTGGCTGCAGCTCTACTTCGAACACTTCCACCCCATTCTGCCCATCCTCCACAAACCCACCTTCAATAACCAAAAGACTCACTGGCTGTTAATATTCGCAGTCAGCGCCGTTGGGGCTCAATTCTCTGATCTCCCCAAGTCCCATAGCTGTGCCAGGGCGATGCACGAGATGGTGCGCCGACAGACTAATTTCCTGGTATGTCTGACACCTTGACCCGACGTAGGAGAACGATAGCTGAGATCAGGTTCGTGCGGGATAAGTGTGAGCAGCAAAACAAATTCAGTCGTGAGCTTTGGATGACGCAGGTCATTCTGCTGAATCAAATAGCGCTCGCGTATTCCGGTGAGCGAAGGGACTTGGAGTTGGCGGAGCTGTATCAGGCCGTCCCAGTCACTCTGGCCCGCCGCAAGCATTTGTTTGCCTTCGCTACGTCCTTCCAGAAGATGGCGCGGCTGGAAATGTCTCTGCCCCAAAGGTGGCAGATATGGACTCTTGATGAGGAACGGCGTAGAGCGGGCTTTGCTGTCTGGGTAAGAACTTCGGCAGGGTAAACGATGCTGCTCGCTAACTCTGAGGCAGTTGCTCGACTCCGCGTTTCAGTCCGATTTCGATCTTACGACCCTCATGAACGAACGGGAATTGCAAAACACGCTCCCACAGCCTGAGGATCGATGGGCGGCACGGAGTGCTTCATGTTGGGCTGGCTTCCCACCTCCAGGTGAGCGACAGTTGCCTTTATGTCTCTTGATTGAACTAAGCTTTGATTAGCGAAAGCTCCATCGCGACTGAATGAGACGGTATCAGACCATGACTGGGTTTTTTCCTGGAACAATACAGGAACGATCGGAAAGCAAGCGATCCTCCGGTTACTTTGCAACATTGTGCAGGCTAGAAGTACCTATTCACGACAATCATATGCAGTTGATCGAGAGGGCGAGGTGGCAAGGGAGGCGTTGAGACGTCTTCTTTCATTGCTAGATGCTGATGAACAGAATCTGCCGCCAACAGAGCTCAAGGCATCTGTGGCCCATCGGACTATGATTCTCTCTGCCCTTATGATCAGCCAAGCTCTACACATCTCACTGATACCAACGGCCTTGCGAGTCAAATGTCAGCGGTATCGACCCGACGAGCTTAACGAGCTCAGAGCGTTGTGGAGAGCCACGCCTCAGCAAGGACGACTTTCGATATATTATGCCGCGCGCTTGTTTGAAACCGTGCGATCACATTGGTGCACACATTTCTCCGCCCCTGTTCTCTTTCTCAAGTCCGCCCTTCTGTTGTGGACATACTCGACCCTGCATGTTACAACCACGTATCGTGCAGCGGATGAGCCGTCCATTGTCATTGCGACCTTAGACGACAGAAGTGCCTCGTTGAATGAGTGGCTAGAGCGTGGGTCGGTTCGCGTCAAGATAGCAGGAGTTGGTAGTATCATGACGGACGAGGGTCGAGCGAGACTTCTGGACGAATCTATCTCGGCGATGAGGTCGCTAAAGTGCTGGGGTGTAAGCAAGATGTGCAGTCAGGTTCTGACACGGTTGCGAGGCAAGTGAGCAGGTCATCCCCTGAATACTTCGCTGTCCATTCGATTCTACCTACAACTTGAAACGGGTCGATCCCACAAATGATCTGCCCGGTATACAATTCAGCAATCGTCGCCGAGAGTCCTTGCCCCGCCAGATTTGGATTGCATGATATAACAAAAGCTGCATCGATGTGGAATTGATCTGCAAGTCTGCACGCATTTTCATCAACACAATCTGGCAGATCGACCCGTTGGGTTTTCGGGCGTTGCTTGACGAGGTCGAAAAACCAAGACTACATCTCCACATCTAGCCGAACGCCTCCTTCTCCACACGTGTGCTCGGCTCCCCACAAGTGAGCCTCCCAGTGCTCCTGCGGGCCTTTTGTTGAGTCAGCGGGACTTTGAGTCCGGATGAAGCATGCATTCTCTTATAGTGGTAAGTCCGACTCGGCTTATTTGATTAAAGATTATCCTAACGACCCATAGAACCAAGGTTGATAGTGTGAAAATGTAGATAAGAGCGACGTTATAAGCAGCCGCCGGCTGAAACTCGCCGCGACATTCCTCTCTTCCCTGCATTTCCCCCTCCAGGCCATTTCAATAGCCGTTCACTTCTATCGCGAATATCTCACACCCCCTTCGGTAATCCTAAGCTGCTAAAGCCACCGGAAAAAATGCAACCGCCTAAGCCCTTTATCGGGGCGATCGGGGGCTCCTTTGTCCTACTTCAGCTGCTGTTTCTGGCCATGATGTGCTACCTATACGGAACGGCCTTTCATGATACATCCCGAATTCAACACATGAAGGTCCTCTGAGTCGACTACGACCAAGGTTTGGTTGGCGAGTCCGTTCTTGCCGCCTACTCGCAGCTCCAAGACCCCGGATTCCCCAGCGTGCATCAGCACTCCCCGAGCGAGTTTCCCTCCACAGGCGATGTTCGACGAGCTGTCTGCCACGGTCACTACTGGGGCGCAATCTACGCAAACTCGAATGCCTCCACGCGACTTTCCAGCGCCCTCGCCTCTCACGAAGCAGCGGAGGCGTACGACAACACGACCGCCCTGACGTACGTGTGGAACGGGGCACGATACGCTGCCTACGCGCAAACCATCTACGCCAGCCTCGAGGCCCTCGTCACAGCCACCAGCGGCGCGTACGGACAACTCAACAGCACGACAGCGATGGCCCACGTGAATGTCTCCGATCCGTCCATCGCGCAGACCCTGCTCGCCCCGATCGCAGCTTCGGCGATCGACATCAAGCCCACCAACCAGGGGCCGCGCTTGTTCTACAACACCGTGAGCATGGTGATGCCCATCCTGATGCAGTCCTTCTTCATCATGGCGGTGAACAGCATCTCCGCCGAGTTCGCCGCCTTCACTTCCACCTTGTCCGTGACCCGGCACACTTTATTCCGGATGTGCCTCTCCCTGTGCTACACATTTCTCGGCGCCCTCGCCATGGCCGGCTACATCTGGGCCTTCCGCGAGGACTGGAGTACGAGCGACGGCAACGCCTTCGGCCGCACCTGGATGGCCCTCTGGCTCGTCATGCACATGAACTACCTGTGGCAGGACGCGACCACCGTCGTCGTGCCCTCCAAATTCATGTCCTTCGTCATGCTCACCTGGATCATCCTGAATGTCTCCAGCACCATCGGCCCTTTCGATCTGTCGCCCGGATTCTATCGGTGGGGCAACGCCCTCCCCGCCTACGAGATGTACCAGGTTCTGCTGTATATCTGGACGGACGGTTGCAATCGGCCCGCGCTGCATCAGTCGTTGCCGATTCTGTTCTCGTGGTGGGTCGTCGGGCTGGCCGTGTTTGTGGTCGGGATGCGGGCTAGGGTGCGGGCGTTGCGCGGGATGGCTGGAGGGCCGGAAGGCCGTGAGGAGCGGGAAGGTGAGGGGGTGGTGAAGATGTAATCTACCTTCTATTCTGTTCAGTTTGCCGCGAGAGAGTGGCAGGTTTATAGACTTGCGACTGGATACAAGCTTCAGCTTTCAGTCCGTTTGTTGACTCTTATATTTCATTTCACTCCAATACACGGGTGCCATGTGCCATGTTCACGGACTCTCGGCTGTTATTGTCTCTCTTGCTCGCCAGGTGAAGGGTGAAGAACGCATCTCGTCTTTCCTGTTGCAATGCAGTATACCCACCATGTGACGTCCCTATTTACGCATGGGCTATTTCAGAAGATAGCGCCCATGTTTACATGTCAGATAGCGTCATACAAAGTATAGCGAAGCAGACGCAAGCATGCCCACTACATACATATATGAGTAACTTGCTCTCTGCGTTCCGGACAAATAATCACGTGACTCAGCAATTCCCCAGGCGAGGTGTCCATACAGATCGCCTAGGTACGTTAGCTAGTCAGTCCCCTCTACCAAGGCATCGGTCCATTCTGCCGGTGCCGTGCCTGAGCTTCGTCGGATCGCTACACATGCGCTAATTAGTCTCATGATTACCAGAGACACCCCCCTCCTTTCACTGAGAAGCCCTCATAAGGTACTAGTATATTGTGCACTTCGCCCGAAATAAATTAGATCAAATAACGATGACATTCAACCAGAAAGATGGAATACCGACATGAGGTTAGGCATAGAAGTATGCGTATTCTTCCAATTCCAATCTCCAGAAGAAAACTCGCAAGTACCAGAATCAGACTTATATCGACCCTAAAACACAACAATAACAAAGACGCAATCTACATGACCTAACATGAGACAAGATCAAGCCCCATAGAACATACCAGGACGTTTCGACGAGCCCGCCCCCGCCCCGGAATCAGGCGACTCCCGCCGTCTCTTCCGCTCCACCGGGTCGCTCCCCCCAATCGTAATCCCATACATATGCGCATGCCCATACCCATATATATCGGCACCATTCACACTGGCCAAGAGCACCTTTGCATACGCCGCCGCCGTCGCAGCCGCGTAGTGCTGCCACCGGGTATTCCGGTGCGAGTCGCCGTAGTCGCAGATTCCGCGGATCAGGACACATGGAAAGACATCGACGATGCCGGCGGCCTCCGTCTCGAAGCATAGGATGTTGTGCGCCTTGATGAGGAGGTCGCGGTGGTAGCCCGCGCGCGGGATCGCGGTGCTCGAGGCGATGAGGCCGTAGTGGATGTGGGGCCGGAGGGTGGGCCGGAGCGGGCGGCGGAGCTCGAACATCGACCAGCAGCGGTGGCAGTCGGCGTCGCTGGGGAGGGCGTGGGAGTAACAGCTGAGGAAGAGGCGGTCGGGGTCGGGGTCTGGGTGTTGATATTGGATTTTGAGGAGCTCGATCTGGCGGATGTAGCGATCTAGGGAGGCGGTGGCACCGTCCGGGTTGGCTTCGAGGGCGCTGATTGCTTGTGTGAGGTCGGTGGGCGGCGGGAGGGGGAATCTGTTGAGCGTGAGAGGTCCGCTTAGGGGGGTTTGGGTGATGTCGTACGGTATGACTCCCGAGTACAGGCTGTGGGGGTCGCTGACGATAACATCGCCTAGTCGGATGTCGTGCGCGTCGAAGGGCGTTCCTGCGCCCATGCCAACTAGGAGACAGAAACGTATCCCGGGGAAGCTGTGCTTTATGTAGTGGACACTGTTCCGCGCGGATTCAGTGCTATCTGAGCCGTGCTGTAGGCAGACGCCGACCACGTTGTGCTCTGCTATGCGGCCCAAAACGTAATGGTTGTGGTCCCCGGCTGGCATCGTGACTGGCTCGAAGACCTCGTCGAAAAGAACACGGACTGCCATCAGCTCATGTTGTAAGGCGCAAATAATTCCGACCGTGTAGTGAGCGAGTGTCAGCTGTCTGTTGGACGGCTGATGGAGAATGTGTTCTGACGGGCCAGCTGTGGTATTTGCCATGTTGAAGAGCCCCTGCTCTATCGTCTGAGACGCCCCGCATGCCGATGAACGCCCTGCACCCGTATAGATCGATGGAATCTGACTATCACCGGCGCTGTCTTTGAAGTAGTCTGGTCCCAATTCTTGAACGGCAGGCTTAGACCTAGTTGGATATCCGTAGTCGGCCCAATACCATGCATCGTCCGGGTTAAACCCAAAGACCATGGCCCCTACGTCCCAATCTGAGGCCACGGTCGTCTCTTGAGCTTCGTTCAACATCGCGACGGGTACAAGCATGTCAACATGCTTCGTGCTCTTGGATCTCTCCTCGAAGTTTTGCAATGGATGTGTGTTGCTGGCCTTTGTAGAGCACCAAAGCAGGTCATGGGTCAGTCTTGCGGGATGAGAGTCCGGGTCACCGTTTGCCTCCGCTATATTTCTGATATCTCGTGCGCTGGCCGTGAGATAGAACCTGCCAGTCGGGACTGTGTTCCATGATGCAAATGGTTGTGGCCAATTCGCAGGTTGTATGATGTCACCGAAGCCCCGACCAAATAACGTGACTGCATAGATCGCACGAGTTAAGTCCACCCAGGATCGACCTTCAAGTGGTAGAACTGTCTGTCGCAGGTAAATAGGATTACTCTCCGTGGTGAGGTCCCGGAAATCCCACCCGTCCAGCAAAGACCTTGGTTGTTTACCAGCCGTCCCGCGCCGACTTGTGGCTCTGAGCCGAATGTCTATTGCTTGTTCCAGCAAGGTAAAGTAGTCTTCAGCACGGTCTTGAAACGTAATTGGATTCTCTCCGCTCCTGGACATGTTTATCTTGCGATTGATCGGATGAACTAGCAGTTGGAAAGCTGAGTCCCATTGATACGGCCGTTTAGCCTCGTGTAGCTGGTCCTCATGCAAATGGCGAGCGGCCTCAGATGCACTATCACGGCGGTCTTCATAAATCGATGCTCGGATAAGATGTAGCAGAGCGCTAGCTCCGTTAACCAGCCATCCTCTTTGATCCGCTTCATCCCATAGAACAACGTATTTTTGAAAGAGCCATTTCATCTTCTTAATGAATGACGATCGCGGTGCTCTAATGTCTCTTTGACCTAGGACAGGGCGTATGCCGTCTGCGAATATTGGGCCTGCAGAGAGCGTGGAGGTACTGAAAAGCTCTTGCTCCTCAATAGTGTATGGTAGTCCGGTATTTCCAATGCTGTAGCTCGCACCCTGTTGACCTAGAGCCAGAGAGTTAGTGTCAAACATCAAAAGACTCGTAGTCAGAGTCAGAAAGTTGATGTACAGACCTGCAAATAGCTTTATCTCTGGACACCAACCTACTACGTGCCGAGCTGCCTTCAGAGCATGGACTGCAACAGAGAGACCTGGCCACTCTTCGCTGCGTAAATGAGACATACGGCCCCGGTTCTCCTGAGTGAAATGCCATGAGACAATATTCTGGGAATAGCTAGTCACAATCGCTATGCTGGTAAACCCCTTCAAGAGTGTCTTTTCGTCAAATAGGGATACTCGAGTAGTGTCAACCAGCTGAGCCAGCATTCCTAGCGGTAATTCGAGACCCTCGGACGCGTGCGACGGTCGTCGGCGGATTGGGAAACCTTCCACTACCACTGGACTCGCCATCATTCTGTGCCAGCACTGCCCGTTAAGGGGCTCCATGCTCTTGACACTCTGCCTGAGTTCAACTGTGAGCTCAAATAGAAAAGCTGATTGTGGACTGTGACCACCGTTATGCGGCCTGGTAGTATGCACGATAGGCTTGCTATAGGCAACCATCCCTTCCAAAGGACAGGTCCGCAACGCGGAGGCCATCCATGCTACCTGCTCGCCAATCTCTGCAATGGCGGGTCCCGTTCCGCAGATTTCGAAGAGCATTTGGCGCGATGACCGTTCCTCTGTAAATGTGCCTCGGGTACAAGTGACTCGAGTACCGTCTACAAGGGTAACTACTGTAGACAAAGATGTCAGCTATCGAATTCGTCTCATAAGTGATGATCAACGTTACCAGATTCCTTGATACCCTTGATTATAGTTGTCTTCACCAGGCTCAACACGTCGCAACCTGTACAAGGCCACGTCTGGTCCATATATTCCCGAATGGTCAAGGCCTGTGTTGAAGAAAAGCAGCCGGTTGTTGTAATAACTCTCTCAAATGCGTAGTCTGCTGTCTCTTCATACCGCTGCTCCTCCATGAAAATGACCGGATCCCAATACGTCTTGAGTGCGACATTGAACCTCTGACTGGGGGCTCTTCTACTAATCCGGTGAGCCTTAGGCAGAGCCTCAAGAATGGTTTCGCGGACCCTGGCTCCATATCTTGGTCCTGGCAGTGCGATCATACGCTCACGTCGAATCCTCTTCAACAGCAATGGATATGCAGGACTAGCCTGGATCAAGAGCAGATAGTTCTGCGTTTGCGAGCGATTGCTGCCAGCCTCAGAATTGTTATTCGGAGTGGTTGTGTCTTCACCGGACTTGGCGGTTTCACTCTGCTTTATGCGGCTTTTTCGGCGATCCGCGAGTTCACGATGAGGGAGGCTCATGCTGTGTAACGCTTCGTCATTCCGCTGACCCTCAAACCACATCGTATTGTCCACAGACCTCGCTTTAGCCGAGGGCTGCTTCAGAAATTCAGTACCGCGTGAGAGGAGAGCTTGCTCGAACATGGTTGCAATCTTTCTGAGGACGCGGCACAAAAGGTCAGCTGCAAGTAGATTACTGCCTCTTGGCGAAGACTAACCGTCGATGTTGGTGAATGAATACCATGATATCACGCTGGGTTTGACTGGAGGATGCTTGGCCTAGACTCAGTGCAAAAGCTCTCAGCAGCTCAGGGAGAGCTTTGACGATATCCTGAATGATCTCGTGATTCAGATCGTAGATATCCACGGCCTTGGCGAGGTCTGCGGCTAGCTCGTGCATACATGCCTGTATTCCATCACCGTTATTAGAGCACCGGGAGTAGATGCTTTCCCTGTCGTTTTCGTCACTAGCACTGCCGCCCTCTAGGGACTCGGTTTTACCCAAAGCTATCTTGTTCCCTGTCGATATTGCCACATGTTCTTCACGCTTTGGGTGCATATTAAAAGCATGACCGGAGTCTGTGTGACCTGTGCAAGGTTCAAGCCCAGTGGCCTGTGCTTCCTTGTCACCCTCCTGCGATAGTACGACACAGCTTTTGCATTTCTCAGTGCTCCAGGTCCTCGCAGTCGCGCCATCTGTTGTGCCTAACCCATTCTCAAACCGGAGATTAGTGAACAAGTAACAAGAGGGAGTAGGCTTTAGGTCATTCTTACCGGGTAAAGGGCTTCTTAACTTTGCTCCAGTCTCAGGACTTGATAGTGAAGAACCCAGAATGCGCTCCGGCACACTGACATTATTTCCCTGCAGAGACCCAGGGCAGCCAGGAGAAGCTTGCTCAAAGCTCCAAAGAGCAACCACAACTGGTATCTCCATCTTGTCGGAGTCAAACTGCTGAATGGATGTCTCAGGGGTCTTTTTGTGATTGCTGGCAATGCAAATCTCTTGGACCATCGTGATCTTTCGAATGAGTTTCTCCGTCTCGGGACCTGAGTCAGAAAGCAATACCTCACCACCCATCCAGCTGGTGTCAAAAGGAACTGCCAGCGCAGAAGAGAGTGGATCAGGAGAGAAGGTCGAGAGATGCTTTTTGATCAGAATCCCATCTCGATAGAGGAAGTTGTAACACACCCATTGGTCCGCATCGAATGCGCGACTGCTCATCTTTCTCCGGCGTAGCTCGAAGAGTGTCTCAAAGCTGGATCCCGGGGTCCCGCCTTCCTTTGGGATCTGAAGGACGGCATGGAAGTGAAGTATCTCGCACCGGCAGGGCCCAGTCAGAGATTCAATGAGCATCTCCAAACGAGGGAATCGCCGTCGCCAGCGCGCGAGGTCGGCCAGACTGATCAAGCTCACCACAGGCTGATCATCGTCTGAGCAGACGAATGTGTGACGTGTATTGTACTTTGTCTCCAGTGGTCCCGGCGGCCGTGACTGCATGTGAAACCGAACATGACTGATCGAGAGATAGGGCTCGGGTTGGCCGACGGGCAGCGGATCCTTTTCGTCCGTGCGTACTCTGATTGCGGGCTGTGCGGGTGGCGGTGGCCCACAGCCAATATCTGGAAAGGATCCATCTGACCAATCATGTCCGTTGCTCATGTGGATACGCCTTGGCGACTGAGGGAAGGAAGATTCGGACCGTGTGACAGTTCGTATCTGCGTTGCTCGCCCCTGAGGGTCGGAGCGCCGACGGGGCCATTGCGGAGGATCGTCGTCGTCATCGTGGTGTCTGTCCATACTCCAATCTGGGTGTTAGTGATGTGATCTCTGCGAAAAACGACTCACAGGATATTGACTCGACGGTGCGAGAACCTGTAGTGAGTGAGAGGAAAGAATAGGAGGCATTTGTGAGAAGAGATTGCGAGGGAGCTGGAGGTGGGTGATGGGGAGTGGGGAGTGAGGCTAGCGACTTCTTGGTCGTACTTATGTTCATGCAGGTGCTAGTCCTCTTTGAGATGGTCTGTCAGCTGACTTCACAAACAATCTCATCAACTAAACAGAGTATAGTACAGTAAACTAAGCAATTAGCATTGTGCATCACTTCATAGTGTGTAAACAGGATCATTTATCCCCGCATATCGACGCTAAACTACCTGAATCCACTCTCCGTCTCCAACCACGTGCCAAAGTCTTTCAGATCCGGATTAAGCTTTCTCAGGGCTTCAATATCAGCCCCATAACCCTCATTATGGAACCATTTAAACATCACTCCAAGCTCCTTGACGGCCATCATCATCAGCTTGACCGGAATCCTGAAGGTGGTGGGCACGTCTTTTCCCGTCTTCTGCTTGAAGATTGTCGCCATCTGATTATACGTCAACTCATCCCCCGCCAGGGAGAAAGCCTTCCCTTGTGACTTCTCAGGATGAAGAAAGGCTTGAGCGGCAAAGAAGCCGATGTCACTGGTGGCGATCAACTGCAACGGCTTGCCCTTCAACGCCATCTGCCACGCGGTCGCAAAGACACGGCCAAAGTAATCGGGCGTCAAGTTCTCGAAAAAGGCGGTGGGCCGTAAGATCGTCCACCGCATGTCGGTCCCCTCTGATTTTGCGATCAAGTGTTCTTCGATTTCATGCTTGTAGATGAAGTGCGGTACTTCGGTGGGGTTGTTGATGGAGGCCTCGCCGCCGCGGTCCACGGAGCTGTAGACGAAGAACTTCACGCCTTGCTTGATGGACTCGTCGACTAGGGCCAGACCCTGTCGACGCTCGTTATCGTTGCGTGGATCAGCAGCCTGTGCTGGGTCAACATCTCGATGATACCGATGTGGTGTGCGATCAACTGACCTGGACACTATACACCCCCCATATCGGAGTGGAGCTCCCGCTCTTGGCGGCGCGGAATAGCGCTCTCGGATCATCCAGGTTACCTTCGACCAGTTTAATCCTGGGCGATTGCTGTGCGAGCTTTTGGGCAGAAGAGGACTGTGCATTGCGCGTGACGGCGAGGATATCGAAGGGGGCATTCTTGGCGAGGAGATTGCGGATTACTGAACCTCCCTGTTTGCCGGTCGCGCCGGTGATGAGGACTGCGCTCATGTTTGTCGCTTACTTGGTTGATAAATTCGAATAGTTGGATGAGGAGATAATCCTGACATGCAGTTCTCTCAAATTCAACTTATACTTTGCTTTTATCTTGGACGAAAGTCTATCGCAGACAGAGTTTGCGGATTATTGAGTCGATTACACAGCGACTGGCCGTTTGCGGCCTCCTCGGCCTCGTTTTCGACCCCGAGCTGACAAACCACCAAATTACCACGGCAGCTTTATCGCGAAGATACATCCGAACCAGACAAAAATTCAAGTAAAATTCGAGCAAATGGGGTCAAAGAAATTCCCTGGGTGGTGACACCATGTGGCAACCCCTTTCCTGGCTTTCAAGCGGGAGGCAAAAAAGCATAATGTATCGATATCATCGGGTTTGAGAGTAAACCCGATTGCATATGAACGATTGCCAGGGTTGATAAATCATCCTAAAAAAGCAACATTATAGGCGTTGATCGGACTTCATTTCACCATGATGACCAACCATTCTTCTGCATACTTTCCCTGAGTGGGGACCTGCAGACGACTTCTGCTTTATAAAGTTCTTTGAAACTCTTGTAATGGCCGTGTGTGTTTTCAACTGGATAGAAGGTTTATACTTCATCATTCCGGTGTGGCAAGATTTCTAACTTGCCTAATATGCCCGAGGGTCTCTCGATGTCTAACTCTAACCTTCTATACGGCAAATCGAAGTCAAATAACACTGCATCGTTTGACGTCGACAGTCAACATGAAGATAACGACGAGGCTCAGTTCTACCCCATGGGACTGCAACTGGCTGTCATCACCATAAGTCTGATGTTGGCGGTTTTCTGCGTGGCCTTGGACAACACGGTACAATCTATACCCTCCTATCAAAATCATAATGTCATCACTAACATGTCGAGAAGATCATGGCAGTGGCTATTCCCAAAATCACCGATCAATTCCATGCTCTAGACGATGTCGGCTGGTACGGCTCATCATATCTCTTGACCACTTGCTGTATGTGTGCATCGACCCCGTCGGGTGATTCTTAAACGGCGGTGGCTAATCCTCGGACCGCGACGCAACAGCATTCCAGCTTCTGTACGGGAAGCTCTACACTCTCTTCAGCATTAAATGGGTCTTTCTCTCTGCGCTCTTTGTCTTCGAACTGGGCTCTCTCATCTGTGGTGTCGCGCCGGACTCTGTCACTTTGATTGTCGGTCGCGCGATCGCAGGACTGGGGAGCGCAGGCATCTTCACCGGTGCGATGGTGACTTTGGCCCACACGGTCGCCCCGGCGAAAAGGCCGATGTTCTTCAGCATGCTCGGAGGGATGTATGGGATTGCATCTGTCGCTGGGCCTTTGGTAAGTGCGATTAGTCGACCATTCTCCATCAGTCTGTGTAAGCTCCCACAAATACTAACGTCTGACGCTCTAGATGGGCGGCGCCTTCACTGACCACGCCACCTGGCGATGGTGTTTCTACATCAACCTTCCCCTCGGCGGAGTCACGGCCATCGGACTTCTGACACTGCTGCGACTACCCGCAAAACCACAAACCCAGAGAAAATCACTTGTTGCGACACTCGAGGGCCTCGATCCGCTGGGGACCGTCATCTTCGTCCCCGCCATCGTCTGCCTGCTCCTCGCCCTGCAGTGGGGAGGGGTCACATACCCCTGGTCTAGCGGACGCGTGATTGCCTTGTTCGTGATCTTCGGACTGGCGCTTTTGGCATTTGTCGGTCTCCAATTATTCCTCGGAGAAGACGCCACCGTTCCCATTGACATCGCCCGCCAACGCACCATCGCCTCTGCGTCGCTGTTTGGTCTCTGCATCGGGGGATCATTCTTCACCTTGATCTACTACATCCCCATCTGGGTATTTCCATCCTCCTTTCTCTTCCCCAAACACACCCACAAACTAATTCATGGGGTAGTTCCAAGCGATCCGCAACGTCAGCGCCGTCCGCTCCGGAATCAACTCCCTCCCCATGATCCTCTCCAATGTCGTCGGCATCATCGTCTCCGGCGCCCTGACCACCGCCTTCGGCTACAACGCGCCGTTCTTCCTCCTCAGCAGCGCCATCATGTCCCTGGGCGCGGGGCTAATCACCACCTTCACGGTCGACATCTCGCAAGCCAAATGGGTCGGGTTCCTGTTTCTGTACGGCCTAGGTGTGGGCTTCGGCTTCCAGCAGGGCGGGGTCTCGGCGCAGGCGGTCCTCCCGCTCTCCCAGGTCTCGGTCGGCACGGCCATCGTCATGTTCCTGCAGATGCTGGGCGGGTCGCTGTTCGTCTCGGTGGCGGAGAATATCTTCTCCAAGCATTTGATCTCCAATATCGCCGCGCTGGATATTCCCGGATTGAGCCCTGAGGCGGTGGTCGCGGCTGGCGCGACGGGGTTCCGGGCGTTGGTCGGTGCGGAGGATCTGCCAGCGGTGTTGGTCGCGTATAATGATGCGTTGGTGAAGGTGTTTCAGTTGGCGCTGATTTTGGGCTGCTTGAGTCTGTTGGGGGCGGTCGGGGTGGAGTGGCGGAGTATGAAGGGGAAGAAGATCGACATGGCGGCTGCTTGAGGTTTGGCGATTCGCCCTGTGGAGCTCTGCAGCTATCTGTGAAGAGGGATTTGTACACACGATTTGTATTCAACTACCTTTTTTGGATACCATTCATTCTCCCTACTATTTGAGCCCGTCTTCCCATTGTTTCCTCATCGTAGGTATGCCTGCTGGACATGCCAACTTCTGATTTTAAATAGCGAAAGATATAAATTATAATCATTGGCCCAGACGAACATGGGTGAAGTTTCTACAACAGTGAAGAAAATTATCAGCGCCTGGCTTTTGCTTCGATACCTGCGTGAGTGACCATAATTCAGGTAGCAACAGGTTTCGACGTGAAAAGATTGGTTTGGTGCAGTCTGATGATGGCCGGCCATCGCACTACCTCCCCGTTTCGTAGTTCAGGCTCTCTCCACCAGACCTCGCACCCACAATCGCTTCTGCATTTTTCTCTTCATCTTCTCCCTCGGATACTTTTTCCCCTATTCTAAATCAACAGACACCTCCAACCTGCGTCATCTCTGTGACGATTAAAAGATCTACTCATCCACCGACGCCGCCGACGCAGCCCCTGCCTGCTCAATAAACTCCTGCCTCAACCACGCGTCCGCCGGCGTGACCCACCACGACACCACCGCAAACACCGTTACGATCGCCAGGATAATCGGCGCATCTAACCAAGCCAACCACACCAACCATTAGCATATCGCCTCAACCTCGAGCCCAGCCTCCTCCCTTCCTCCCTCATTTAGGGAAACAGAACACGAAACTTACAATTCAACGTCCCCGCCCCAACCGGAAACTCATACGGCGAGAACAAAACCGCCACGACCCACGCATTCCATACAACCGCAACAACCTGAAAGGGCACCCTCCACCGTCCAAGCGACCACTTCGCCTCCAGCTTCTGTTTCCGGGTGAGCGTCAACCGACCGAGACTGATGAGCCCGTACGCCGCAGCGGAGGGAACGCCCGCGGCGGAGACCAGGGAGGTGAATGCCACGGCGGACGGGAGGATCGTGCAGGTGATGAGGGCGGAGACACCCCATACCACCAGGATGGCGTTGCGGGGCTGGCCCTCCTCGGACACGCGGGAGGTCCACGTGGAGAAGGGGAGGACGCCGTCGCGGGCGACCGCGAAGACGAGGCGCGAGGCGGCCGTGATGGCGATGGCGGTGTTGAGCCATAGCGCTGTCACGGAGAGCACGTTCATGACGATGTGGCCGCCGCGGCCGAGGACGACGGCGTAGAGTGGGACGAAGGGTTGGGGGGCGTCGTAGGAGAAGAGGATGTCGATTGGGGGCTGGGGGGGGCAAAAGGTTAGTTGAGGGTTCCTCTGGAATTGTTGGGGACTTGTGTGGCTGACGTACGGATGTGAAGAGGAACAGGATGACGGCTGTGAAGCCTAGCACGCCGCTGATGACCGTGCTCCAGAAGATGCCCTTCGCTGCGTTGAGGGACGCGTTCTTCGTCTCTTCCGCGACGTGACCTGAGGCGTCGAATCCGATAAGAATCCCGGCGGTTGCGAGGTACGAGAGACACCAGTTCCATCCGGCTGGCGCACCGGTGCCGTTATATGTGGTCATAAAAGCTTCGTGGGCGGTTCGGAGGCCGTAGGTGTTGTGGGCGCCCACCGGGAGCCAGATGAGATTCAGGATGAAGTCCAGGAACACGGCGCCTGTCGATAGCCAGAAGACGTATCGGAATATCCGGGCTGAGGGTTGTTAGTTCTCCAATCTGTCGCCTAGTCGGTGACTTACGCGAGGCAAGATTTATCCATGCCGCCAATGCTAACATCACTTCCGTGCAGATCCATTGCAGCGCACGGAACTTAATGTTCCCTGTGTCGGTGGGAAAATCGACTTCAAAGACGGTCAATTCCTATGATTGTGAGATTGCATGATCCGGAATATATTCAGAAGTGTCCGACTAACAGATAGCATATAGTTGACAGTGGACTGAGTGTTGCCTGCACCTGTCAGCGCGATCGAGCGAACATAGTGACGATACATACTGGCACAGAACGTCGTCCAGGCGGTCGTACTCCACCAAGCGACGATGAATCCGAACAAGCGCCCGAACCGACGCCCTCCAGCCTCCGCAGCCCAGAGGTAGATTGAACCTGCTGTTGGGGCTGCGGAGCAGACCTCTGCAATGACGGCTGCAGTAATGAAGGTGAACACACAAGTCACGATATAACTCGTCCTGAAATTGTTTCAACACGGAATCATGAGTCGAGGAATACGAAACACACCAGTAGGCGAGAGGCCCCCCTGCCGCGATGCCAGTGGAGAACATGACGCGAACGCCGCCGACAAAGTACAAGGCCGCTACAAAGTTCTAAGTCAATTTCTGCCCTCCGTGACCAGGCAGTGACACTCACCGAATGAGGTGGAGAAGTTCTCGAAGAGTGAGTAGCTTCGATGGAGAACCTGGAACTGTCAACACCAGCCATCTTTGGCGTTCTTCGTCTATTACCTGTTTGTATCCGAGGCGCTCCTATGATTCATGAGTATGATGATCCTAGCTGACAACTTATGGTGAACGACTAACCAGCGCAACCTCATCGCTTTTATTCGTCTCAACAACCGTCGAGGTCGAATCACTCTTGGCCGTCATGACTCAATGTTGCGCCCGTCTTGGGCCCCTAGAAAGTCGATATGAAATTTCGGCACTGGCAGAGCCTGCAGACACGCCTCGTATTAAACATCGGACCCTTGTTGGCCAGTCGGTCATCACGACCTAAAACGTGCATTAGACCGAACCGACGAGCTGGATCACGCCTTTTTGCCCCGCTTTATTCCACGTGGATGACGCCTTATATGCATGCTGAGTCGTGAAGGTCAATTTTTGTGTGGTCTATTGCGCCATTGTGTGACAAGCCAAGGTGATAAAGTGACATTGCGGGTGCGGATGACGCGATCTCCATGCGGGACCCAGAAGCCTAACTACTCCCGTATCGAACAGAATCCCTGAATTCCATGCGGTGAAGAATCCTGTTTTGCACAGTCCATGATGGGTGTACACAATTCTCGGGTTCCGCGGCCGGGGTTGACATATATTATGTGTTGTACGGGTAGGGAGAACAGGTGCAAGCAAGATACAACATGGGCTTGATCATATCGATTGCTTTGGTAGCGTTAGCTGCGACTATCGCTTGGGTGAGTACAGGCCATCAACAAATTCCAGGCTGATTTATTTGACTGATTCATAAGCTCGTATACACTTACTTCCTCTCCCCTTTGGCCTCCATCCCTAATGCAGGAATTCTGGCTCCCGTCTCCCGTTTACTCTGGGAGTTTCCCACCGAGTATCAAGGCAAAATCACCCTGGAGTTACCCAAACTTCACCAAAAGCTTGGTACGACTACCATACCCAGACTAGAAACTCATCTGACCCCGTGAAACCATACTTAGGTCCCCTCGTCCGGATCGGGCCCAACCAGATTTCATTCTACTCCCTCGATATCTACAAGACTGTGCATGCACCGAATAGCCCGTTCGTCAAAGACCCTCGCGTGTATAACCAGTTCGTCCAGGATGGCCACCCTGCGCTGTTCTCAATCACGTAAGGTCTCCGATATCTTTGTGCGTCATTCGTCAGCTGATCCGCAAACACGACGAAGTGACACGAGGGAACATGCCCAGCGTCGACGTCACATGGGTATCCTTTTCAATCGCAGCAAGGTTCCCGCGTTGACAGAGATGATGCTCGAGCAGATCGATAAGTGGATGCAGTGTTTGAGTCTGGCAAAGATAAAAGGGCCTATTGATCTCGGACCGTCTTGTCGCGCGTTGGAGTCGGATATTGTTTGTGCGTGTTCGCGATACTACTTCTCAGCATGCGCTAACGCTGGTATGTAGCAACATTTGCTTTTGGTAATGCCATTGGAGGAATCGACTCTCTTCAGAATGGAGATGAGCTTGCGGTCATCAAGGAAAATGATCTCAAGTCCTCGAAGATGCCAGTGGTATGTAGCGACGACAGGATCCAACTCCTCCACTGCTAATGCCATCGTATCCAGTATGTGAACTTCCCGCTTGCCGTTGGTCTATGGCACTCGGTCGCAGCCTGGATTTACCGACTATCCGGCTGGGAAGTATCCTCGGTGATTAGCTCGCAGCGCTTCGACAAGGCATAACCTCTTTCATGAATAAGGATACCGTGCATGATCACTAACGGAAGACAGTGGGCCGATTCCCAACTCATCGCAACGAAAGACAGTGAGAAGGCGCCCCGTCTATCCTTCCTCAAAGTCATGGCCGGGGCCAGAGTGTCCGAGCAGTCCGCCCTCTCGGAAGCCAAGGAGATGCTTGGTCCCGGCACCGATACGACGTCCGCCACCCTAGCACACATTATCTACGCCTTGTCGCTCAACCGATCCTTCCAAGCGGAGCTAGTCACCGAGCTCGACGCTTCCGGATGGCCCACCGATATGTCCGCCCTGGAAGCCATCCCCCGCCTGGTAGCCTGCGTCAAAGAGGGGATCAGATGGACCGGGGCCGCCGCCGCAATGCTTCCGCGCATCGTGCCGCGCGGGGGATATTCGCTAGTGGGGAAGTATCTTCCGGAAGGGGTAAGTCCACCAGCAATCAATCTTGTCTTCACGCTGAAACTTTCACTAGACGATGATCTCCAGTTCCCCGATCTGGTATCTCCGCGACGAGACAGCATTCCCGGACCCCGAACGTTATAGGCCTGGGCGGTGGCTGGTGCAGGAAAAGAACGACACGACGTCGCGGCGAGATGACTACTACATCCCGTTCTCCAAGGGCGCGTCTACGTGTATCGGCAATCAGTAAGTATCTCTCCCATGCACCATGTGAGGGGAAAAGAGAATAACCTTTCGCTGGCACAGCTTTGCATACCTCGAGCTATACCTGTCCCTCTCGCGGCTGCTGAAGCGATATTCCGTCCACCCAGCAGATCTGTCCGGTGCTAATGCTTCGGATCACGAAGCTGTCCTTCCACCGCGACGGGAGTGGGTTGCTGCTGTGCCGATCAATCGGTTAGAGGTGGTTCTCCAGGAACGGTCATAGCAAGGAATCATTGAACTCTTTCTGTAATAGTCAAGCTTGTGTGAGTTGCCATCTGCGATGGAATCCTCCCCTTGCTCATCTATGATGTCTCCTGCTACCGTCGTGGCTGCGATTGCCTTGCTGGCACGGAAGTCATGGGCGTGGATGGAATGTTTGGACGAGCAGGGCTCCTTCCAATCAATCAAACATTGTGGTAGCAGCCGGCTTTTGGAATCTACGAATGGATCTGAAATCCCATGCATGGATTCCTTCTGCGAGACACCGTTCGATTTAATGCTACTCCCCATACAGTAGTCAATGATCCCGTAAATTATAGTTCACGTCACCATTTTAACACACTGCTCGAGTAATAGAGGAACGTACTTGTATGTACGTAGTGCTCGCGGGATCCTTCCGAAAGCTCAAACAAGCCACAGGGGGTCAGTTGAAGAACCCGCACCCCCTGATTCCGAGAAATCGTGCCCGGCTCTTCATTCATTCGTTGTAACGGGTGCCCTGACTCGCCAGCTCACCACTGCATATCGCGCCGCCGTATACCCGTCATCCACAAACATGCAGGCCCCCGTCACCCACGCTGCATCCTCACTGGCCAGCACGCCGGCAAACCAGGAAACATCCTCGGGGCTCCCCGACCCGCGCAGGGATAAGCTAGTATCTGAGCTGCAACATGTCAGTCAAGAGCGGTAGTAGTTGTTTGTATCAGAGACTCAGTGGAGCACAGGTCTATGCAAGCTCAAAGTTAGAAAGGTTCGCACGTATCTCACATCCGGATACGGCTGATAAAATATGGACTCTGACGATTGAAGACAGCCAGAACTCTGGATTGTGAACTAATCAACAAAATCTCGGGTATTGAGAAAGAAAAGAATACATGTATATGCGTACATGAAGAAGTTGTAACTGTCTGATGAAAGACTGATGCCAGAAGGTCTGGATGCAGGATGACAGAGGGAGTGGGTGGAATGGGAGAGAACGGGGAGATGCAGTGGACAGATGAAGAGTGCCAGTGTGCACTCATCGTCGGACTCGGGGCCTAGCGCCAAGCTCACAAGCAATTTACTAGGTAACATGGATCATGTAAGTTCTATGCCGGAATTCTCCAGTGTCAGTGCTCAGGCTTTACTGAGTAGCTCACACGCTCACACTGCGCAGCTGACAAATCATTACTAATACCGTCATCTGGAGAGGCTAACGGTTTCTTATGATATAAAGTCCAGCGTTGATACGGAATATATCAGGCTCATCATCTATCCCGCCTGAATTCCACTTAAGTATGACTACCGATACTCCAGCAACTGCTCGACAATGGTCCGTCATGGGCCAGGATGGGATCGAATCCCTGATATATGGCGAAGTCCCAGTACCAGCGTTACGCGAGCACGAGGTTCTTGTTCAGAGTGCGTCAGTGAGCTCCTTTACCTGCCTCCATCTACTGACCCAGTCATAGTCCGCGGTGCCTCTCTCAATGTACGTTCCCGAGCCTATACCTCGGCGCGCGACTCGCTGAGAATGATAGCCCCGTGATGTGATGATCAGTCGCGGAAACTACCCCTGGACCGTCAAGCCGGGCGTTGTGCCTGGATCGGATGGCGCGGGCGTTGTCATATCCGTCGGCAAGAACGTGACTCGGTTCCAGCCAGGAGATCGAGTGATTACCATGCTCAATCAAAAGCACATCACCGGCTCTTTGAACGCGGAAATCGCGCAGTATGGCACGGGTGCCTCGGTTGACGGTGTCTTTCGTTCAGCTGGCGCCTTCGACGAGCAAGCACTGGTTGTGATGCCGGATGGCTTAAGCTTTGTTCAAGCTGCCACGCTGAGCTGTGCGGGGCTGACGGCTTGGAATGCGCTGTTTGGGCTGCCTGGGAAGCAGGTTACGGCGGGACAATGGGTTCTAGTTCAAGGCACAGGTTCAGCTACTACCCTCCATCGTCCGATCCTGTCAATTTCTGACACTCAATGGCATAGGCGGCGTCAGCCTTTTTGCGCTCCAATTTGCGAGATCCATTGGTGCCAGGATCATCGCGACCACCAGCTCTCCCGATAAAGTCGAATTCCTCCGCGAGCTCGGCGCCGATCATGTCATCAACTACCAAACAACCCCAAAGTGGGGAGCCTTGGCTAAAGAACTGACAGGTGGTTGCGGAGTGGACCTCGTCGTTGACATCGCCGGCCCCACCACCTTGAGGGAAAGCGCAACTTGCGTCAAGCTGGACGGGACAATCGCGGTGGTCGGCATCGCTGGTGGCAGGCCGGAAGGGCAAGAGATGCCCACTTTGCTCGAGGCCTGGATGAATCTGTATACTGCGCGTGGGGTTTGGGTTGGGAGTCGGGTGCAGATGGAGGAAATGTGCCGTTGGATCCACGCACACCCTGACTTCCGGCCTGTTCTCGATTCCAAGGCCTTCACGCTTAGCCAGCTAAAGGAGGCCTACGAGTATGTGGCTTCCGGGAAGAGTCTGGGGAAAGTGTATGTGGAGATTGACTGAGACCAGCGATGCTTTATATTCTGAAGGTAGAATGATAGGTCAATTAAGTATGGTTATGCGCTTCTACAGTACGCCTCATAGGATCAGCTTACTGAACTACCCTATCATGACTTCAATTCGTGCTCAGCAGGTAAGCAAGAGTGGAAGGTGGGGAGATAGAGCGATGGGGGAGTTCCTTCCCCAGTATCCATGCTCACACTGCGCTTGCCTTCCATTCACCAGTGCGGGTTCTTTCCTCCACTGCCCAGCAACAACGGCTATTTACCTACTTTATCTACTCCATCTTCTCCCTCCTCTCTCCCCTTCTCTTCTTCTCTTCTTCTCCTCCCCATACCGCTTGATTCTCTTGATGCTAGTATCGTTTTTAACGCTCTACGATCTTCAAGATGTTCTCTCGTGCGTTCTCCCGTGTTCCCCTGCTCTCTTCCTTTGTTCCTTCTTCTTCTTCTTCTTCTTCTTCGCCGAAGGAGGGTCCGGTACACCCTTCTGAAGCAGCCACTCCTTCTGTTTCCTTTTTGCAGCCTGTGACTCGTGTTTTTTCTGCTTGTTCGTCGTTCTTTTTGCCTGTGCGTTCTCTCGAAGGCGCGTCCCCTCGTTCGATCCTGGTGAAGCCTGTGGACGGCGACGTCCGCAAGGTGAAGCCGAAGAAGAAGGTCTCGTGGGCGGAGACCAACACTGTCACTACCGTTTCTCGATGGCTCGTTCCTGGCGTTAACGTCTGGAGCGATGAGGATCTGACTGATCCGTCCATTCGTGAATTTGATATGGTGAGTACTCGTCCGAGTACTCCCGTCCGCTCATTTAACCCTCATGCCTTGGGGGCTCTGGCCTTGCTTGGTCTCTGTGTCTTTCCTTTGATCACGATGTACATCGAGTCACTCTTTTGATTTGTTTGATATGTGGTTTTGTTTTTGTCCGACCTGGTCACTCCTTTGCCACTGTCTGCTGCTCTGCTTTTCTTTTCTGTCCGACCTGGTCACTCCTTTGGTTCGATCGTTGGCAACGTCTTGCTTTGTGTAGATATGTGGTTTTCCTTGTCCGACCTGGTCACTCCTTTGCCACTGCCTGCTTTTCTTCTTTTCTTTCTGCTGTCCGACCTGGTCATTCCTTTGATTTTGTCGTTGCCAACATCTTGTTTTGTGTTTATATGTGGCTTTTCTGTCCGACCTGGTCACTCCTTTGCCACTTTTCTTTTTGTTCTCTGTCCGACCTGGTCATTCCTTTAAGTCTCAGGCTGCTTTTGCCTTGTTTTCTGTTTATATGTGGCTTACCCCTGTCCGACCTGGTCACTCCTTGCCACTTTTCCCCTCTCCCCCCACACTCCTTTGGGCCTGGTTGTACCGGAACCAGGTCGGTTATTGCTTACTGAACAGCAGATCGAACGGCCCGCAACGATCCCCCTCCCCCCCCCGAGACGCGTCACCGGACGCCTGTGTTGGATAGATACTTTCGAAAATTTGGTATGTGCTGCTATGTTTGCAAGCGAGCACAGCTAATCATTTGCTGCAGCTTGGATGACGTCGATCCCACCGCGGGGCGACGCTTGTGTTGGATAGATATTTTCGACAACCTGGTATGTATCACTCTTCTTGCTAGCGAGCACAGCTAACCATTTGCTGCAGCTTGGATGACAGATGATCCCACCGCAAGGCGACGGTGTTCTTGGATTGCGATTTTTGAGGCTTGGGTGTGTAATATTGTCTTCTTTGGCTGGCGAACTGCAACCGACCTGTCCTCGAAGAACAGATTGTATCAAGTTGGACTGTACGAGGTTTCCTTTGTCTTTTCCTTTCGTCTGGGATAGATTGGGGCGTTCTTGCTTATTATTTACTGCGTTGTGCTTCTACCTTTGTCCGACCTGGCCATTCTTTTCAGTATGGGTTTTAAATTTCTTCTCTGGTTGTATATAGTTATACTTCTGTCCGACCTGGCCATTCCTTACCGCGCTGCCTGCTTCGATGCTACTGCAACGTTCCGTTGAATAGTTTGTTCATAACTTGAAACGTAGACAAGAGTAAGAAGACTTCAAGCTCGACAGTCAAGTCGTCCCTCACTGGCAGAACTACCCTGGCTCTTACTCCCCGTGTTCAAGCTGTATTATGTGTACCTCAGGGTGGGCTCACCTGTTAGCTTACCCGCTAGTTTACCCAGACGACCAGATCGCCGCCCGTGTGCTTCCGGCTTGTATTTGTACTGTACAAGTTCCTTTTGCCTGCTTGGAGGGTAGTCATAAACAACGCAGAACGCTTTCTCAGCTCTAAGCAGTTATAGATTGTAGTTCTAAATATGAGTTTATGTTGACTACAAGAATGTAGTATCGTAGCAGGGTACAAAGGGGTGAGTAGGGCTTCATGAAGAGAAAATAAAAGTACTCCAGCAGCGGAGATAAACAATCACGGAATTTGTTCGGTAAGTGTCCAGTGTTCAATCCATAATCCGATTATATAATAATTAAAAACCGCATCTAGTACATACGACCACAGGGTGTGGAAAACAGGGCTTCCCGTCCGCTTATGGATACTGTCGGTTTTTCTGATATGCGGAAGGCAGATATGACAAGGTCTGGCAAGATGGATGGATGCATGCATGCACAAGGGCCATGGCGGGAATGGTGCCTTTCCAGACCAGAGGGTTGGCGTGGGAGTGAAAGTAAGCAGGAAGTTACGCCAAGTTGAGGTTTCTTGATAGCGAGGGAGAGCGGAGCTGAGAAGGAGTGACGGAGTTCGTTGTTTACAAGTGGTCGGGTATGAGCGGAACCCAGTAGAAAAGACATACTACGACACGCTGATCCACTGACTGCTTTTTGTGACTTCCACCTTTCTGTACTAAGATGTCTCGACATGAGGACCTCGAACCAAATCTCGATTTGGGCATGCCTGGGCTGATGATTTCCAGGCACCAAAACTTTAGTAGGGCTTGGGAGCCCGGAGCCCGGAGCCCGGAATTAGCGCTTATGCACCCTGAAATGCCCCACATGTTTCCCCTCTTCAGGTCCACATCTCGCTACCTATATGCGACCACCATAAGCGTGGCGTGTGCGCAAGCCTTGTCTTTCCCATTTCCGGTCGTGATCCGTGCGCGTTTTGGGGGCTGGGTGAATATCTTTGCAGGAGTGCAAAGGCAGTACCTTGCTGCTTCCGATGTGCGAAAGTGACCAGAAATCCGGATCGCTGTCGCTTATGATGGTAGGCGCGCACTACGGGGCCTTGGCGCAGAAGTGTTCGAGACTAAAGTGAGACATCGCCAACAACCCTTGGCGCCATGGGCATATTATAAACCATGGACCGTCCATGCTGAGTTAATTCTTCGTTCAAATCTGATTTCACTCCTCTCGATCCATCGCTATGTCGTCGATCACGCATGTGCTCACACGCTACGCCACCGAATTTGTATCTGCTCGACTGCAATCCCGGCAAGACACGGGGTTCTCGCAAGCGATTCCACCCTTGGTTTTCCTCTTCACCTTCCTTGCCTTTGCTTTTGCACTTATCTGCGTCAGTCAGTCTGCTCACTAGCGGGTAGAAATTCAGACTGACCCAAGACAGGTCGATTACACCTGCAACCATGTGATCGTGACGCTGGCCGCGATCGAGGACGCCGACCCGAGTCCCTCCATCCGCCTCGAAAGCGCACATGACGATAATCCCGCGATTGTAGATCCGTTCACCTCGAGGGTAAAGCCCATAACGAGCGAATTCCGCTCAGCCATCAAGCACCTCCGCGCCCGTGGTGGAGGAGAAGGAGGAGGCGGGCTCATCATTTCATGCTTGCATGGATTCCGCATGTACTTCCCCTTCTACATCCTCGACCGGGGTGTGGGATTCTTTCTCAACCCGATATTCTATGCGGGGCCCGCCCGCCTCACGCTCGCCTCGTTCGCAGTGGAGTTCGCCGCGCGGATGTGCCTGGCCACCGTGCAGATGGCCTGGGTACACGTGATCATCGCCGACCGATCCCCGCGCGGCGCCAGATCTCGGGAAACGCGGGGCCTCCTCGGGCACTGGCCGCGGATCGCCCCGGCGGCGGCGCTGCAGAATGCCCTCGTGTGCGTGTCGTACACGATGTATCTCGTGGCGGTGCCGGCTGGCAGCTGGGCCTTTGTGAGTGTTGCGGGTGTCGCGCAGGGGCATCTAGCCTTGGGGGGCCATCTCCGGTTTGTGGTGGTTGTTCTCATCCCGGCGATACTCTCCCTGCTGGTCACCTTGCCCGCGCGAGTGGTCTTCGTGCGCGTGGCCGCCTCCATGCTCCCCGAGGAGGATGTGCCCTTCGTGCCCTTCGATCGCCGGTTTGATGGCAAGGTGAGGCCCAAGTTTGGAGGCACCGGTGAAAGGCTTGGCATCAAGGATGCCTGGACCACCGTCGCACGGCCTGTTTGGGTGCGCTGCTTCAAGATCACTCTCAAGGCGCTGGTTATGGAGGTCGCGGTGGTCGTGGCTGGGATCTTGGTCATAATCGGCGAACTGTTCTTGGTTCAACTGGCAGGGGCCGGCTTCTAGCGTTAGTCTTCGTTGATATGTGGAGTTAGGCTGCATTCTTTCTATCAAGATGCATATCCGGTGTCAGCATATTTCATTACATCACGGCAGTAGTCTGAACCTTTTATCCGTCTTATTGGCATGAGATGGACATGACTTGACTGTCTCAGATTGACTCTGGATCGGTTGGGCTCACGGTGTTGAGTGGTGTGTTCATGCTTCAGAGGAAGGAATAGAACGAGGCTCTATGCTGATCGAGTGTCATGCAGTGAAGAAGAGACATAGGAATATGTCGTCACGATTTGAAGACAGGAAGAATCTTGGGTTGGGCAATATGGAACGATATCCTGAATTTTTGGAGGTTGGTTGATGGACTAGCTAAGATCTCGACGTGGGAAATTCGCTTAATGCATCGCCTCGGATCACGTGGCCGACGTACTCCAGAATACCGACATGCTACATCAGAACAAGTAAGTTCTGGACATAGATTTGTACCTCGAGGCTGACTCAACCGCGTAGGCTGATGTGGCAGAGGAACAAACCGAAGGAGTGGGCAGGACTATGGGGTTTGGAAACAATCCAAGGGCTCGAATTGAAGAGATGGAGAGAGTGGGTCATAAGCACTGTATTGGTTAGCAGTTTGGTGGGTTGCGTTGTTGTGTACTGGGTGTGACGGGATTGTTCAGTTCCAATCTATCATGGATCTCGGGTCTCATCTTGGTGGAAGCAGTCATCTCTGCATGTTTCACCATGCACCCACCTCACTTATGGCATGTCAGATCGGATTCATCTAGGAGAATCATGATGTGCCTCAATTCGATCCCAGAATTGTTCATCAGGCCTGAACCACAAGTCTGCGAACTCTTGTTGTCGGTCTATCAATTAACTGAGCAATTCCCCATAAGGAGTCGTGGTGCTCTAAACTCCACTTCCTTTGATTGGGATAAGTCTCAAGAATTAAATTATAATGTTTAGCCTTTAAGAGTAACTACCTCTGGCGCAGAGGGCAGATGGCAGGGCCGGCTGCATATATGATCCATCACGCAGAAGATGCCGCAAGTGGCTATTTGAACGAAACCACATAGATATATGCATAGACCCAAGAACTAAAAGTAGCTGTTCGTGACCGACCCATCGTTATGAACGGCCCACCCGCCATTTATCCGTTGCTTCACATCTTTGGCATGGTCTTGCTTGTACTTTGCGTCATAGCCATCCTCTGTCTTCTTCCAGGTGGGATCCAGGGCCTTCAGCCCCTCCTTGATCCGCATCACGAGGTAACGCCCGTAGCCCTCGTAGTCGGTCTGCGCCAGCACGATTCCCAACCGGCGCTCGAGACCATCCAACCCTGCCATGACATCAGGGCCCCATCCCTTCACATGGTACATGTTCGTGTCCTTCTTGGTGAACCCCCATTCCTCACAGTTGTATCGCGGCTCAACAGTGTCCTCCCAGCACTGGTCCCAATACTTGGAGATGTTCTTGGCCCACCGACCGTCAGCGGCCATCTTGGTGCTGATCCAAGGCGGGCAGCCGACCAGCACGTAGTACTCCTCCCTCTCGAACCAGAACCGAATCCCGTTCAGGGGACCTTCATACGCCCCATACGCCGTAGCGTTGAGGCAAGCGACCTTGTACCTCCCGGAGTCGTCGACGTCAACTTTCTGTTCCCATTTCTGCGCGTTCTGACGGAATTCGTCGTCGCGGTACAACACCATCTTGGATTCTTGATCGGGGTTGTGATTTTTGAGGAGAGAGCCGGATGAAGAAGGAAAGTAAAGATCAATGGGTCTGTGAATGTAGACCAGGAACTATGTTGGGATTGATGAAACGTCAGCTGTAGTACTATGGAAATAGACCACCACGCAAACTGGTGAATAAGTGGTGCATCCTTGTAGCCAGACAGAGATATGGAATTGAGGCTCACTATATAGCTTGAAGCACTCGCACGCACACTGTTGATGGTTGACGAGAAAGTCATCACTGGACAGACATCAGCTTATTCATCTCAGCGACGGTTGCCTACTGGAAGATTGTCTGCCGAAGAACTCCGCGGGTTGTGACTACTCTTTCTCACGATTAGCACAACTGGAATCAATAGTGCAGCCACTCTGAGCCACCCCAATCGCTAAGCGGCCACTAACCGCGTGTGTTCAGCTCCACAGCCCACCGATCACCGATCGCCAAGTACACGTCCAAACTCAGCCGCATCTGCAGTGGTGCAGCTGGATGGTGGGGATCGAGGCCGAACAACAATTGGAGAAAGGACTAGAGTTGGCAGGTTTGGGCAACCGCCCCTTTCAGCTCCTACCCGGCAAATCAGCGTTCCGAAGCTCAATCGGGCCGACGTGCTGGGAGATCAGACTGGAGCTGTGGTGGAGCTCTGCGCAGAGCCCACAAAATGATTCGTGGCTTTACTTCAGCCTGTATTTGTTTTCCCCGCCATTACCGCCATGCAGCGGGGACCCACCAGACACCGGATCGATGCCGGTAGTTCAGCCACTGTCATTCAGTATACACATGTACAAGTGCGTAGGTAGCTGTGGCGAAGTTGACTTCAATCTACCATTCGGCTTGAAACTTCGCGGGCGCTTCTCTTCATTTTGTTGCCTGAGTCTGAGTTGTAAGTCCGCAATATATGAGTTCAGCCCAACGGCTTTCATAGAAAATCAAGTGGGAAGCATGTTAACGTTCTGATAACGCGGGGGATATGTAGATAAGCGGTTTGGCGGACCCTGCGGAGGTATCGAACCAGGTCGAGTTGGTGACGCTTTCGAAGAGGTTCCTGTAAGCGACGAATCTATTGAGGCGGGACTGAGGTCGTCAGTCTAGACGCAGGAGATGCAGCTGTCCGTGACCAAGATGCGGGGTGTGGATGTCACGACTGTCTTGGTAAAATGAGAGGTCTCACATTCCTCCCTGTAAGCGACTTTGGCGGCGAGTTGTCGATTTTTGACGCTCCACAGTAACTGCGAGTTGTCCAGGTCGGAACGCGTTTACTCAGGAGAAAAGAGAATCGACTGCGTGAAGTCAGTGGAGGTTGATTGTTGAACTTGACGAAATCTGGGGAAGCCTGCCACGGTTCGGGCGGCTCCTTCCGCAGCCCTGAGGAAAGCATCAAAAGGCGGTGAGACGTTCAGCCAACCAAAAGCTCCGCCTTTGGCAAAATGTCACCACTTCAACAGCAGGCCGGAATATGACTCAGGGATGACGAGAGATACAATGAGGCAAGATGGATTGATACCCTTACCGGTGCTTCAGAAATCGGAGGTTAGTATATCTTATTTCTTGCGACGAGTATGGGGTTGCTTGGCATTAGGACAGAACGAATCGTAATCTGCTCTTGCGTATCTCGGGAGGTTGACGAGCAATAAAGACAAGCGCGTGGTTGAGAAAGAGCTGGCTCCAAACCTTGGACATGAGGATAGAGAGGAGAGAAGCATGGCAGAGACTACAGCTTTGATATTGTGCCTGTGATGCCTTTTGACTACGGAGACTCGCGAATGATAATCCGTATTCAAGAAAGAGAATGAGTATTGATTCCGATATGCGATCAAGCGACGTATCAGGTCAGAGAGTATGCTCGTCTAGCTTCACCGACAGGTTATTATTGGCTACTAGACTTCAGCACCGCGAGAGGGTGAGAGCACGTCACTGGAGACCCACATGCGCAGTGGGAATAGCATTTGAGGACACGCACCGCGTGAACAGTGGGAATAGATAGTATTGCCTGCCTTTAGAAGGCCTAACCACAGACCGACTCATCCTGAGCGAAGCAAAAGACTCGACTGGCGCCTCCGCCACTCGCACCAAGCTATACAGCTTCGATCGCCTGATGGCCAGCTGGCGGCCGTTCATTCACGCAAAAAGAATCCTCGCATGGCGCGGACCCACCGCAGAGAAGAAGAGGACAGGGAAGGTATCCTCACTGGGGAAGAGGTAAGGATAGGCCTCTCAATCCTCGTCTTCGAGATCCTCTAGGGCTTTCTGTTCCCCTGCGGTGTCCACCTTGAGCTGGAATGTCTGACTGCGCATGGGAGAGATCAAGGCAATCAGTGATCCATACAGAACCCTGTTTTCCTGGCCATCCTTGGGTTGGTGCCCCATTATGGCAGTGTGGGAGAGAACTGTGTCACCGCCCGTATCTGGCTCAATGTATTAGTCCATCGACCATCGGGAGATATGTGGGTAGTAGCCGTAAATCCAGATATCGAGGAGGAAGGGACTCGGATTACTAAGAGAACAGAGGCCGGGGACAGGTTAGTTGGTCCTTATATTGAGCAAGTATCAAAGATATTGTTTGAAACATGAGAATTCTCACATGATAGGGTGCAGGATCCGATGCCGGAGAACGCTGCGGGCTGTGTAATCCTCCACAAAAACACACAGCTGCCTGGTGCAGTGCGTCATAGTGATTGTCGGTGGGTTCTCTGGGAGGTGGGCATGGAATGGCCGCAACAAAAAATGGTGATCTCTGCAATGCTGGACATTTCCATGCAACATAGGCTCGAAGAGGACTTCGGTCTGAGATGTAGTCACAGATGACCCACATAGCGGCTCGAAATCGTACTGCGTGATGTGCGTGATCTCAGTATACTGTTTGAGGAGGAGATGTTCGTCCCGAGGGACTCTTATCTGTTCCTGCAACAGCCGCTGCAACAGCTTATCCAATTGGATGCGAGTACGCTGATTGCGAGTACGCGAACGGCGACGCGGGGCAGACATGTTCGAATACTTAGATACAAGAATATGATAATCCAAAGGTAGATTCAACAACAGAGAAGACATCAAAGAGAAGTATTAGGGGCGGTGTTTAGCAGGTATGACTTACAGAGACTATGAATGTCTTCCCATCCGCCTTCAAATTTCCAGGATGACACTGCATACAATTCACCTCACCAAATCAAACATTGGTTCGCCTGAAATTAGGACGCCAGATGAATACGATCCTATTGGATACCGTTATTATTTAAGCATCAAGCACAGATTTACTTTATGACATTGTGAATAGTACCATTTCCTTATATCTGTCCTTGTCTATATCGATTACTTCGCTCAGGTATCACTAGAGAAAAGTGGCTATAAGTATATAGTATTCACCAGAAGCATTATTGTAAGTAGTCGCTTGATCAAGGAGTAATATGAAGACATCCGCGAACAGGTGCTTAGTCAATATGTGTGAATGCAAACACAGCAACCAGTAGGATCCGCTTCATTGTGGAAGAGCTCTAGTTAGTCTCCTACCCTCCTGCTCACCTCACCTCACCTCACCTCCCCTCTCCTCTCCTCGTCCGTCGCGTCCGTCTCACGCAACTCGTCCACATCAACCTCATCTTCATCCATCTCGTTACATCTATAGCTCTTCTCTCTCCCCACAACCGAATATGTCCACCGGGAACCAGCACGGCGGCGGCAGCAGCAGCAGCATCCGGGGCCGGGGGCCGGAAGCCCAACCAGGGCGGAGACCGGGGCGGGGGCAAAGGCCCCAAGGCGGGGCCGCACCAGGACCGCAAATTCCAGGTAAGCGCAAGCGCAAGCACATCTCTTGCACAGTTCGATCCCTTCAGGTTCGCTAATATACTTGCTCTTTCTAGTTCTGTACGCGTTGCGGTGCCTTCGGGCACATCCGTGCGACGTGCACCCGTTTCGTCCCTCCGGGGACACCTCGTTTCGTCCGCCCCACCCACCAACCCAACAACGCCCGGGCCCGGCGAAGCCAGCGGCGGGACGCGGCGGCCTTGGCTCGGGCGCTCGAGGCCGGGGGGGGCGAGCAGATAAGCTGGAAGCGGGAGGTGCCCCGTCGCGGGGAGGATGCGGCGGCGGCGGAGGAGGTGAAGGAGGAGGTGAAGGAGGAGGTGAAGGAGGAGGTGAAGGAGGAGGTGAAGGAGGAGGAGAAGGAGGAGGAGAAGGAGGAGTAGATATCGCCCTTTGAGCGATTTTTCCCCATGTGCAAGGGGGCTTCTTTCACCGCTGAAGAAGCGGACTTCTTTCCCCGCTGAACAAGCGGACTCCGGCAAAGAGCTCGCACCTCAATGCGGTGTCGGAGTCTAGTACCCAGTTCAACAAGTGGTGAAGCTAAGACGAGCTCCAAGGATTTTACTGCATCAAGAGGCTTCCCCTAACAGCCAATAACCATACAAAATGCGCCATCTGGTCTCCCCTTTCTAAAGACATTACAGGGTACTACCTCAGAGGTCGAGCAATAGACTTTGAGTATTGTGATATATAAATCTCACTGACTCAATGGCAAGCACTCCGGCAGGTTTAGGTTGGGCTATATTTCACAGACACTGCGAGTAATAGTCATTGACATAAGTGCAGGTGTACCCAGTGGCACACGCCGTCGGTCCACTCCAGTTAAGCCCTCCACACTGCCCCCAATGCGCAGCCGTAGTCCCCGTGCTCGCGGCACCCGTCGTGGTAGTCGTAGTCTTACCAGTGGCAGTAGCAGTGGTGGTGGTAGTCGTAGTGGTAACTGTAACCCCCATGCCGGCCAACAAGCCATTGTACGCGGGCTTCTTGACCAGGTTCTCATCCCAGGGCAGCGCCGCCCCATAGCCCGAGAACGTGCTGGGAACCCAGCTGTACTTATCTGTCCAATCCCAGATAGTGAAGCCGACGCAGCCCGTTGTCTGCACACAAGATTGCACCAGGGCCTGGAAATCGCTCGACTGTTGGGCCAGGGTAGTGGCGGTGGTGGGCAGGAGAATGCGCACGTCGGCCTCCGTGTAGGCGACCTCGACCCCGAGCGCAGTGAAAGATTGCAGCACCGAGACGAGCGAGCTCGTACTCGGCACGGTGCCGACGCTGAAGTGGGCCTGCAACCCTACCCCGTCGATCTTGGCACCTGCATTCTTGACCAGCTGGACAATGGCGCGGGCGCTGGCGGCTTTGGCGCCGCCGTATTCGAGGTTGTAGTCATTGTAGAACAGCTTCGCGTCCGGGTCGGCTGCAGCCGCTGCGGCAAAGGCAATGGGGATGTAGGCTTCGCCGATGGTGGTGTAGAAGATGTTGGTGCGGTAAGTACCGTCGTCGTTCAACGCTGGAAGCGTGTCAGGCTTTCGGATAGGAGTAGAGAAAGGAGACGCTTGACTCACCCTCATTGACCACGTCCCAATGAAGACATTTCCCTTTGTAGTGCGACACCACATTCGTGATGTGGTCCTTCAACGCGGCGGTGAGAGTAGCATTAGTCCAAGTTCCGCTAGTCACTGTCCGCGATAGTCATTAGTATTCATGTTGTGTCCCTTCACAAGCCTCCACAGAAAGACGAAGGACACATACCCCAGCTAGGTAGCTGATTATACCAAACCAGAGTATGACATCGGAGATATTGGCCATTACCCTCGGCCAGATCTGCGATGACATCGCCTTTCGTGAACGTGAAGGTGCCCTGAGATGGTTCTGTGGCATCCCACTATCACGAGATTTCAGTAACAATCCCATGAGCTAGACACACGTCATAGTCACCTTCATCGAGTTTCCAGGGGTGATTTGACCAAAGTCCGCGGTGTTGTTCAGCTGAGTAAGGTATGGAATATCCGTGAGCTCGGGATTATCCGTAGCTGTGCCAAAGTATTGAAGTCCTTTGGCAACTGCAGCCTGATCCAGACCAACGGCAGAGACACTGGAGAGGTAAAGAGAGCGATTAGCCGGGGTCACATCTCTTCATGTCAGGATTTCGAAGATACGCACATGTTGGGCAACACCGTCGCGGCAAGCGCCGCGGTAATTGAAAGCAGTCCGACCATTTTTGCGTGACTGTGGTGGTTCTCAGATTAGAACAGATTAGAAGAAGCTTATGGTCTGCGACAGAGCTACTTATATGCCTTGACTTTTGGCAACCCAGTCAGGCAACGAGCCAGTCTAAGTCCCAGCCCACGGAGCTATGCTCCGCCGTTCTTCACAGCCGATTTTGATTACTGGCCTGGGCAAAATGGGAGGATTGCTTTGTGGTGAAAGCATCGAGGCTAACGCTGCAGGACACGGAGCGTGGGGGAGGCTGCGTGCCAACATCGTGTGGCATAACGTGGATTGGTTGACAAGCGAATTGCAGGACTGTTTGACCTGGTGTTTTAGCCTAATTGCGATGTCCTTAAGATTGAACAAGGACTTAGCAGTCAGTTTGTGAGGCAAGGTCCCGCCACTCCGTGGCTAAACGGGCTCTCCGCACGTACTCCGCACTTTGCGCATCGGTAACCGGCCCGACGTCCGGCAGCATGCAGTTCATGTAGCAGTGGCACTTGTGTGTTGAGCGTGTGGAGAGCTGAAGAGTAAAGAGACGTTGGAGGTAGCAGACAGGATTACAATCAATGAGAGAAGAGATTCAAATCAACCGCTGTACTCATTGGCTACATAGAGTATATTGTCGGCGTTCCTGGGTAGGCTGGTCACGTGATCCGACACGGTTAGCAGGCTACTACTTCCTTCACATGTTGTCATCTCAGATAGTTCAGCCAACCAACCACCAAGAATTCAAGGACTCGTTCCATATCAACTTACCCCTAAGTGCTTCATCAAATTGCTTATTTTTCCCGACCTCGCAGCAAGTCCGCCAAGATCTCGTTACCGAAATCCTCCGCCCAAGAAAGGGGCGTTTTCCCGTCGTTATCGGGAAGAGTGGGATCGCCATCCGCCGCGAGCAACACCTTGACGACGTCCACAAATCCATTCTCCGCCGCCCATGATAGCGGAGTCCGACCCTCCGCATCCTGGGAGTTACGGTCCACACCGTCCGTGGCAAGCAAAAGCTGCACAACTTCCTTCCAACCAGCCTGCGCCGCTTTTACCAGCGGAGTCTGCCCAAAGGTGTCCTTGACATCGGGACTTGCCCCCGCCGCTAAAAGCAGCCGCGCGACTCCCACGTGGCCGTCTTTCGCCGCCATGGCCAGGGCGGTCTGTCCGTCCTCGTCGGTCGCATCGACATCTCCCAGTCCCCCAGCCCGAAGCAAAAGATTCACTACCGCTTCGTGCCCGTTGCGCACAGCCTCAAACAATGGAATGTTGCCTGCAGCATCCCTCGGATGGGGGTTGACATGGTGGGTAAACAGCAGCGACTCCAGCAAAGCCACCTCGCCATGACCCGCTAACCACGTCAGTGGTGTCCGACCATGATCATCGCGAAGGTCGGGGCGAACGCCAGGGGTAGCCAGCAGCAGCCGGACCACCGCCTCATTCGGAGAACTCCCGGCGGCCGCCGCCGCCGCACGATGCAGCGGGGTGGCGCCCCAAGCGTCTCGCGCATTTACGTCAACCCGCTGCGTCGCCAGAAGCACGCGGACCAATTCCTCGTGGCCTGCGGATGCCGCGTACATGAGCGGTGTCACCTTGGAGTTCGGAATCAGTCGCACGTCTGGATCAACGCATTCCAGTCCAAGCAGCATCTGCACGATCGTCGGATGCCCATACTGCGCCGCCAGCACGAGGGCCCGGTGGGCAACAAACTGCATCTGTGAATCGGACAGCAGGGGGCGATATAACTCGAGCAATTTCTGCGCGGTCTGCTGCCGGCCCCCCTCGGCCGCCCAGCATAACGCGGTCCCGCCGCAGTATTGGCCGTTGTACCGGTAGAGATAAGGGCTGACCAGTTGATAGGCGCGGGCGCAGGTTTGCGCGAAAGCGTTGAGGTCGGCGACGGAATCGAGCGTCGCTGCGATGTGTTGCAGGATCTCGCTTGGTAAGTCAATTATCTTCATTTTCTGATTCTTCTTTTGTCGTGTCTGCGAAGGGAAGACGTGAAGTCAAAAGGTGGTTGTGGAGACGGTAAGTTAAGCAAAGCAACTAGTGACTAACGTTGACGGTGTTGTGTGTCGGGTTGGGTAGAAACTAGCCAAACTAGGTCAGGTGAGTTGCTGTACCTCGGCTTGATAGTATGTACAGTAAGTTGTACATATTACCTTACTATGTACGTACGTGCGTGGCAAGTGGGGGAGGATCATCAAATCATCAGCCACGGCTAAGTGGAAGCTTAAGCTAATTAAGCTAACCAAGCCTTGTTTCAATAGTGGAGCGCCACGGAAAGCAAGCCAGCTTCGATTATGGCAGTTCTGCACACCGAAATCTTCTAGGCACCAGCATTGTAGTGGGATTATGCTTGGCTGTCTCGCGAAGTGGTCTACGACCCGCTGAGCATCCATCATGAGAGTCGTGTCCGAGTCCGATAAGAAGGAGGACCAATAAATCCTTTCAACCGGGCTGTGGAGAATCATTGTTCAGACTCTCGTTCAGGTGAGGTATACAAGCATTATGGATAGTACTCAGGGGCCACGCAAAGAAAGGAACTGCATTTGGCCCCCAAATTCTTCACGACTCCAGATCCATCGTGACTCGAATCCCAAGATGACACACCACACAATAGCACAGACGATGCATTTATGCTGCAGCGCATGGCCGGAGTACTGCATATAAATACTAGGCTCAACGTCCTCTCTTCCAAACAATGCATCTCTCTCAACCAGAGCATTGTTTCCTTTTCAACGGTGTATGTCTTCCCCTCCTTAAATTCCCAGTTTGGTCGTACTGATACCGACTAATTTGCATTTGTGTTCCTGTCGCAGCACTATCCACAACAATCGCGAACCCGCTAAGCAGCCATGCGAACTCAACTTTGGACGGCCCTGTTGACAGGTGCGGCCGCCGTGCATGGGGCGATGGCCCAAAACATTACCGTTTATGGCGCGGCGGAGCTACCGGCGGGTGCCACCGAGACGTTTCTGACCTGTCTGTCCAGCCTGGAGACCAGCTACCGGGTGTACGTGGACTCCGGGATGACAGTGATCCTCCCGCCAGGAAGCAACCAAACCATCACGCTGGATGGTGCGGACAGCGGGCTCTACGACTGCCTGACCATCTCCGAGGTGATGACGGGGATGCAACTCGCCGTCGAGGACACAGTCGAAGCCGACGCGAACCAAGAGGAGAACAGCATCCCCACGAGCGCGGCGACCTACGCGTGGCTCCTTGCGCAGGGTGCCCAAGGCCAAACGCCGATCGGAACCCGGCCGTCCGCCAGCGCCAACAGCACCACCATCCACGACGAGGATGAGGATCTCGGGCGACGGGACGATGATCACGGGGGGCTGGCGAAACGCACCCACTACCACTACTACGGCTACCTGTCCGACTACTCGGCCTGCACCGACTCGGCACTCGTGACCCGCTACGGCAGCACCTGCTACAACCATAACCAGGCCTACTACGGGGTGCGGTTCGAGAACGCCTTCGCCGAGAAGATCCTCACCATGATCATCTGGCCGCACCACCGCTGCGACAACGGCAACGTGCGCTCCTTCACCGTCGCGCCCCTGTCGCTCAGTGCTTGCCAGTCGCGCACGACCTACTCCTATTATGGTCATTATGTCACTTGCAAATGCACCTAGCGAGAGAGAGCGATATAGACCAGACGATCTCGTCCGACGAAGTATCAGAGCTCTGGGGAACGCCTTTGTCTTCCCGTGTGTCCGTTTTCTTTGGGCCATCGTGCGTGGGCCTGAAACCTAGTTTGAGGTGCAGAGTTGGCTCCGAGTGTGGTAGAACATGGGATTCTCGCGCTGTTCCGGAATCAACACTCGACGTGGTGCATTGCAGCTTGTACGTTTTGGCTGGTCTATCTCTGGCTGGGGCTCCAGTGGTGATAGGGCCAAGACAGGGTGGTTGAAATTGGAAGAGTCGAGCTTGGATTTTCACAACACTTTGAAAGATTGATGAGTTGGCTGTGCAGTGTTGGGGTTGTGTCCCTGGCTGTTCTTTTACCTAGTCTAGGTAGGGATATCTCTGGTCTTGCCACATCCTGTCGACGTCACTCGCTATGGCGAGAGTCATGTTATCTTTCTTCTTCTGGGGACAACTCTTCTCGTACATTGTATTCCAGATGATCGTGAGGGCAGTTGCAAATCAAAGTATATCTTCTATCCAGTCGCGGAGGGGTAGTTGGCGTCACCGAGGTGGTTTCCCGGATTTCTCCCGGTACTGTACTGTACATGAAGTGGCGAAGTCTGGCTACAAAACTGTCCATGGTACACGTATCAAGATGGCTGTCGGGTGTATAGTCACAATTCATAAGTGAAATCAAAACTAGGCAAAGAAAAAAGAAAAGAAAAAGAACGAGGAGAAAAAAAAACAAAATAAACCAAAAAGAATTGAAGAGTGTGGTTGGTCATATGGTGATGTCAGCTAAACTGTGAAAAGGTGCCCTTTAGCACCTCAGTTTTCTACCACTTACTTATGTTCCCTCAACTCGATTCCCTCAACTTCGGTGGGTCAACTCTATTAAATGTTCGTAGACATCCTCTTAAATCTCCAGCCAACTAAAGACTCATTGCTCTTGCTGATCCACAGTGCAGGATTTTATGTAACTCGCCAGGATGGCAGATCTGCCTGTTTCAATCTTCAAACCTCGTGGAAGACCAGCCAGAGCGATCTCCTCTCAACCCAGCCTGCCCTCTTTGCCTCTTCTACCAGCCATACGCCTCTTCGAAGTAGTCCATCGAGCGGCACCCCTGCTTCAGCGCCGCATGCACCGCTGCGCGGGTCTGGTCGGCCATAGCGGGCGGACCGCAGCTGACGACCGCGACCCGCGTGTTCTCCGCCGCGGCGACGGCACCCGCCTCGGCGATGATCTGGTCAATGGGCGCCCGGCCGGGACGGATTGTTACCGCAGAGTTGCGGAGAGGTTTCTCGCCGGTGGAGATTCCCTTTTCCTTCGCGGAGTCTAACGTGGGAACACGCTCGTCCTTCACAGTCCCCTTGCGAGAGCAGTAGAAGGACGCCTGCGCCTCGCCGCTCGCGAGGATGTCTGCTAGCTCGCGCTGCAGCAACTCCATTACGAAGGCCGGCTGGCGCACGGTCCAGTGGAGTTGGACCTGGACGGTCGCGGTGGTTGCATGACGGCGTCGGCGCGCCAGGTGGTCCTGCAGGTAAGGAATCGCGCAGGCGATACCCGTGCCGCCCATGATCATGATGAGAGTGTGGTAGGTGTGCAGTGGGGCACGGTGGCCGTAGGGGCCTTCAAGGAGGAGGGGGGGACTGATGGTGTTGCCGGGCTGTTGCATGCATTGGTCGCGGAGGCGCTTGGTCCAGCCGTCGTAGGGGCGGATCCAGAACGTCAGGGTCGATGTGGAGGATGATGCTGAGCCGGTCTCGGTCACTTGCACCTGCGGTGCCGATGGCTTGAGTCCGTCCTCTACCTGCCCTGGGGTGGCGAGGGGGCTGCTAGCATTGGTGCCGGGGGAGAACGCACCGAGCGTGAAGGGGTGGTTCTCCCACCCTTTCAGTGTCATGGGTTGGTATAGATGATAGTATTGTCCCGGTCCGCCCTGCACCGTGGCATTCTGGATATCCACGCGCATCACATCACTGGTGGGGCTGTAGTGTACCACAGCCTGGGTGCGGCTGGCATGGCCATACCAGACCCGGACATTGCACCAACCCAGGCGGACAAGGCGGAGGAATCGATCAAAGCTCCAGATGGCAACAGGGGGCCAGAGATAGCCACTGTAATACACCGCCCCGATCTGTGCCGTGTGACTGATTGACGATTGTATTTGTTAGCAGCTGAGGGCGGCGGCAATACGGCTCCCGAAGAAGGGAGCGGGATGACATACATATACAAGCAGTATAGAAGCACGATCGCAAAGGCGATGTGGATGAGGAGGAACAATTCGTAGAATCGCTGACGGATAGGAAGAATCGCGAAAACAATCATGAGACACATGATGATCGTTGCCTTGGGGCGAGGTGAAGTTAGAGTCTTTTGTTCGAGACAGCCCCCGATTGTCCTCCAGTCATAACATACCACAATACCGAGCACAAAGTATAAATCCTTCAAAGCAGGAATGTAGTCCGAAGCTAGACATAGCTTGTTAGTAGAAATCAACAGAGAAACCCTTGTGTCAACGGTCCGGACGTACAGTATACGTTCCATTGGACGGTATACCCAATGGAGTGAACCACAGCCTCAAGCGTGGCCACCAGAGCGATATGGCGGTGGAAGACCGAAAAGGTCCCGTAGCTCCAGCCGGTTGACCAGATGAAGATATTGTTCCGGCCCCCAAACATCCAAAGCCAGCAGAGACATGCATATGACAAGACAGCAGTCCGGTCCGATAGATACACCCAATTCTGCTGAGACACGTCGGGGGTCCTAGAAGAAAGCACAGGATCAGAAGAAGTCTCGTCAAAGCCAGGCCAAATAGTGGTTGGCGCCTACTCACGTTGGATTTCCAGAGAAGGTACCCAAATTGACGCATGAGAGGACAATAGAGATAGCCCAGAAGCCAAAAACAATGAGCGAGTCCAGTCGCTTGGGGAAGCTACACCAGTACCATGCGCGCTGGTGATATGTGCCGATGGTGGCGGGGATCACCAGGTGCAGTCGAAGATAATATCGGAGGGTGGCGAGGAAACCTGGACCTTGAGAACAGGACCAGGGGGTTGCCCTGAGCAGATTGAACAGACTGCCCAGTACCATGACTCCTCCCCAGTATCCGATCAATGCCCATCCGTAGACAATATTCGTCGGTGTGGCGTCGATTGTGGCTTCCTGTGTGCATCATCAACCATTAGAATTGAATTGAAATGAGCTTGACCTGGGAGGGAAGAGCTAGCCACTCACCAATCGACGCAGATACCGTTTATAGTAGCTCTTTTCCAACACCACGGGACTCGTGACAGCCACTGAAGTGTTGTAAGTGTCAGGGGCCACGACGGGCAGACTGGCGAGGTATGGGGGGGTGAGCTCGGTGTCGATCGCGGTGAGATTGATCAGGTCCACCTTGTTCTTGCCACAGAGCACCTGCCAGTACGCCACGCCCTTGACAATCTCTTTGGCGGAGCAATACTCCTTCATCGACGCGTAGATAGAAGTGACCTCGATGGTGTCCTCACAGTACGGTTCGTACTTGGTAGTCGTCGACGCACCGCCTCCTCGTCCACCTCTGCGGACCATACTCGCCCCATGACCGGCAGATGTGGTGGTGCCATTCGACTTGGAGCTGGTCTTCGAAGAAGAAGAAGAAGTCCCCTCTTCAAAAGTCAACGAGGTTAGGGATTTATAGATCGAATAGAAACAATACTGCGACTTGGAGGTGGGCAAGTTGCTGGCCCAGACGACCGAGCATAGGCCGAAGACTACGGCCAAGAATGACCACTTCATGGTAAACAGCAAGACCAGCCAGATCCTACCACAGACCCAGACACCCAACAAGACGCTGAAGTGATGGACACCGAGGTGCGATATCTATTTAAGCGTGCACACGACACACTCCTCCGGGCCATTCTCGCCTACGATTCCTGCAAGCTCCTCGACTATTTCCTGTTTCGCTAGACAAGCAAAACCACTGGGCCAAGTGGCGGTCTAAGTGGAGTAAACACGCCATCTCACCATCTTCCTTCGTAAATCTCTGCTCTCGAAACTCCATCTGAACTTGAATGAAGTCTTACAACACCGACGGCTAATGAATCTTCCCCGGGTGGCCCACCGTGTAGGAAGCGAGGGCGCATTCTGAAGTCTGAGTACGATGTCCATGTCCATACAAGGTGTTTAGTCCTCGGGCTGACTGCCACAAACCAACCCTCTTTCTCGGTACCGATGACTAACAATACCCATGCACTAGTTAGTTATTGGGGACCGCTGCGGAAGAATCCCTGTGTCGGGTCAAGCTTCCGAATCGAGCAGGGCAGTGGCTCGGATCAGATAAAGTAAGCTCGGCAAACAAAGTTAACCCCGAGTCCCAAAGAGGTTTAGTCGCCGTCAATCCATAGCCCGGGCCCCCCGAGCAAATCCATCCTACTCGGCAACAATCTTAGAGAATCTTAATCGCCAAAACCAAAGCAAAGCTTTTCCGGCCCAGCCCCACCCACTCCTCGTGGAGGTTTTCTTTGTCTCTCTCGCTTCTTCTGTCTTCTATCTTGCTTCGTTTTGAAAAATACCAGTATCGATGTCTCGTGTTTGGTGGCCGGATTACTGGTTTCGGGGCGGGTGGGTGACTTGGGCCAAATGCAGACACCTCCTCGTCTTGGTAGGTAGACGGGGCTTCAATCGTTGTTCATAAGACTCCAGCATTCCTCTCTGCACGGTACCTCTTTGCTCGACACACCCGGTTTCTGCTTGGATTCTTACTTCATTGTGTCTTCTATTTTCTTGTCTTTTCTTCTGTTGGTGACACCTTCCCTCATTGCGACCAAAGACCAAGTCAGTGAACCCAATCAACGCAAGTCACCATGATCGACGTGTTTGCAGTGCAGGTGTTCTTCATCGTCTTCCGCGAGTGCCTGGAAGCCGTGATCGTCGTGTCGGTCCTGCTGTCCTTCCTGAAACAATGCCTGGGCCAACCGGGCATGGACCTAGAGATTCATCGGCGACTGCGCAAGCAGGTCTGGTGGGGATCCCTCTGCGGGGTGGTGGTGTGCCTGATCATCGGGGGTATTTTTATCGGCATCTTCTACGGGCTGGGAAGCGACATCTGGTCCAACTCGGAGGATCTGTGGGAGGGAATCTTCTACGTGATCGCGACGGTGATCGTGACGGTGATGGGGCTGGCGCTGCTGAGGATCAACAAGACGAAGCAAAAGTGGCGAGTCAAGATCGCGCAGGCGCTGATCGCCAAGAGCGAGGGCCGCACCCGCTGGCTGCGCGGCGACTGGGCTCGTCGGTATGCCATGTTCATCCTACCTTTCATCACCACAATGCGCGAAGGAGTTGAGGCGGTCGTCTTCGTCGGCGGCGTCTCGCTGGGCTACCCCGCCACCGCGTTCCCCCTGCCCGTGGTCACGGGTCTCCTCGCCGGCCTCCTGGCTGGGTGGTGTATTTACCGCGGTGGTAACGTCATGTCTATCCGTATCTTCCTCATCGCCTCCACCTGCGTCCTCTACCTGATCGCCGCCGGTATGTTCTCCAAGGCCGTCTGGAGTCTGCAGTTCAACGCCTTCCAGGTCAAAGTCGGCAGCGACGTGGCTGAGGAAGGCTCCGGGCCCGGCTCCTACAACATCGCGGAGACCGTATGGCATGTCAACTGCTGCAACCCGGAGATCGACAATGGGTGGGACGTGTTTCAGGCAATCCTGGGCTGGCAGAATACCGGCACCTACGGGTCGGTGATCAGCTATAATCTCTACTGGGTGTTCATTATGGTGTGTGTCTCATGGCTGATGTATGAGGAACGGAAGGGCCAGAGGACGCTCGTGCACCGGTACTGGAGCTTCCTTGCCCGCGTCCCTGGATTGAAGAGCTATGCGGCTGGCAAGTTGTTGGAGATGGAGGACTCGAAGGAGCAGGACCTGGTCCGACAGGTGCAGGCCTCGATGTTTGTGGACGACGTGGTGCAGACTGTTCTGGAGCCAACTAAATAAGAACAGCAGATACGGACCCTGGAGATTTGTCGCGGTTGACAGGAAGCAGGGAAGGGGAGAGCTCGTCGTGTAGTTTCCTGAGTGATAGTAACAATACAAGTATGATACCAGCATTGCAGTCTGAATTTCCGTAGTGGGGGGTGGCTTGAAGGCTAGGACCAGATTCGACATCCGAGCGATCCTGCTGGTGGCGAGGACGGCCTTGTTCACGACTGTGGATGAGTGATAAATTCACCTACGCGAGGTTATCATGGCACTGCGAGGCAATGGGTGACAAGTGGGCGGTGAGCAGCCCAGCCAACGAGGCCTCCGGGCAACAACCAACTCCCTCGAGGTCGTCTTCATTACTGTCGCGTAGCATACAAGGGCGCATAACCTACCACCTCGCTGACCTGAATGAACTTTCGTGTTTTGTGAACATCACAGACTAGATGGCGAGATATACGAGGCAGCCTTGCCCAATGGCCCGCTCGCGTGTCATGCCTTGAAAGAGCCTGTTGCGGTAGGCCCCGTTTCATCCAAACATTTGACGTATGCATTGGGCACTCACTAGGTCGAGGGCTAAAAGTCCCCGAAAAACAACCGATCCCATGCAATGCCCAATGTTCCGTTCAGTGAAAGGGAGTTGGAGTTAAGAGCCTCTTTCCTGCGGACCAAGGCCCCCAAAGAGGAAGCAATTACGAGAGCGAAGCAATATAGACTCCACCAGACCTTCTCATTCTGAGAAGCTATCATCCGACTCCCATAATTTCTAGGCGCCCCCGATATTTCCAAGTTGACAGGGCATACTTCTGTGGACAATATCCGCGCTAGACAAATCTGCGTTAGATCCCTACTTCGATATTCACAATCCAAAAACCGATCTATCACCTGCCGTAATGCACCGATTCCTTCACATAGTTGATATCCTAAAGAGAATTCGATTCTGCCCCAATAGGTAGTAATACAGAGAATATAATAATACTGGTAGACACATAAGGCTGAAAATGCTGTCTTTGGTATAGCGGCACGATTCTACTCCGATATCCTCCGCCTGGCGGATCGAATGGCTATGGCGAGGTCCCAGGGAAAAGAACCCGATCGGGCGACGGGGTCTCGACCAAGTAGATGGGGGCAGACTAAAGTCTTCTAATCGCCGAGCTTAGCGAGCTTGGCGAGCTTGGCAAAATATAGCCGACAGACGATATCTGATCCGTCGGAATCAGATAATCTCCCCGCTCATACCACCAGTTTAAATCCCTTCCTGTCACATGCCATCCGGAGGGTTTGCCATGGAATTTCCATGGATCCTTAAGAAAGTCTCCGCACGTCGCGGACTAACCTGCGGACTGGTTAATCCTTTAAGCGTCAGCGGGAAAGTCTAAGCGAGGATGCAGTCTCTTATCAATCAGTTGTAGAGTGGAGTGGGAAACAGCCCGAATACGCCCTCTATGGTAAATTTGCAAATCACAGACGTGATCCCGTTACCTCGCTAGGGCGCGAGTGGAAGGATATAACCCATCACATCGGGCTGGTTCTGTCTTCCCATTCTCATCGTCTCCTCTCTGAAGCGAGCTCTTTCTTTTCTTCGCATCGGGCCGACAATGTGGCCACTGGCGTTCTTCTTTCTGTCGCTGCTAGCCTTAGGGCAGGCGAAAACCGTCACATATGACTTCAATCTCACTTGGGTCAATGCGAATCCTGATGGCTTGGCCGAGCGCAAGGTCATCGGAGTCAACGGGCAATGGCCGCTTCCCGTGATCGAGGTCGACAAGGGAGACCGGCTGGTGGTGAACATGTACAACGGGCTGGAAACACACAACTCCTCCATCCACTTCCATGGTCTCTATCAGAACGGGACGACCTCCATGGACGGTCCCTCTATGTTGAATCAGTGTCCAGTGGTCCCCGGGGCCAGCATCACATATAACTTCACGGTGGAGCAGAATGGCACCTACTGGTACCATTGCCACACGGACTGGTGTTATCCGGATGGCTACCGCCAGGCGCTGATTGTCCATGACAACACCCCTCCTTTCGAGTACGATGAGGAGTATACTATCACAATGAGCGACTGGTACCACAAGCTGACGGAGGATATCCGCCCGGAGTTCCTCTCGTTGTATAATCCCACCGGAGCAGAACCGATCCCGCAGGCGTTTCTGGTCAACGACACGATGAACTCCAAGTTTCCGGTCGAGGCGGGCAAGACGTACATGCTGCGCCTGATTAACATCGGGGCCTTTGTGGCGCAATACTTCTATATCGAGGACCACGCCATGCGCATCGTGGAGATCGACGGGATCTATGTCGACGAGACCGAGGCTGAGGTGCTGTACATTGCAGTGGGTCAGCGGTACTCGGTTCTCGTTACGATGATGAACGCAACTGAGAAGAACTACCCGATGGTGACTATAGCCGACTCCGTCCTGCTCGACACCGTGCCATCGGATTTAGTCTTGAACCAGACCAACTGGCTCGAGTACAACACCCAGGCCGAGTACGCCGAGGCGACTCTCAGCATTGATGTCTCCTCCGAGTTGGAAGCCTTTGACGATATGAGCCTGGTTCCGTCCGATCGGGCAATTTTGCTCCCGGAGCCTGACATCCAGGTCAAGCTGACCGTTCTCATGGACAACCTGATCAACGGAAAGGGGTACGCATTCCTAAATGATATCAGCTACACTTCGCCTAAGGTGCCCACCTTATACACCGTGATGTCTGCAGGCGATCTAGCGACCAACGCAACCGTGTATGGCGAGTACACTCACCCAGTGGTCCTAGATCACAACGCTGTGGTTGAGATCGTGCTAGAGAATCAAGACACAGGCTCCCATCCGTTCCACCTACACGGCCACGCCTTCCAGCTGGTGACGCGCTATCCGGCCTATGGAGCAGACTTCTACGACTACTCGGCCGGCACGACCTTTGCTACGTACGACAGCTCCAACACAACGCTAACCGACAGCTTCCCGACGTACCCGGCCCGCCGGGACACGCTCGTACTCCCGCCCGGCGGGTACTTCGTCATCCGGTTTGTTGCCGATAACCCGGGGGTTTGGTTTTTCCACTGCCACATCGACTGGCACCTGGCCCAGGGCCTGGCCATGACTTTTGTGGAAGCCCCCGCCTTGGTCCAGGAGCGACTGACTATTCCCGCCGACCACTGGGAGGTCTGCCGCGCGGCTGGCGTACCCGACGAGGGCAATGCGGCGGCGAACACGGTCGACTACCTTGATCTGACCGGCCAGAACGCACAGCCCGGCTGGCTGCCTGCCGGATTCACGGCGCGCGGCATCGTCGCTCTCGTCTTCTCCTGCGTGTCGGCTGTCGTAGGCATGGGCTTTATCACGATGTATGGTCTCTCAGATTTGAAGTTCACGGAGACGGAGCTGGGGATGGGCGAGCTGGCGGTCACGGGAGAGGTGGCGCTGACTGAGTTCAGAGAGGAGCCTGGCACGGCTTACCGGGATTGATGTATGGCAGGTGTGCTGTACTGTATAGATCACGTTATAGATTTTCATGCTTTCCATTGTTTCGCAGGCTATTAAATACCGATGAATAAACGATCGTGTCTTGTTTCTGCTCAGAGGTTCGAGTACCTTTTATACAACCTCTTCGTCCTCAATGCTTCTCCCTTCATCGAGCAAGGGCTGTCATCTCTTTGCCGCTCAGAGGTCGATAGTTCTTAACGGACAACAAAGCGAACAAGGTTTTTCTGTCTGAATAACCTGTCTGAGAGCCTAGTGAGTTTCTCAGCCACACGGGTAACAAAGAACAATGGTATAGTCCAAATATTGGGAGAATCTGATTAGGTGTTGAAGCGAAAGGAAAGATTTCAGGAGGGCGGGTGTGCAAATACTTTCTGCCTACAATTTTACCGCGCGTAGTGAAACAAACCAAATAGAAACAACCCCTGGTTAATAAGCGGCAGTCAGCACTGTGCAGCTTCAATTCTGGTAGTCACCACCAACTTGGAAATTTTCTCCCCTCCAAAACTCCTTCCACATCTTATCCATTGACAAAGATGCAACTCTTCGCCTGCGGTGAGAACAGCGACGACTCTCTCGGGGAGCCACGAGCTTGTCGGAGACGGAACGTTGCCTTTCATCATTGCGAGCATCCCGACCTGGACCTGGTGTACACCCCGCATTGTCCTCTGTGGGTTCTGCGACCGAAGAAGGTCCTCGAAGGAAAAGAGATTCGCCCCATCAACTGCGATACCGGCTCCACCTTTTTCGACGTGGACGGAGACCTCAGACACTTTGGGTGGGGGTCTCTGTCCGGATCTCAGCGAGCGGGGGTACTGGAGGCGGGCACGGAGAACCTCATCCATATCATCCGACTTGCAGACGGGTTCGCTTTCCTGCTCAGAGATGGGAGTCTTCTAATCGCCAGGAAGTCCGGCTCCCATAGGATTGATGGCAAAGGCATCAAACACATTGCTGCAAGACGAGTCAACGACTGGAACCCGGATTTGGTCTCCGGAGCGGTAGCGGTGGTCTTTGCAGATGATCCGAAAACAGTTCTCTCGTGGGACTCATGGCAACACATGTGCTCCTTCCTGGAAGATCCCATCGGCAGTCCCCCTCCAATCCACGCCGCTACCTTTGCCTCTCCCGTGATCCAGTTGACATCGGAATTTGCCGCGCTCACGGAGGCAGGCGAAGTCTTCCAATGGGGAGACGAGCGTCTGGAACAACCACCCGTTGTCCCCGACGATGACGAAGGGTTTGAGCAAGCTGAATTTGCAGCTCGTATCTTGAACGAGCCTATTACCTCGTGGCCTGCTAGACCCCCGAGACGGCTCAACTACAAGCCGCACAAACTGCCCCTTCCGCCCATCAAAAAGCTATCTACGGGCCGCGCTTATGCTACTGCGATCACACACACTGGCGACCTTTATTTGATGGGTTCGAAAAGCGGGCATTGGCCGGACATCGAAGATGCCAATCCCAGAAAGGCTCTCGAGTTTCAACCCGCGACGATCCCTCCTGACAAGCCTGCAAACACACAAGGTCTGCGGATCCAGCATGCAGCTGTGGGTGGCCGGCATGTCGTAGCTGTCGCCACTGATGGATCTCTGTGGTCGGCTGGCGATGGGCTTTCTGGCCAGTTGGGCATTGGGGTCAGACAGTTCGGGTTATGTACCCCGGATGGCGTGGTTGACATGGAGGCCAATGAGACCGAGGAGGAGTTTGCTCTCAAGTGGGAGAGAATGGAGGTAGAAGCCCTCCGGAATCGAGAATGCGTGGCGGTGTTTGCGAATGAGCAGCAAACCTTCATCTTGACTCGGGATCCGGACTAGATTCTGTGAAATGCTGACTTCTGGTAGCACCTCTTTGTAGCATATATGACTCCGAATCTGTGTTTTTCGCTCTCGTTCGAACACTCCTTTTCTCCCTCTCATTAATAAAAGGTCCTTGCTTCGAGACCCACTTCATCGACGATTAAGTTGCGTAGTTGAACTGAACGAGTGACCTTGCTGCCACACCAGGCGTGGTGGGTATTTAGTGTTGGTTTGGGGATGTGAACAGTCGAGGTATAGATGAAATTGATCATAACGCAAAAAAAGAAAAACATACAACAGAAGGGATTCGCTGGTGGTCACCCACCCAACTACTAACCTCCCGGCGTGTGGCTTAAGTACGGCTGAGCGGACGGGAAGCCCTGTTTTCCACACCCTGTGGTCGTATGTGCCAGGCTGATTCCCGAGCTGAAGCATAATGTTCACAAAATAGAAAGACAGTTGATGAAGCCAGACCAAGCTACGGAAGCAGCCTCAGCGCTTGTTCGATGTCATGTCGGGCCAGACTGACGGCCAATTTAATTTACGATTCAATTCAATTCATGTTCTATGAACCTAAGGAGCCTCGTGAGAGACTCAGCCCGCCTATTGCGGCTCAGCTATGAAGGTGGTGGATACCAAGAACATGCCTGTACGCCCATTAACTCCCTGTAAACTCAAAGATATATAGTGTTGCAAACACCGGCTCCAGCGGCCGTTCCCAGTCTCCCTTTTGTATGTTTCACTTGCTTTGCATCATCCCCGTGACCCCGGGTTGGTTGGTCCAATTACACAGCGTCTTCAGCACCTATACCCATTGCCCGAAGGCCTTAGACTGACAGCCGCGACCGCGACCGCTGTCTGAGAATCGTTGACGCGGTTCCTGCCTCAGGCAACCACAACAAAGTGACTATAAGATCAGAGTAATAGTATCATCCCAAAGGTGCGCGATTTTCCGATTACGGAATTATGATTACTGATCAGGTATCCCAACCTCCCCACACACCCTCCCACTGCGCGCCGGGGATTCGGTAGTTGCCGCGGTCAGGTCCATAAATAGCTCCAACATTAGAAACGATCCTTATCGCGCCAGAGTATATTTAGACCCCGTCAACAGACTTAGTGCCGAGACAATGATCCCAGCTTCCCAACTCTTCTCTAGTGTCCAACTTCCACAAATTCAAAAGAGCAACAAGCCAAGATAGAAACGCACTAACAGAAAAAACACAACCCAACCAACCAAAATGACTCCCCCCCCGGCTCACGAATACACATTCTTCCGCATCCCCAAAGATGATACCCTGAGGGCCTCCGCCCAGAAATACCAACAGCTCCGCCTGCGCGCCCTGTCCGTCGCCCCGGCCTCGTTCTCCTCGACCTACGAGATCGAAGCCGCCATCCCGGAAGACGGGTGGGCGAGCCGCCTCGCTTTGGACGGGAAGGAGACGTTCATCTGTGCGGCGACCCCTAGCACTGGGAATCGGGATCCAGCAAGTACACAAGAAGGGGAAACCAGAGTATCTGGGTGGGTCAGTTGACCTTGCGCGCTCTGAGTCCCGAGACATTTATCCTGCCTGAAGAGTCGGGGCAGAAGAGACCTAGCCTCCTCACTGCAGAGCCAGGGCAGGAGGGGGAGGAACTCTGGCAGATGCTCAGCCTGTTCACCCTCCCGGATTATCGCGGGTGTGGACTCGGGAAAAGACTGTGTCAGGAGGCGTTGAAGTACTTGGCTTCATATCGGCCGTCCCCGTCGAAGGTGTGGGTGCGGTTGATGGTCAAACCCGAGAACCAGGCGACCGTGGGCTTATATCGGGGTTTGGGGTTTGGGGAGTCGGGCAAGTGTACGCTGGCCGAGGCTTTGGTGGCCAACGGGGATGCGGAGCTGTTGCCGGCGGATGTGAGTGGGGAGAAGTATAGTTCGCGGAGTGGTTTGGTTATGATGTTGGAGTTTAGTCGATAGATGTTATCTACCCAGTATTAGTAAAGAGAATAGCATAGTTAGGCATGCTTGGTTGATTTGGCTTATGATAAACATATTCTGGATGAGACGTAGGCTTAAACCACAGTCATAAAACTTCTATCAGTTAATGTCTTCCACATGACGCCACAACTATTAGTTGCTTTCTTGGGGGGAGGGCACCCTACCTGTATGGGAGATAGTGCCCACTGCATAATTCCATTTGCGCTTCTTGCTTGCCTCAATGTCTATTTTGTGCAGGGAAGAAGGAGCGAAGAAATCAACAACGGGTACTAAATTCAGTCTACCTGCCCTCCATATCCTAAACCTGCGTCGCCACTAGAATCAAAAAGAAAAAAAAAAGAAAAGAAAAGAAAAAGAGCAAAAAGAAGACAGAAAAGGAAGAAGAAAAAAAGCAGACCAGTGAGAATAATCAAACCAGAGTCACAACTTCCTTGCGATCGCCGGCTGCTCTCTGAAAATCAGCCTTCCACCTCCCCTCGCTGCAATCATCTCCCTGCACCGTGTTCAGCGTGAAGTATCCGACCCTCCGAAAACTCGCAGCATCACCAGGAACCCCCCTCAGCACGAGTCCACTCCACTGTCTCAGCCACTCATCCTCTACCAGCACTGCCAACCGCAAAGTTGATGGTTCTTCTTCATCCTTACCATCCCATTCTACCTGAACCCAATACCTCTCACCCTCCAACCCCGTCACCTTTACCCTGTGTCCTCCACCACAGACCAACTGCGCGTCAAGCACAAATGTCCTCAAACTGAGCCTGATGATCTCTCCCTCTGGTGAGTCTCGATGATATCCCACCTTTTCAGCCAGACACCGCTGCTCATCCCTTACCCCCAATTCCTGCGGGGAAAACACCCTTCTTCCTTGAACAGACGCCCAACTCCAACTGGGCATGCGACCGTCTTTCTTTCCACAAGCACTTTCACTAACACCTGCACCACCAACCCTCCAGCCGAGCGACAAAGGCATCGATCCCCAGAAATGTCCCACCAGATACTCTGCTGCTTCCTCCCGTTTTGCAATATCCCCCTCATTCTCGACTTCAGAGATCCGTATAGCTTTCATCCGCTTCCCCACTTCACCGGCCACCCATTCCAAACCCGCCAACTTCTTCTCCGAGTCCATCCTTCCTCCTGCATCAGCAAAGGTAGCAGTGTGCTCTTCCACAACCCTATACCAGAAGCTCAGCAGGGTGGACCAGTCTGCATCAGTAGGGATAGCGGTGTCACGATGGGGGAAGCGGTCCGCTCCCGTCAAAAGGGAAGGCGGGAGATAAGGGAGAAAACCACTGGGAAAAGTCTCACTGGCGAAGGTGAGGCAGGTGCACTCCCAGAAGACTTCTGCAGCGGAGGAGGAAATTGTCAGCAGGCGGGGAGTGGCGAGGCGGGCTTGGATTGATATGGAGGAGTTGTGCTGGTGGTGCAGGGTTTGCGAGAGGTATGTCCAGGGGATGAAGGTGAGGTCTGAGCTTGGGGAGTGATCACCATCATCCTTATTGTTGCTCATGAAACCCTCGTTCATAACTCCAGTCACATTGGTGACCTGGAAGGGGAGGGGCTGGACGTGCGAGGTTGCTGGGAAATTACTGAAGACTCTTTGCGCGGGATCTTCGAATGTGGACACCGCAACGGTGAGGGCAGCGTTGGAGTAGAGACTAAGCCTCTCGTGCTCAACGTTGCTCTGATCAAGCTGATCCACTGGTCGACGGCACAATTGCTCGATCCACACGTAGTTGGTCCCAATTGAAAGCAGGAGAGTGATGACTTCGCCGATCGCTGCTGGAAGATCAGGAATGCGCACGTCAGTAGGGCGCAAAGCTTCCACAGTAGAGAACCATTCCCCTTCCTCTGTCGTGGAGGAATCAAAGCTCAGCACCGCGTACGGTCTCTTGAGTACGGTCTCGACTGAAGTGATCAAGCGGACATTATCACCACCCGATGTCTCCAAGAGCTGCGATGGGTAGTGCTCTGGTTGGGAGATCCGAGCACAAGCGTGCTCATTCTGGCAGCGCTTCATCCAGTTCTCCACCGCAGTGCTAGCATCGCGCATCCGAGCGGCAGGATCCCTAAGACGGGGGACGGGATTGAATGGGATGGTGGCGCTTGGGATGGCTATCAGAGTGTAGCAGTATGAGGTGCCTTCTTGAGGCTGCGGGTCGTCCCTCTGGTGGTCTAGGATCACCTGGGTGTAGCCCTGGCTGACATAGATGCGATAGCCCCAGCTCCCGTCAAGGGAGTCGCAATGCTGGTATTGATCGTGCAGCATAGGCTGGCAGATATAGCAGCCGCTGCTGGCTGCCGCGGCCAAGGAGGCAGCATCGGGATGATGGGGGCCGCTCCAGGTGGGGCAGTGGAAGATCCGGTCACAGTATCTGCAGAGCATCTTGTCTAATGATTCGAACTCTGAAGACTTGATAAAGAGGAGTGGGAAGGAGATTGCTGTGGATAACGAGCTGGTTAAATAGAACCTCTGAAGGCGATGATGCAAGTAGGTGCAGCCAATCACAGGCCTCCTACAACTGTCGATTCTGGTTGGCTGCAGGTCGACTGCGCTGCAGCCCTAATCTGATCCTCGGCCCTGTCGCCCATGCGCTCTTCAACCACGAATAAGAAATCGCAGCTTCGAGAAGGCACACGATTGGCAGTCTCTTCTTCCATTTGTTCCGATGGCAACTATTGTGCAGGCGGCTGCAGACCATCCGAGGGGCCACGGGACGCCTTGTACCACCACCATGTTCCATCCAGTCGTGCCTGTACCCTCCGAGGCTGCGGGGATATAACCATCAGCATGGCGGGAAGAGGTACAGAGTACATCATCGAGTCAGTTTTGAGTTGTTAGCAGGTGTATCCACGCGTTTGGGGGCGGCTCCAACCCCAGAAGTATACGAGTTTTGTGCGACAGAAGCGAAGTACAGGTGTGAGCCCGCGATCCTGAATGGTCATGTCAAGCAACGCCAAATGCTTACGTTGGATTGATTTTCCTCCGCCAGGAACAATATTCCCACAGTTATGGAGAAGAATATGAAGTGGTCGAGTATGTCTGTGAAGCGGAATGGGAGATTCGCAGGTATTAAAGGACGCTTGTCGTCTGCGATTCTTGAGGTATCCATCCCCAGAGCAGCAAGTCAGCCTTTCGAGCGCACCGTTAGCCAAAGTTGCAATAAGGCAGAATCGCCACCATGAAAGCAAGCGTCATCTCTCTCTCCCTTCTCGGCCTTCTGTGTGCCGGAGTTGGCCTCGCCGTCCCGTTCGACAACGTTGCGGATGCACCGGCTGAGGTAGATGGAGATGCCTCCATCCAGGAGATCCTGCGAGGAGTAAGTCAGCTTTGACTCTGTAAAGGAGCATTACTGACACAGACACAAAGACCTGCAGCAGCGTGACGCAGCAGTGCACGGCGCAGAAGTGCCCGGGAAGCGTCTATCACGCTCCGTGCCCCAACAACCACCGCGTGAGTCCCTTTCTCATTTCGCAAAGTAAGACGTATTAATCAGAGCTAGTGCGGGGCGAGACATACTTGCAACCTCGACACCATCCGGCTCACAGCTGTTTGTAGCTGAGCGGTTGTCGTGGTCAGCTTCGCCTCGAGCCTGGAGGATTTGAAGAGGTCGGGCTGTGTCGGCCGGGAAGATGCTCGGGTTTGACTGATGCAGGGGAGAGAACGGAAAATTCCGCTACGGTCGGTTCATTCAACATGAGTCTGCTGTTTCGCTTGTTGTGTATTTGTTAAATTAAAGCCATTGGATCCGCATCGTACCATCTCGTAGATTCTACACGTCGTCCCAGGCAATCTTTATCGCCTCGAGGCTGTTCTGCTTACAACTTGATGCCCATTGGACCGTTGTAACTGCCGGATGGGGCTCTGATTCGTTCCCAGATGGGTCATGCTGACATGGTCGCGAACCTGTCTGTAAGGTAGGACCCTACGATGCACAGTTCTTGGCATCATGTCTCAGGTAAAAGCATGATTGAGCACCTTGTCAGATAATATGCGTAGAACAATAGTTAGTCTGATTTGGCCAGTTCTCCACAACAGGTGAGACACTATAAGGACCCTGGTTGCAAAAGAGTAGAAGGTGATTGGGTGGTCTGCTAGTGTCATCTGTCAATGGCATCTGAGACACTGTGAGAACCTTGTTGGATTGATATGGCACTACTCCACCTTACATGTTTCTGACCGAGAGCTGGATTTGCAATGATGGGTGTAGAAGATGACAACCCTGGTGGGACTTGCGACATATAAAAGGGCAGTAAGGTATCATCGTTTCTCTCATCATTCCACCAGCAACGCACAAACATCGCAATATACGATCACTCTTCCAATCTCCAAATCCAGTCAATCTTCTACCTTCAAAATGAAGACCGTCTTCGCTCTGTCCGCTGTCATCTCCAGCGCCTTCGCCGCTGCTGCCGCCGCCTCTTCCAGCGCCTCCCCCTTCGAGCTAGTCATCAGCAACGCGCAGTCCCGCGCCACCGAGCTCAAGGGCCGCGCCCTCATCAGCCAGGGCGACGCCTTCATCCTGGCTCCTGCAGGTGAACATGGGATCAACTTCACCGGTGGAAACGGTTCTCTGGGCATCCAGAACGGTGATGTCGGTGAGTTTTGCACATTATCACTCCCTTCTCGCCTCTTCGTGTGTATTAACTAAGGTATCCAGTCTACGTTGGCACCGACGGCCATGTCGACCTCAAGAGCACCGACGGCATCGCCGCCGGAGGTCTGACCCAGGGCTTCACCACGGGCAGCGACAATGCCCTTGAATGGGCCCAGGGTCAGTTCTTCGCCTGTCCTCACGTGTCTCTGTACGCCGCGGGTCCTCCCACCTACATGATCTACGCCACCCGCTCCGGTGCCGCGCTTCCTACCGACTGCATCGCGGTTGACCTTGCTAAGGTTGCTGTCTGAGCTTGCTGCCTGCAGACAAAGATTATGGAATTCGATGGAGGGCAATTGGGTTCTATAGATAGTTTAACCGATACTCTCGTTTACAATTGAAAAATTTGTTCAACAGTCACTTTGCAGCTAGGGGATAACATGGAGCCAATGATCGTAGACTCAGAGAGCGCAACTGTTCCACCCACAATTGTTGAGATACTGTGTAATCACGGATATCCTATGGTCCTATGGTAACTGACAGGGAATATACGAGCAGCCAAGAAAGGGCGGAGAATGCCAAGAGAGGTTCCAAAGTCCCGGGACTAAAGTCCAGGCTCTCGCCGTGACAAACTTGGCTGTATCTTCTCGCAGAACCTGTACTATACACTGCCTCAAGCGTCGTGCCGTGCATTCTTTATCCGGCCTGAAACTATCGTTGATCAGTATTCGAGTACGCGAAGATTATCTAATATCGAGCTCAGCCGCACCTTTTGTTCCCGACTTCGTATAGGGCCAGACCGTTGGGCTCCGCCAAGACGGTGAAACCCCGGGTCCTCAGCTCCGGAACCAGGGGGGCTCCTCGGATGATCTACAATTCATCTTGACAGTAGAGTCTTGACCAGTGGAACACCTCTCGGCGGCGAAGGTCAAGTGAGGCAGTACGAGCGGACTCCACTCAGCACAGCCTTACATGCAGAGTGACTAGTTGTGTAGTCCATGGAAGTAGTAGGATCCACCACCGACTATAAAGTTCCCCACATCCCTCGCCCTACCTTCACGATCGTCCCCATCTCCCACAGCGACATAAATTGATACACCCACCACAAAGCAAACCAGCACATCATGAAGCTCACCCCATACCTCCTCGCCGCCCTCCTCCCCGCCACCATCCTCGCCGCCCCGGAAGCAGAACCCGACCCCTTTGCGGACCCCGAGCCCGAGCCCGAGCCCGAGATCGAAGCCCGCCAGGCCACCACAGGACCAGTCTCCTGCTCGATCTTCGGGCAAATCGCCAGCAAGAAGCTCCCCGCGCCCTGTGCGGTCAACGGGCCTACCTTCGCCAAGAACACCAGGGTCACCTTCACGTGTCAGATTCTGACCGACGAGTATGCTCCTACCTCCTTAGGCCTTTCTCCATGAAAGCATTCATACTAATTAACAACCTAGGACCTGGATAAGAGTGGGACAATTCGGGGCTGGAAGCTCCTGGGTCCGCCGGAACGATCCCGCTGTGCAGCCGTGCTCTGGGTTCGGTACGTTGCCTCTCCCTGTTTTGTTTTTGCCGGACCGGGGTTAATGTACGTGTGGAATAGCATCGGTGAAACTGCCCAAGTGTTAGAATCGGTGGAACATGGTTGGATTTCTGGTGGATTGGCGGGGTTGGGCGTGGAATTCCTTTGCTTGGTTTCTTTCTCTTTTCCCTTCTGCTTATGATTCTTTTGTTTTCTCTATGCCGCTGTATCCGGTTATTGTTTGAGTGCTTGATTTGTCGCTTTCGCGATGCATTGAAGATTTGGGGTTTGGGGGAGTGGGGAGAGAATACCTTCATTTCGCAGGCTCCTTCGCAGGCTCCTTCCTTGGGTGTTGAGGAAGGGTACTGTACATCTGGGGTGCTCATATAACTGTTCTGGATTTTGACTTAGTGGAATAGCAATTGTTATGAGAAAGTGGTCTAAAGCGTAAAACAATCTCAAAGTAGATTTCCAGATCCTGCGGATACGACATCCGAGCCCGACGCCGTGGCAAGACATCCATATGCGGGACTAAGATCAGGGACTAGATACGGTTCCGGCCCGTATACCCCGGTCGCCCCGTGGTTCGTGGTGGTGCCGTCTTTGACAGTGAAAAGGTTCAAGGGCTCGGGTTTTAAGGTTACGAGGAGGTGGCTGAGTCAGTTGCTGAGTTGCTGGAAGCGGTGTCAAAAGAAGGTCCATTCTATTCATATTTGTCGGTGACTTGTGCTTGTCATCTGACTTGTATTTCTTTAGTCTTAGTCTTTTTTCGAGAGTAAGTATGATCCCACAGCCGATGGAGAATACAGGATGGAAGGAGGATCTCGATATGAAGACCATAATTCAGGTATCTGCGTCCAAGAAGGTAAAGTGCGGCTTTGTAGAAAATGACTTGGCTCCCAGGTTACGCACGAGTTAATACCTTACTATCGTATAGGACATGCAATGGAAGATTTTGGATCTAGTCCCTCCATAGTTTCCCTGACCAGGGTGTTCAACTCGAAGGAATCAATATAGCACAGCATTGACGAGCTTGACAACTTGAGCGTCTCCAATTTAGAGCAATAATCTGCCTTGTCGGAGGTGAAGGTCAATGTCGCTTCGATTCTCAAGTCACCAGCGAGGTCTCGTCATCTTAGACGATAAAGACCACCAAGTGGGTCGTTGTTGCTCGCACAATAATACTTTGCTGTGACTTTCCTGCGAGAGGAAGTGCTTATTCTTCTAGAATGGTCACATGATAAGATGACCCATTTGGAAGGGCCTGACTAGAGTCACAGATGTGGAACATGTGTATGTGCTTAACAGAAACTTCTTATGACAAACCAGCCCATGAGTATGAAGAGTCTGTTATCGGATCAAATAGCGAGGTATTTAATTTGCAACTCTCCTCATGCGTAGTATGACCCGCTCTATGATCGGTATATCGTAGAGCGGTCCGGAGTCATGCATGCAAAGGACAACGATCTTCGTGGTATGATTCCTGAAGAAGCGTCGCATGACTTCTCCTTACGCAGAATTGGAGGATCATCATGGCAAGGCAAATGATTGTATCTGATGACTTGGTGATAATAGGAGCAACAAGCTCCCCGAAGTGAGGGTGGATGGTTAGTGCCTCCACCACGTGCACCAGGACATTGTCCAGCCATCCTTGCCTAGATGAATGCTCTTGTTTGCCTTATGACGACTTGAAAGCAGCGGGATTTGGGTCCTGATCATGCGGTCCTCCAGACCGCCAGCGACGAACAGGGATGGCGATGTTTCGATCCGGCCTATGCCACCCTCGTGCAGTTGTGTCTCCTGGGGTCTCAGATATAATACTCCTTCGACAGCCGCCGCCATCAATGGCACTAATGATGGCTCTCAGCAGTTGACCTTTTCCTTCATCATTGTATTGAAAGGATAAGTTGTTAGTCGACACACCTATTATACCACTGCATTATAAAAGAGATTGAGTTTGGAAGAGCATCAACAATGAAGATCAGTAAGTACTCCACTCACCTGGCAGTCAACTCTTCCTTCAAACCCTCCATCCCACTCGACCCTCAACACCTGAACCCCCTTCTTTCCTCCCACTCATCCCCCACCATCCCACTAACATCCCGCAAACCGGAACAAGGAACCCTCCTCCCAACCCTCGCCCTGACAGCAGCCACCACACAAGCCGCCCCCCCCTCCCCCCCCTCCCACCCCCCAATCTCCGTGACAACGCGCTACATCATCTTCGGCAAGATCCTGACGACCGACACCTGCGTCGGGCTGACGCCGGACGGCGTGAAGGCGCACTGCGGCTACCTGCGGGCCATCCACAACTGCCCGTGCTCCGACCCCAACCCCGAGGGCAATATCGTGGTGGACTGCTCCATGACCCTGAATGTGCTCGGGGCGTGCAAGGGGATCTTCGTCTCGGATCAGGATGCGTGCTCGAATGATGGGGGGGTGTTTCGGTCGACGCTTTAGTTCCCTCTAGGGTTTTTTGGCTTTTGGTAGATAGTGTGGGATTGGTGGGGCCGAACATCTGTTATCTACACAGGTGTATTTCTGGGAGGCGGGTGTCTTGGTTGGATGGGAAGCTTGTCGGTGATACTGATCAATTCTTGCACAAGGGTACAACCCTACATAATCCATGCATAGCTACTGCTTACCTAATCCTCAGTTGCACGCAGACGACATGCGGGGTAAAGCGCTGCGCGAGCTCGGTTAGAATGCGGGGAACCCCCGTATTGAGCCCTGATCGTCTGCTCCAGTGGAGAACATGATTTCATCTAATTTTCTATTCGGCTTGAACAGACGGGACTTCCTGTACCTCGAACGCACCGTAAGCTGCAGTATTAAGATACAGCAATACAGTATATCCTACAGCCCGAGGCATCGTTCGTAGGATCGAGAGGCATAAATATCAGCTTCTCTTCTTCAACCACCATGGCATTGAGCTCAATCACACCCTCTACCTCCTTGGAGAAGTCTATGCAACGATAAAAATGCACCTCCCAGCCCTCATCACCTGGTTAACCACCCTCTCCCCCCTCGTCGCCGCTAGAGCCACTCCTTCACCGCCACCCCCGGCCCCCGCCCTCTCCTTCCTCTACACCGCCTACGTAGAATGCACCGAGACCCTCATGCTCTCCCCGGGGCCCCACGGTACCCGCAAGGCCATTCCCATCGTCGGCGGCAATTTCACCGGTCCACGACTATCAGGTACGACCCCCGGATCCTGTCACTTGCACTAGATCAGTCATGTGGCTAACAACCTGAAGGCAAAATCCTCGATGTAGGCGCCGACTGGGGCCTCGTTGACCCCGCCACGGGCATCTTCTCCGCCGACACGCGGTACAACCTCCGCACCGACGACGGGGCGGACATCTTCATCCAGACGTCGGGGCCCAAGTCGCCGAGTGGGCAGCTGCATCTGCGCCTGGTGTTTGAGACGGGCAGTCGGAAGTATTATTGGTTGAATAATATCGTGGGTATGTATTGTTCCTCTATTGGGAGAGATGAGCTGAGCTGGAGTTGGGGCTCATCGTGCGTGGTGTGTGGTGAAATATTGCTGACAGGCTAACTAGCGATCGGGGTGCTTACGCATGCGGCGGATATCAATTCGACGTCCATCTTGAGGATTGATGCTTGGAATGTGAGTACATTTCTCTTCATCGGGTGGTGTGATCTTCATCAGGCGGTGTGGAGTTCGTGTAGATGCCAGTGCACTGTGCTGATGTGAATCTTAGATGGCTTCCGATTGGAATTCGACGACGTTCTTGGATGCTTAAAGCCTGATGGCTCATGGATTAGTACCTGAGCTATAGTAGGTACATATCCGAAGAGGTATCAAAGATTATGAGTAAAGGTGTGAACAAGGTTGTTAGACCAAAACTAGGAAGGGAAAGACAATGATTTAGCCTAGAATGTTGTATATAGCAAGCCGACAGAATGACAATCCATAACATGTCGACTTAGTCTATTCTCTAGCCGTAAAGGTCAACCTGCATGTCTGCCCCTTAGGTCGCGCAGAGATTATCTGATCATCAATATCCATACACCCAGTCATATCAGCGGCCACCGTAGTGCGATACCTCGAATAGACCTCCCGCAGGAGGATCTTCATCTCCACTGTAGCAAGACTGCATAACGTTAGCATATCTTGATACGCGAGAACAAAACGAAAACGAAGAGTCAAATGACATGAAAGCGAAGGAAGCAGTCGAGAGGGATGAGGAGTAACAGAAACAATCTCAGGCCACCTACTTTCTCCCGGTGCAGCCCCGCCCTCCAATCCCGAACGCAAAGAACATCCGATTCCGCTCTGTCGCTCCGCTCTCGTCCATCCATCGGTCCGGATTGAATCGATCCGGTTCAGGAAAAACACCTTCATCGAAACGATGGACAGTATACGGCTGACAGCTGACGATCGTCCCCTCGGAGACAAAAGTCCCATCGATCGTCCGTCCGCCGCTGGGAACATACCGAGGGAACGACATCGGGATGGGCGGCGCACAGCGAAGTCCCTCCTTGATGACCGCGTCAAGGTATACCAGCTTATCGAGCGGTGTGTCCGATGCCGTGGTACGCAGTTCCTCGTAGAGTTTGTCCTGGAATTCGCAGTTGTGTGGTCGGGATAACTCCCACATAAGAAAGCACAGTCCATCTCCTGTCGTGTCAATCCCCGCGGCCATGTGGTCTTTGCATTCAGCCGCTACTTGATCGTGACTCAGTGGAGAGTCCTTCCGAGTGAGACGAGCGAGGAGACTGTAGTCGTCTGGATGCTCTTGCGCTGTGATGCTCTGAATGTACGCATTAGTCTTGGGGGCGCGACGCGGCTTGACCCAGCTGGGGAAGTATGGGCTGAGTGTGGGGAGGTAGTGGTGAAGAAGGTTCTCTGCGCAGGTCAGTACTTTGTCGGATTGTGGCTGAGAAACATACTCTGCAGGCTATCGTGGTAGGTCAACTCCTCCATGATTTCGAAGTCCTTCTCGTTGGTGAGAGAATCCAGCCCTCCTGGGCTGAACATGAAGTGCGTCACGCAGTCAAGAGCGTAGCAATGGAGAAAGACCTGAAACTGTCAGCGCCAGCCTCACCTTGACTGGGGATACGTACATAAACATCTACACTCTTAGCCACAGTAGTGCATCTCGAAATAAAAGCCTGTGCGCGGTCGCGAATGGCCGATACGTGGCTCTCGCGCAGGATATTTGACATGGCATATCTATCGGCCAGTTCCCGCTTGCGCTGACTATGCTGCTAACTGTCAGCTTTCTTCCTCCTGGAATACGTGGTAACGGACCGAGTATTTTTCGAGAGTCGAAAACATCGTTCTAGCAGGCATTAGCAGATACACCCCCCACACCAGACGAAGCAGCATACTTGACCCCAAACTGGCGGAACATGTCGTAGAATTCAGTCTTATCGTAGCCGCTCCCGCCCGATGCGTAGATCTCGCGGATGGCATCAAGAGACGCAAATGACACCTCGTTCGGGGCTAAACGAACCACGGGTCCGTGTTGCTTATGGAGTTGGTGAATGTACATGCGACGATTGGCCTTGAACTCATGGTGCTTGATCGGTAGGCTCGTGAATTTGGTGAGCCACGGGCCGGGTATTTTGGCAATGGGAGAATATAGCCGTTTGACAAGGAAGGAACATAGTACAAGGGCCGCTGCCACCCACGTTGACAACATCTTGGTGAATGCTCATATGAGGTTGAGCCATTCTCTGGTGAAATTGCCAATACTTATAAGTTTGGTGTACATGCAGTACTGATATCGGCAAAAGGCGAGCTATCCCCAAGGGGAAACCGTAGGAGATGCATTGATACGGGTTGCTATCGCGCGGGGTTCCGAGATTATCTCGGGCTGATAAGATACGCAAGCAGCAAATGGTCATTGTCGGCCTGCTGAGGCATTGGACCAATGACTGACATGAAAGAAGCACCCTAGTTCGATCAAAGGTCTAGAAGACTCTTTAAGGGTCCTCCCGAAGCATTTGTCAGGATTATGGCGCGCAATTATATTTTATCCTCCTATCCGTCACAACTCAGCATAACCTGACCCAGGAAACCTCGCCATGATAGTTCAGTCGGTCATCACCTCACTCTCGTATCACCCTGCGGTTCTTTTCATATTTCCTGGGATGGCTAAGAGGATCTTCTTCCTTCTTGCGAGCGTGGCTCGACTCCCAACCCGTTACACCCACCAGGCTGGAACATACCACTGCCATCCTCAACGACGACTCTCGAATCATCCGCTTTGACCCCCCAATTTGATATCTACGGATCTAGAAGATTCACTATGTTGCCGAGCCTTCTACAAGTCACTCAATACGAGTCGGCCAAACAGTGGGAGTACACGGACTTGACCCTAGAGTGCGCTGGCATCAGGTTTCCCATCCACCGTGTCATCGTCTACCCGAAGGTCGCCGCCATCAAGGCTGCCTGTGAGAGGGGATTCAAGGTGAGTGCAGTCAGTCTCTATAATAGACGAGCTACGTTAACTCTCAATTCGAACGTCAACCCAAAGGAGACATCCACTCGCGTATACTCCATCGACGGATTTGAACCATCCACTGTGGAACTACTGAGGGAATACCTCTATACCGGAGACTACACCACAGAGCACGAGACGCGTGATGACTATGGTACATTTCTCTTCACTCTTTCTCTTTTGCCGTTCTCAGTCTGACCTCGGTGACCGTCCGGGATATTGGAAACAGAGCGAGTGAGCTGACTGAGTCAGGGATTGTTACTTTAAATAACGACCCTATTTTATCCGAAGCACTGATGCCCCAACTCCGTGTTGCTGCAATTGCGGATTACTTCGATATTCAACCGCTGCAGAAGCTCATTCTCGTAAAGGTGGATGAGGTCCTCAAGATACCATGGTCGTCCGAAGGCTTTGCAGAGGCCGTCAATTTAGCCTTCGAGGTGAACGATGAAACTCTTCGTAGCAAGATGGCCACAATTGTGTTCGATCATTTGGAGGACCTTCTTCATCAAGAGTTCCCGGCCCCGTTCTTTGCAAACGACCTATCAAGACGGGTGTTCCGCTTGACGCAGAATAGAAAACGGGACATGGAGGGCGAAATCAAGGAATTGTCGAACGAGAAGGCGGCCCTGCTCAACCGGCTCGAACAGGCGGTGATGGGGTACAAATTGGCCGTTGTGTATAATGGCCATAGCTTTGTGTTGAAAGGCACTTGTCTCAAATGTGGGCAGATTAGGAATTACAACAAGAGCGAGCTTGACTCCCCGCATTGCGAGAGATGTCAACTGTGGTTGTCTTCGTGAAGTGTGAGGATGCTAGGCACTCAGATAACTCTTCAGCAAATGTGATTCTGATCTGGTCCATGCTCTCGCTATCAAGCCATGGTGATGTTGCGCAGGCATATTTCGCAGGGTGCTATAAAACATAACTGGCTGTGCTCGGATGTCATGCTCAAAGAGCCCATCTTGTTCTCGACTTCTTTCCACAATATCCAACTTTTCGCTTGCTGCCGGGATGAGAGCAACTTCTCTCTATGCATAGCTAGTTTAAGAATGCCATGCACGCTCGACGACTTGGTGCAATGTACTTACAATGCTACAATCATAAGAGGTCTTACAAAGTAAGAATTATGGCTCCCTCGCTGTCCATCAACTGTGACTTGGCATGGCATTGATAAGTATACCGTGAGTGGTTTCAACGGGTATTCGATTCAGTTAAGTTGTTCCATGCGATCACTTCAGATAACATTTGATTTGGTCTGAATATTCGAGCTGAATCAAGCCTAGACGAATGCTCGCTGTAGGGGGAGTTGTAAGGAGTGTAATGGTATAATGAGTCACGCAGGTCACGGGGCCACCGAATTGAGACACCGACAACACATCCGAGGTCAAACGGAAGTACCTCAGTCCTTGTTATACTACAACAGCCTACCCTCTTCTCTTGTATCTTCATCTTCGCCATTATGAATAGAACCTCAGTCATCATTGTCGGGTAAGCCTAATTGCACCTTTTCTCATGAAACCTAGCGCACTAAGACCCAAGAAGCGCAGGAGTCATCGGCCTCAGCAGCGCCATCCGCCTCGCTCAGCGCGGCCACCGCGTCACCATCATCTCCAAAGAATTCCCCGGCGACCTCCACATCGACTATGCCTCCCCATGGGCCGGTGCACATTTCCGACCTGTCCCCAGCACCAAACCCGAGGACCGTCTCGAGGAGACACTAATGCGAGAAACCTACCGAGAGCTTGAACGATTGTCGGCAATCCATCCCGAGGCCAGCATACAATTCGTCCCTGGCGTGGAATTCTTCGACGTGGCGGACCCGGCCTACTTCGACCCGCAGCTCACCCAGGAAAATGGCTACGCCTCGTGGCCCGGCTTCCGCGTTCTCGAACCCCGGGAGTACCCACAGGGGCATGGATCGATCAAGCTTGGAGTGACGTATACCGCTTGGGTGTTGAAATCGCCTATGTATTTACGATGGCTGGAACGCCAAGCTGAGAAGCTCGGGGTCCAATTCATTTGTCGGGATCTGGCAGCGCTCGAAGAGGCGGTCTTCGTGTATCGGGAACAGGAGTACCGCAAGGATCCGGGGATTCTTGCGGTGGTCAACGCCAGTGGGCGTGGCTTCGATGATCTGCAGTCGTACCCCTCTCGAGGGCAGTTCATCGCGGTGGCCAATCCCTGTGACAAGACTGTGAGCCATCATTGGTCGGATGGATCGACGACCGTCATTATCCCTAGGCCCCTTGGTGGGGGCACGATTATAGGTGGGACGAAGGAGCCGAATAATTGGTACGTGCATCGCCTGCGTCTTTAGCCTAGTGCTGATGGTTTAGGTCGCATTCCATCTCCGATAATGCAACAACTTCTACCCTTTCAAGAGCTGCAGCACTGTGCCCGGAACTACTCGGGGGCCGAGAGGATCACACCAGCCCAACGCTGGGATTCGATGTTCGCGAGGTGTATATCGCTCGACGTCCGATGCGACATGGTGGACTGCGATTGGAGAAAGAGCATCTTGTCTTTCAGGATACAGCTGATAATGGTATGAAGAACGAACAGAAGTCGGTCCCGGTGGTTCATTGCTATGGAGCTGGTCCAAGCGGGTACAAACTGAGCTGGGGGATTGCGGCTCGGGTAGATGACTTGGTTAGCTTGTGCATCGAGGAGAGTCAAGCTTGATATCCCGACAAGATATCTTCTTCGATATCAGCACGCCTGTTTCTCGAGTTTACATGCATAATGGGGGCCCAGTTTGGGCTCGTTGACATGAATTACAGTAGGATCAAGAAAATAGGCAATTTGGCCCCTCAGGGCTGGTGAAATGGTTGATGAAACCCATGGACCTCGGAGGTAAACAGAGAATCCTGCCTGGAGATTTGCTCGAGATCACGTGGCCGGATAATCCAAAAAGGCCAACGCCTGATTCCTTTCCTTTCAACTGGATTTTCGCAGCCCCTCTGGGGCTATTACGTTGTTCGTAAGACCACGCATTATTTCCCTGAGTTGCAATTCTCAGCCACAGGTTTCTCATTATACCTCATTATCAACTATTTATCCAAAATTATATATTACCACACACATCAACCAAATGGCTAGATATGGAAAGCATCCACATGTTCCAAAATGAAATCATACGTGCCGTTGCGGAACGTATCCCCCATCAGACCCACCGCATTGGCCTCGAAGTTCAACAGCTGCCGATTCTCCTTCCACTGGGGCCATTCCGGATAAACGCCACGGTGTGCGTTGGGGTCGAGGTCATGCACGAAACTGAAATAGTAGGTGTGGCTGGACTTGGCCGCATAGTTGGGCCAGATCCCGTAGAACACCTGTATCAAATCACTGCCGTGGAAAGTACCGAGGATCGGGGTGCCGTAGTCGTAGCTCGACAGGTAGGACCAGGTCGGTAGGTTGGGTGCTATCTCGGCGGCGTAGGCCAGGAAGGCCCGACGGGTAATGGTGAAGGTCAGGTCGCCAAGGATGGCAGCGAGGCGTTTGAATTGCGGGTAGAGGTTGTTGCCGGTGCCGGTGCGGAACGGGGATCCGTAGGTCGTGGTGTCTGGGTAGAGGTCGACGAGTTCCTGGAGTTCCTCCTGGCTGGCGTCATAGAAAAAATAGTCGGCGAGATACTTGACTAGCTCGTCAGTTGTGGTGATGTTGCCCTGGAAGAGGGCGAACAGTGTTCCCTCGTCCTCTTGGTCGCCCACAATGAAAGGCACCTGCGCGAATTTGCCGGCCTTGCCAAGGACGTCCGGAGATGCGGTGAGCACCTTTCCGTCCGGTCGTGGGAGATACGACAGGGCGATGGAGCTGTAGCTCAGCAACCCAGGCACAGAGTTCACGGCATTCAGGAATTCGTCGTACGACAGGTCTCGAAGACAGGAGAGTGTGTCGTTGGAAGAAGAGCATTTAGCAGTCGAGACGACGGTGTCGTAGATTGCTTGTCCCTTGACCCCGTCAACTGGATCAGCCGGTACAACGCTTCCTGAGTCCATGATACCGCCTCGGAAAAGCGGTTTACCCTTGTAGGTGTTGTCGCCGTCATAGAGCACCATCTGATCGAAGACCGAGATCGCGCCCGCCGATTCACCCCAGATAGTCACCTTGTCTGGGTCTCCTCCAAAGGCCGCAATGTTATCAGCCACCCACTCCAGAGCCAAACGTTGATCCAGCAAACCAAGATTAGAGGACCCATCCTCCTTGATCTCCTTGCCAGGCAAAAAGCCGAAGCCACCCACGCGGTAGTTCATTGCAACGAAGATGACAGGCAGGTTCAAATCAACCGAAGACGAAACCAAAGACGTCCCATCATACATGGACTTCGACCCAAGCTCGAATCCACCTCCGAAGATCCAAACAAGCACGGGCAATTTCGAGTCGGCGGTAGTTCCAGCCGGGCGACGGATGTCGATGTTAAGGCAGTCCTCGCCGGCATTGGTGGCGACTTGTACCAGAGGATTGTCGGCGAGGATACCCAGAACTGAAGCCGGGAAATCGCTGGTCGAGAAATAAAACTGCGGGCATGACTTGGAGCTCCCGGTCGCTTGAACTGTCCCAAGCGACGTCTGGATCGGCTGTGGGGGCTTCAACCGCAGTGAGCCGGTGGGCGCCTGCGCAAAAGGAATGTTGTTGAAGACTTCCACATTGCCAGCTTTTCCAATGACAGTCGCAGCTGGGCTGGCAATGGTCACAGTAGGCGCTGCGGCGCGCGGAGCGGGCACCGCGTGAGCCACCCACGAAAGGGCAAGCCAGAGGAAATAGGGGGCCTTCATGATTGCCTGAGAGTCGAACCTCAACGTTCAACAATACTACTCGGCAGGCCACCTAGCTCCTGAGTTATATAGGCCCCCTATTTTGTCTTCGTGAACCCATTTTTGGTATGCAGCCCTTCGTCCTCACTTTCGGACATGTCCACTTGAGAGCCAGGATGCCATAGTCCTTTGTTTGCCCATGTGTCTCCTCGGTTGAAACCCTTGTCTTCCCCTCTCTGCCGTCGTATTCGAGAAATCAGTCGCATTGGCATGATACGATCGGCCGGTCAGGAGACTGCGCCAGGCACAACCCAAGCCGACAAGAAGTGGAGATGTCGAGAAGCGGAGCACCCTGAAGAAGCGGTTGTTTGAAATCTCACACATGAACCGAGGTTTGCGACAGTCTAAATGCCTTGGAAACCAGACGGAATCGCTGCTTTTAGGGCTGAACTGCCGAATGCCAGGATGAACGAGAGGGACCCTGCACCCCTTCCCCGCTATTGTATGCATTGTGCCGGTGATCATTTCCATGCGGGGCAAGGAGCTCCTCCGAAGGATTTTGTCAATGCGCTTTCCTGGATTCTTGCCAAACATGCTGGTCGACAAGTCATTCGTCAACTCGACTCAGCATTGTCGGCTTGGACGTCGGGTTTGCATTGCCGTTTAGCCGATTGAGTGCTGTTCCTGACCCAGACCCAACATTTCAGTGGGGAAGTTGTGAAGAATTTAAGGTTGGTTGTTTGGTCTCCGAGCGGACCATCCGAAAAGGGTAGAAACACATGAAAATCCAGGTTCGTGGTAGCGAAAATCATCCGCGGTTCGTCGATTCTCAAAGGCCGTCCGGCCCCAAAAATAGGTCTATCATTCAACCAAAGTCTAACCGTAAAAGCAGATCACGCCCCTGAAATCAAACCCATTTGCACTCAAAAAGAGGTATATGCGCCCATAAAAAGAAAATGCGACCAAAGACAACTCCCATCACTTTTCCCATCCGTTCCATCGCTCGAAATCTCCAGTGTCCAGATCGAACAGATCCAGCATTCGTCCGACACTCTGGTCGATTAACTCATCAACACCTGCCGCTTTGATGTAAAACGCCGGTACGGGCGGGAAGATAACCGCTCCGGCGCGTGTAACCTCGAGCATGTTTCGCAGATGAATCTCGCTTAGCGGCGTCTCGCGCGCCACCAAAACCAGTCGTCGTCGCTCCTTGAGCATCACATCCGCCGTGCGAGAGATGAGATCATCACAGAATCCTGAGTGGATGGCCGCCAAAGTCTTCATGCTGCAAGGCACCACGATCATCCCGTCCGCCCGGAACGACCCGCTCGATATCGGTGCCGCCATATCATTGATATTGTGTACGTGGTCGGCTAGAGCTCTGACATTTGATGGATGGTAATCGGTTTCGTATTTAATCGTAGCTTCCGCCCATTTACTCAGGACCAAGTGGGTTTCCACGTTCAATCGACGTAGAGCAATCAACACTTTGATCCCAAGCAACGCTCCGGTAGCGCCTGTCATTGCAACCACAATGCGACGTCGACGGGTTGTGGGCGCAGGGTGCGCTGAACGACTTTGTTCGGAGGTCATGTCGTGAGGGGGAGAGGCGGAGCGACCGGAGTTAGGTGTAGCAGTACCGGGAAGGATTGAGCTGAACATATGGGCGAATTCAGGTAATTTGTATCCGAAATAGTATGCGTCTGATGAATGACTGTGAGTGCTTGGAGGACTATCATCGATGAGGCATTCGTGGATAGTTATATACGTCTCTCGTGGCGATCCGTCTGATAACTCGCAGAGGAGTTTGTTGCTTCTTCTCACATATTTCTTTGCCTTCACTCGGGCTATGGCACAGAGGAAGACAGACTGCCCCGAGACTCCGAGGTCTCCGAAGTGCCGAGAGGCTCCGAAAAGTGAAACGGTCTAAATACGTCATACATTCCAGTCGGAGCCGGCTCAAGAGAAATCTATCTCTTGGGAGAGATCGAACATGGGCACTTCTGCCGTTAGCAAGATGAATGCACAACGATCACTCGACTTACCATTCATAATTGAATCGAGATAGGACATCGGCGAGAAGTCCTGCCCCAAGACATCAGGAAAGCCGTTGGGGATTCTGCACCATTGTTAGCAATCCGTCAGCCCCACAAGTGGATATGGTTCAGTGGATCACATACCCGAATGCAGGCATGAAGGTCTCGGCCTGCTCCGGATTATTCTGTGGCCCGACGTCGCCCTCTTCCTTCTCCCGCTCCAGTGCCGTCCGCACCGCGTTTCGCAAAGTAATCAGCGCCCGAATGTGTCTCTCCGACAGCCATTGCCCGTTCTCCGAGCCCGATCTCTCCACCGAGCCCACAGAACCGGCGGCAGAAAAGACCTCAATCACCTTCTGCTGCAAGTCACGACACTCAGCATCGTTGCGCGTCTCCTCCCAAATGCAGAGCAGCAGAGTCGAGCTAATTACTGTATGCACCATGGACCACGTCCGCAGAGGCACCACGCTGAGAGCCTGGAACTCGAGGAAAGTGTTGGACGCGTCAATCAGACTGCACTTGGCGCGCATCCGCAGAATGTCCTGGGCCGAATCCCGGACTCCAGATCGCTTGAGTGCCGGTCGAGTGACAACTGAGACTGCGAAAGCAATGTGCATCTTCAAGGCCAAGTGCTCCAGGTTGTGTTGCAGCGTTTTGCATTCTTGCAGGCTCTTTAGGTGAGGTTGCGCTCGTTGGCAAACTCTGTCCACCGTGGCCAATATGTCCAGTAACCGAGAAGGCTGTTGCATCTCCATCTCACTAGCCGTAAGTATATCCAAGGCGATCCGACAAAGAAAATGCATCATGTCCATGTAGTTCAATTCCCTCCCCGAGAAAGCAGAATCGTCGAGGGACCAGCCGGTCACAGTGACAATTGGAGGTCGATCGTAGCAAAGGCATAAGAGGCTGTCCTGCCACACAACTGTGAACCTGTAGTATGTTAGCTCTCAATCTGTGAATTTTCCGGTGTGCTTCACCATAATCTTCTCGCTTTGGACTTGACATGATCTGGCAAATGGGCGACGCTCTTTTCGGTGTGAAGTCCAATGGTCTGAGCTAGACGCACTGTGCTGCCAAGTAACGCCCAAGCCGAATCTGATTGACCAGTATTCTGCAGTGTGTTTCCGAGGATGAGCAGTGACTGGATAATGTCGAACGTTGGTCGGAAGAGAAAATTCGCTAGGCGTAAAGCTTGGAAGGAACGCCTTGCTTCAAAAAGTTAGCATACATCATAACAGACAACTGAAGTGCGTAAGAGGTGCATACCAAAGTCGAGACACAGCTCCGAGCGCTGTATATGCTCCAGGTCGGAGTAGTGTGCTCCAGCGGCCAGAGTAGCGAGGAGCAGGCTGATATGAGCAACCGACTTTTCGCTAGCCCAGCGGTCGGAAATGCGAGAGGGATCCTGTAGCTCTCCACTGGCCAATGCATTCAGATATGAACAGAGATCCAGCTCGAACCGCTCGATATCTACAAGGATAGGATTAAACGGATACGCCGATAGGCGATAGAAGTGAAAGAACCTGTACACGGTCAGAGAAAGTGACAACTTGAGACTTTTGAATGCTTACTTCAGGACCTCGGCGCGCTGGGGGAGGATGCGAAGCAGTTCTCTCCATCGATCACCGGGGGTTCTGAACTCCATGAACGGATAACTATGGTAAGTATTTTGGAGACCGAGGACCGAGCCGACCTCACGAGCCATTGAGCCGTTGGCGTCATGTGTACGATTACGCAGGATGGAGACCACTGAATTATCACCAGAGTACACAAATTCACTTTCAGGGCCATCAGGCGGATAGTTCCGAGATGAGTCAAGCTGTTGCAGATGTGAGAAGGGGGGCAGAACTGTCTGGCTTGGAGCAGGTGGCTGTGCCAATGGCTGTAACGGGTACCCCAGATTCGATGCATCCTGTGATGCGGGGAGTGGGTTGGGGTCGCGAGAGGCAGTAGCTGAGGGAGTAGCTGAGGCAGTAGCTGAGGCAGTAGCTGAAGTTCGTCGACTTGCCCTTCGAGCGCCGCCATGTTTCGGTGGGCTCGGATCATATACACAAATCTCGGGATGGCCGCGTCGGCGACAGGTTCGGCATGGCTGGGAGTTGTCACATTTAACCTTGCGTTGGCGACACGGGTAGCATGCTCGAGCCTCGCGCTGAGTGCGCTTCAACTGCAGAACGCGGTCAATCTCTTGGCGATCGATAGGCGCTGACATTGTTTCCGGCGAGATGCTGACAGGTAAGATGACATCTCTTGGCAGCAAATACTAGATGGATGACTATGTGTATGATCCTTTCGCTGAAAGAGTGAGAGTGCTTGGTTGAGACGCGGCCATTCCTCCCCCGATCAGCCGCGGGACGCCCGGAAGCTCGGATCCGGCTGAGTCAGCTATCTGCTCAGCAACTAACTATACTTAGGACTAAGAAAAGTTTAGGTACAGCACAGAAGCCTTGATTCAGTGAGACATAGATACTGAATGGGTTTTACAGAAAAAGCATGGCTTCTATAGTGGCTGATCTTCTGTAAGGCTAACGGCAGTTCAAGGCACGCTAATTGTCGATCTTACCAGACTGCCTCAGCATGGATATACAGGCCGAGCCGCGGGAGCTGCGCTACGTGGCCGGCAAGCATAGCGACAAACAAAAGAAAAGCACGGAGACTTTGAACCCAAACAATCTCAGACTAATGTAGATCCATTCCTTCATGCACTGTGCTGTTTCGTGTCTTTTCTTCCCTGGTCAATAATGGATGGAGACTGCAGATTGTCAAACAAAACTTTTAAGGGGTAAATCGTGAGGCAGCAAGTGCTCCTTTCTCGGTGCTCGGGAGCCGGTCTCGGAGCCTCGGGCTGTGCAACAGCGGGGGCAATCCATTCCACCCATCACTACGGACATAAATGAACAATACTTAAGCATCTTCTTGATAACATGACAGCTAGTGCTGGCACTTATCGAAGTAGTTTATGCAACCTTGCAGCTAATCATGGGTTTTGCGAAATCAGAGCTTAGCTGCGCTTATAGTCTTCTTACGATTGATGACTTAGGTATCCAGGTCTCATTCTCTAGGCGAAATGTACTATAGCCTGGAGGTATTCGGTTGAGCAGTTCCAGAGAACCTATTTTCTCCACCACGAGTCGACGCACATCTACATCTTTGTATACTAAAGTTGTCCGTGGCCTTCTCAGAAACTTGCAGGAGTATTTGCGCTTACATATGGGGCCTAATATAGCACTGAAGATAGCAGAATATTTTCTTCGCGTAATCTGGTGAGCGTGCAGGGCGTGTATCGACTTTGATGCTACCATCATTACTCGCGGACTATTCCCTTAACCTTGATAGCACACCTTGAATATAGAAACCCTACGATCACAGTAAGAGCAAATGAATATCGTAGCAGACGATGTGAATCCTTCTAGGTTCGTCACAACCTACCCTCATGTCGCCGAGTTAGTTGTCAGTCGGTCACAACTTGAACTCAGCGCAACATCAACTCCCACACGACAACACCCCCACAAACCAGCCACGATGAACGAAACTCCTCTCCTTACAGATGTGTCAGAGCGAGCAGCGTAAGAACTCTGAGCCCCAGGGGACGAATCTATTCAACAAATCATACTTACCTAAAACATCACTACCAACCAGATACTTCCTGAACCCCCTGTTTAGTGATATCACTCTCATATGCGACGGGCAGTACTTCCCCGCGCATCATCCGATCATCTGTCCCCAGTCGCGGTACTTTGCTCGGACCATTGATCAATCAAGGCCGTATCCTGAGGTAAATCCACTGCTTCCCACCCTACTCAATGCAAACTTCTGACGGTAGCCGCGAGGACGACAGATGAACAGGACGAGACCCATCCTCCTCCAACACACCCCGCCCTACCTGTTGATCAGAGTCCTCGAGTTCCTGTATAAGGGCGACTACACCGTCAGTAGTGCCACGATCTTGAACGCAATCGACAGCGGCCTGCTTCGCGAGAACACTGTCGTGACACGTACCCCTAACACCAACATCGCCAACGCAGTTGACCGCGACAGGCTAGCAATCCGCTACGCCGCGTGCTTTCACGCCAGAGTGTACGCGCAAGCCGAATACTTCGTGATCGAGAGTCTCCAAGCCCTCGCGGCGGACCGCTTCTCGACCGCGCTGTGGTCGCTGCGTCAGGACGAGGATGGGTTCGCGGCGGCGATGGCTGAGATCTATGACCGACGCGCCTGGAACTACGTGCGTCTGCACCAGCGCGTCGTGCCTGAGATCCTGCACAGTCAGACCATCTACCGCGCGGGCCCTGGGTTCCGAGGCAGGGCCTTGACGCCGCAGTTGCTGGAGCAAGTGCCGTGTCTGGGGCGCGATTTGGCGTTTGTTGCGATGGATGAGGTGGATCGGCTGCGGCGTCGGTTGGCTTCAGCGGAGCAGGCACTGAGTTCAGTGGTTAATCGTGCGGAAACTCATGCGCCGGGACAGGAGGCTGGCTCTTTGGATATGTGACTAAGCGATTGGGTGTAATTGCGACTGCTTTGCAAGATTGCATAACGCGTGGTTTGTCGAATTACAATGGTTGATCTCCCGTTTGGGGTTCCACATCTTTTCCTCTTTCATGTATCTAGCAATAGATAGGTCGCGATAGAGTAACAGTGGATTGTAAACTAGGTGCATGTTTTTGGTGGGTGGCGAACTTCTAGAGCATAGCATGCTACTTGCAGTAGTTCAGCTGCAGCAGTTCGGATACACATCTAGGCATATCATCCTTCATTAGCCAAGGCTCCCACACTTAACTTTTTGAACTTATCCACCTCATCCTTCTCAACCTCCATACCCTTCTTCTTCCATGTTTCATTACCCGAATACCAATCCAAGTACCAAGTTAAATCGTGCTCGCCCGAGGGAAACTCCACGTCCACAAACCCGGACCCAAGGTATCCGAACCGATTGCCGCTCCAATACGCAACATCATAGTCGCTCAATGTTGGCGTCCGCAACAATTCAAAGAATGCCAGGCGCGAACCGGGCCACACTATCACCGGTCCATCTTTCCTCCCTTGCTTGAACCAGCTCGAGCACGGATCCGCCCAGCAGGTCCGAGGAAGGTAAGTCTGGGCATGCTCGACGAAGTCTTCCACCGCAGCGGGCTTGGGACTCAGGCGACGGATGTGTTGCTTGCGCATGCGTTGAATCGTTTGGATGAGGTAGTGTGTTATATGCGAGAGGATCGGGAGGATGGAGCCGTGGCCAACTGGAGCAAATGGGCCGGAATAGGTGAAGTAATTCGGGAATCCGTCGACGGCGATGGCAAGGTAGCTTGTTGGCGTGTCAGACCACTTATCTGCTAGACTGACCCCGTCTAAACCAATAAGCGGAAAGCGAGGCTGGTAGGAGGTGTTGAAGCCAGTTGCACAGATTATCACATCTACCTCATGCTCGGTTCCTGTGGCGGAGTCGATGAAGCCGCGAGGAGTGATATCTTTGATTGGTGAGGTGAATACGGTTGTCTTTTCAGAAGCTATAGCTTCGAGAAAGCCATTGCCTGGTGTGGGTCGTCGGCAGGCAACGTTGAAATTGGTAGGGATGATGACATCGCGAACATGGGGTTTGGATTGAAGCTTAGTATACATTTCGCTGTATGCGTACTATAGAGGGTGAGTATCCAGGCAAGTGTTTGCAAGAGAGTACTTACTGCATTGGCGGCGTCGGACTCTGCCGTATCGCGCAAAGCGAGCTTGATGCGCTGATTCAACTCGTTCTCTACAGCTTTCTTGTACCGATGATACCTCTCCGGGTCGAGCCTAAAATCTTCCTTTTGCTCAGAAGAGTCTATTACCCGTTAAAACCAAGAGTCTCACAGATTGGACAGACAGCTTACAGTCAAAATTGCGGCCGTCCTTCCCAGCAAAGCTTTGTCCAAAGGCCGCTGTGATCCACACAGGGCTTCTTACCCAGGTGTATAGCTGAGATACGTCATCTTGGATGCTAGCCACGACTTGCACACCAGAGCTACCCGACCCGATGACGGCCACCTTCTGATCCTTCAGGCTCAATCCCTCCGGGTATGCAGCTGTATGGAAAAGCTTGCCTTGGAATGAGTGTAGTCCGGGTGTATCCGGCCACTTCCACGCACTGAAGACGTCAGTTCTCTCGCACAGGGCTTGCATAGCCAGGAGCATACTTGAGAAAACCACATCCATTGATGAACATATCACACTCTTCCTCCCATTCCTCCGCATGTCCATCATGGTCAGTCCGCCGCAATTTGATCAGCCACTTGCTTCGATTTTCATCCCACACAGCCGATGTCACCGCTGTTTTCAAGCGAATGTACCGCATCATCCCCTCTTCCTCCACGATCTGTTTCATGTACTCCCATATCTCCTTGGCACCGGAATAGTAACTCGTCCACCCTGGGTTGCTCTTCCAAGGAAACGTATACGCCACACTGGGAATGTCACACGCACACCCAGGATATCGATTTTCGTACCATGTGCCCCCCACATCGGCATTCTTGTCGTAACAGACAACCTCAACGCCCAGGGCTTCAAGGGCGGCGGGCGCATGGTGCAAGAAGTCTATCCCCGCTGCCCCTGCTCCTAGGATAATGATTTTGAAGGCTTTGTGGTCTGGTGGTGGTTCGTTGATCAAGTGGTTGGAAACGACATAGCCACGGTCGGATGGGATGTCCCATTCTGGATGGTGAACGGGGCGGGTGGAGGATGAGGGGTGCGGTCCCGCACTGTTGCTCCCTAGGCGGACAACCGAGTCCGGTACGCCGTACTTCTGGAAGACGGGGTTGGGTGGGTCAATGGAGCCCATCTTGGTTTTCGGTTGACTATTTTGATGTATAGAACTTATACAGACTGGCTGAGATCTGCTTGTATGTGTGGCCTGGAGGTGTCAGGTCAACAGGAATGCCACCGAGATGAGAGAGGGGTTTATCATTATGCGCCCGGGATCCGTGGACATGCTTCAGGCTGATAATGTTGCAGGCTTATCTGAGTAGTTACGTAGTAAGTTGAGGACCGTGACTCAGCACCTGCATGCCGTTACTTAATTGACCCCGGTCATATCGAGAGGTGCAGCGAGTAGGAGCTTTTTCTTTCAATGAGGGAACCTAACAATAGAGCGTATGCTGACGAGAGACTGGTAACTTTTGAGGGGAAATGAGGGGAAGGCCCGGGACTCGATCGGCCCGTTGCGATAACGATAACGGTACGCCGCAGGTGGTGGGTGCAGTAGACAGACTATCACCAGCCACTACAGCCAGCGATAGTTACGAATGAGGTGCTTGGGGGCTTGGATGTCGCCGTATCTGCTAGTCAGCTGTGGCTTGAACTCGGTATATGATAAACTTCCCCTTCCTCTTAATCGAGCATCCTCGTCGAGACCACAACCTATCTCAATTTACTCTGAAATAGAGACACGCAGCAATGGCAAAAACGCTAGATATCCCACAGTCCAATCACACAGTGCGAGTGAGGATGGTGGACACAACCACTATGATGAGCATTCGCACAGAAACTCTTATCCAGCCCGTACAATCAGGCCATGAATTTTTCAATATGACAGACGTCGCATTCCTGATCGAGAGCGAAGCGCTGAACAAGAAAGTCATGTTTGATCTTGGCACACGGAAAGATTACTGGAATCTTCCCACAGTTGCGAAAAGCGGCATTACCAGGATCATACCCGCGCTCAAGGTAGAGAAGGACGTCGGCGAGATTCTGACTGAAAGTGGAATTACATTGGAAGAAATCAGTAAGTTTGAGGCTGTACTCCAATGCGTCAAAGATGAGACCTAATACGGCAACAGCATCCATCATTTGGTCGCATTACCATTGGGATCACGTCGGGGACGTATCCAAGTTTCCGGCATCAACAGCATTGATTGTGGGCCCAGGATTCTTGAAAGATCCAAGTCTACTCCCGGGCTACCCTGAGAACCTCAACTCACCGGTCCCAGCAGATGCATTTCAGGGTCGTGAGGTAGTAGAGCCTGACTTTCCACTGAATGTCGCCGGCTACCGCGCCCACGACTTCTTCGGGGATGGGTCTTTCTATCTTCTCGGTGCGTCAATTGATCTCTTCGTCCGAAACCGGAGTCTCATCTTTGATTAGATACCCCCGGTCACTGTGTCGGACATGTTTGTGGCCTCGCTCGCACAACCAAAGACACTTTTATTCTCCTCGGAGGCGATATCTGCCACTTTGCCGGAGCGATAAGGCCCACCGCAGACGTCCCATTTCCCGCACACTTCTCTGCCGAGACCCTGGACAGCGACCCCTTCTTCCCTGTCCCTTGTCCATGTAGTCTTTTCGCTGATCGTCACCCAATCACAAAAGCCAACCAAGATAAAACCCCCTTCCATGATGTATCTGCCTTGGACGCCAGCGTGTTCGATGACCCTGCGGTCGCACAGCAATCTGTAGACCAGTTACGCCGCATTGACGCTTCGCCAAATGTGTTGGTTTGCATCGCGCATGATCCGGAGCTTTTACGCCATCTCCCTACTCTGAACAAGTCGCCTGAGCTAGACTTGAACGCTTGGAAGGAGCAAGGGTGGAAGGAGAGGGTACGTTGGGGATGGGTAAATGAACTGCCTCGTGCGGGTCGGCCGGGGAGGCAACCACTTGTTGAAGGATTTTGGCGGGAGGGCAAGATCTGGGAGGGTGCATTTGAGGAGCTATGCGCCGAGAAGCCTTGATAGATTCTGTACTTAGCGTCCGGGGAAGCCATCGGTCACCATGACACTAGTCCACAGTTCACAGGGAATATGAGAAGAGCCATGACTAGCGGCTTGAGATACGTAGCTGAGATGTAGGTTAGCAATGAACGTGGCAAGTATGAACTGGCACACCGTATTGAACCGACCTTTTTTCCAATATGGGATAGGATAAAGTCTGTAGCTAATAAGTGAAAAGGAATGGCTATCAACTCATGAAGAAGGATTTTTCAGATTCTGTGGGATAACCATGACCTGGATAGGTGGTCGTGTCGTGTCCATAGTCAACATTCATCCTTATCGATAAGCAGCAGCGGCAGCTAACTACGCTCCGTGGCCGACCACAACCATACCACGGCCACAACTCGGAGGGTGGAAACTGGTTATTCTCCTACCGCCTTGGAACGGCAGAATATTTGAACAGCCGGCGAAAACTCGGTCAGAATACTGTTCAATCGCTGACCGCCCGAATCCGGCAGAAAGGAGTCGAACAGCGGGCGAAACTCGGGGATTAAGACTGTTCTTTTCCTGACCGCTTGGGCCGGCAGAATCCTGCTCGACAGCCGGGAGAAACTCGGACGGGAAACTGTTTACTGAGTCCAATTTGATGACCGCCTCCGCCAGATTCTTGTTCAACAGTGGGCGTAACTCGGAGCTCCGGTCTGTTCAAGAACTTACCGCCTCCCTCCGGCGGCAGAATGATCCAGCTTCCAGCCATGCTAACAATCTCTCCTGACGATATGGGAGCAATCAATTGCACTCAGCACTTTGGTCTTGCACTTATAAACCAGCGAACACCCCTGGAGTGTATATAGATATTCGAGACTCGGAGCTTCGATAGGATGGCGTGCGAATTGGGCGATTTCATGTTCCAGTAGTTTTCGATAAGAAAGATTTCATTTGACAATGTATCTTTTGTCAATCTCTTAACACCGAACGGTACACAAGGTGCCAACATGAGTATTTCGCTATTTTTCATTCCTATTTTCACAGAATAGAGCTAACAGATCTCACCGAGCTACATGGTATCTCGTAAGCCTGCCAGAGAAGGCTGAAAAGTCGGATGCCTGTGGTCAATCCGTTCAGCAAGAGCTATGGAGTACTTCCTTCTGACCTCATTGGCCCGTGCCGAAAAAGTGCAAGATATTCTGCCGGACAGTCGGGCGGTCAGACAGGCGGTCATGAATCAAAATAATGCTATGTTGAGCCTTGCATAAGTCTTCGATTGAACGACTCTCTAATCGATCATCCTCGATTTTCAATCCCACTTGACACTCAATTCCACAAGTATACATGTCATACAGCAGTCAGTTGGCTCCTATTCACTCAAGCAATGAACAGCTTCCATGAGCTCATCCTCAAGCGGAGCACGCCATCACCTCGCTCTAACCGAGCTCCACAATCAAGGGCGCGTTGGTCGCTGGACTCCTTCCGGATGGATCCTTCCAACTCTTCATCCATTCAATTGAGAATGCTTTCCCCAGAAAATGGGTGGAGCTTGTCGCCCGGGTCTGGGCTCTGCCTGGGCCAAGCACTGCAAGGAACCATGATTTATTGGCTATCCATGGTGCAATCCGCCGCTAAAAAGAGCATCACCGCGTGCTGTCAAGGTGCCTCTAGCCGAACCAAAGGTTAATCTCGGTCGGCAAAGTCAAGCTCCCGCTATGGTGTCATTCCACGCTATCTTCTCGCCATCCCGACTCAATGAGTGCTTTGATATGGTATAACTGACATCAACCGCTACCTACCACCAACGCCGGCAATTGAGGCCGCAATCATGAGATACTCCGTCCTGGTACTCGCCGCCCTCTTCGCTGGCTCCGAGGCCATCCCGGGCCAACAACAGCAGCCATTGCAGGAAGAGCCCCCGACAACGAGCAAACCACCCAACTTCCTTTTCATCCTTACCGATGATCAGGATCTCCAGCTGAACTCCCCGGCCTATATGCCACACACCCTCGCTTGGATTAAGAACCAAGGCGTTGAGTTCCAGAATCACTTTGTCACCACCGCCCTATGCTGTCCCTCGCGAGTCAGTCTCTGGACTGGTCGACAAGCACATAACACAAACGTCACGGATGTACATCCACCTTATGGTATGTTTGACACTGCAACTCCAACATGGCAAAGATCTGAACTCTCCAGGGGGTTATCCGAAATTCGTGTCACAAGGCTTTAACGATAACTTCCTACCCGTCTGGTTGCAATCCGCTGGTTACAATACCTTCTACACTGGCAAGCTCTTCAACGCACATAGTGTCGACAGCTATAATGCACCCTTCGTGAACGGCTTCAATGGCTCCGACTTCCTGCTCGATCCCTATACCTACTCATACTGGAACTCCACTTATCAACGAAATCAGGAGCCACCGCGCAGCTATGAGGGCCACTATACGACCGATGTGATCACCGAGAAGGCTCTGGGATTCCTGGAAGACGCATTGCAGAGTGATTCGCCCTTCTTTCTCACAGTCGCCCCCATTGCACCGCATACCAATGTGGACGTGGAGGCACTTCAAGGAATTCCGGTCATGACGGAGCCGCTCCCAGCGCCTCGCCATGCGCATCTCTTCCCAGATGCGAAAGTGCCGAGAACACCCCACTTCAACCCTGCAAAGGTACGTTTCAATATGACTTGGCGAGAATCAAGCTAACGATTGGAAAGTTGTCCGGTGCTAGTTGGGTTCGTAATCTCGAGCTGAAAAACCAAAGCGTGATCGACTATGAAGATCACCTCTACCGCCAACGTCTGCGTGCCCTGCAGGGAGTTGATGAGCTCGTAGATCGTCTTCTGACTCGGTTAGCTGCCAGTGGCGAGTTCCAGAACACCTACATCATCTACAGTGCGGACAACGGCTATCATATTGGCCAGCATCGGCTGCCACCCGGGAAGACTACTGGGTATGAAGAGGACATCCGCGTTCCGTTCTACATCCGTGGGCCTGGCCTTCCCCGCGGTGTCAGTGTCGACCGTGTCACCACCCACATAGACATTGCGCCCACCTTGTTTGAACTTGCCGGGATCCCTCTGCGGGCGGATTTTGATGGCACTCCAATGCCCGTGGCGCGGCAGACGAAGTCAATTGCGCATGAACATGTGACCGTGGAATACTGGGGAAGAGCTGTTCTTGAAGGGGAATTCTCGCGGATCGGTGAGTTTATTTTCTGTCGCTATATGGGTACTGTGTTGCTGACACGACTACATTAAGGTCCGCATGGAACGCCCACCATGACCAACAATACATACAAATCCGCTCGGATCTTGTCCCCGGAATATAGCTTGTACTACTCGGTATGGTGTAACAACGACCACGAGCTGTACGACCTCTCGGTATGTGTAACGCTGCCTAGCCTAATTTGAATGAGCTAACGGATCTGTAGGTGGATCCCTACCAGATGAACAACATCTACTCCCACAGCGGGGCCAGACTGCTCGGTCGTCCCCTGGCAACGCTGATCGACCGGATTGATGCACTCCTTCTCGTGCTCAAATCCTGTCAGGGTCGTACCTGCATTGAGCCCTGGAAGGTTCTGCATCCTTCGGGTGATGTGCGTAATCTCAAAGAGGCGCTGGATGTCCAGTACGATAAATTCTATGCGGAGCAACCCAAGGTATCATACTCAGTATGCGAGGATGGTTACCTGATTGAGGCTGAGGGCCCGCAGGCGGGATATCAGTATCGTGACGGGTTGAGCTGGGAGGCCTGGACTTAAGTTTGTATTCATGACCGTTACGATAAAAAGCAGCTAGTAATGATCACATGTGAGGTTAAGTGTGGAGCAAGTTATCAATTTAGCATTGTAGGCCATGAGCAGATAGCTAGTGAAAATCCATGGGGCATCTTGAAGTGGATTCGAAGGTACAGAATGGGATGCTTACAACTAACTTTGTATGTGTGGGCCTGGCCTGTTCCTGGCTTCCTGCTGTGGTTCGGCCCACGCCCACGTGTAGGGATTCTTTGTTACGGAACTTAATCGTAGCGTTCATAGCTTTTGACTTGCCAGGAGGGCCAAGAAGAATGGAAGCTCTCAGAAACCATCGTGTCGTTGATGATGCCATCCCGCGAGGCAGTTCGGCCATGAACGACCATACAGAATCAACCTCGAGAGGCGAGGAAACCTCGCTTAGAGTTAGTTCTTCTCAAGATAGAGCTAGATAATTAACCTTGTACGATGACATGAGTAGTTCTGTGATTTCTGTGATCAAGCCATGCAGGAAGGGGAAGATAAAACCAACCCACCCTGGTGGATTGACATCAACCGCAGCGGCGATTGCGCCATCACGGCGGGCTCTCACTCCATCCCGCTGCTTCCTCCACTGCCGGTCAATCTTAGCGAGCCCGCGCCCGCAGCTGGCCAGCACAACTTAACCTCCATTCACTTCACCACCGTATAAATAACCCACGGATTCCATACAATTATGCCTTCCAGCCAGCTCAGATTCCTCGTCCAACTCGGCCGCTTTCCCTTCCGGCTTCCAATCGCTGAGTTTCCCAGCTGAGACTCCAAGGTCACCCGCCTATACTCTCAGCAGCCATGGCCACATATTCCTACCCCGAGCAGGAATTCTCCGAAAAGAAGGTCATTGACAATGTCCTGAGCGACGAGTCCAGCAATGACAACGAGGAAGGGACCGAGATCATCAAGAATTGGGACGACAAGGAAGAGGCCCGAGTTCGTCGGAAGTAGGTCCATCCTATAATTCCATACACCTTTGCGGGAGGCTTGCGGATGTCTAACATAGACCTCCACTAGGATCGACCTGATTCTCCTACCGGTCCTCGGGCTCGCCTTCTTCGGTCTTCAGGTCGATCGTGGTAACATCAGCGCGGCCTTGACCTCCACCATCACGGAAGATCTGCACATCAACACCAACCAGATCAACGTCGGTACCCAGCTTCTGTCCGCGGGAATCGTCGTCAGCGAGATCCCTTCGAATATCATACTTCAGCGTGTGGGGCCTCAAGTCTGGTTATCGGCCCAGCTGGTTGCCTGGGGTTTGGTCGGTGTCTTCCAAACTTTCGTGAAGTCATACCCTGCCTTCTTGGTTACTAGATTGCTGCTGGGATTGCTGGAGGGCGGTTTCATTCCTGGTATGTTGGACTTCGGTGGGTTGAATAGATGCAGTTGTCTAATGGGTGTGTATCGCACAGGTGCTCTCTACTATCTCTCCCAGTGGTACAAACGCGACGAGATCAGTTTCCGCACAACGCTCTTCTTCTACGGCCAGATGTTTGCGGGTGCTACATCGAGTCTCATCTCTGCCGGATTGCTGAAGCTCTCGGGAAGATGTGGTCTCGCAGGATGGCAGTGGATCTTCTTGAGTACGTGCCCTGGACTTACCCTTCATGACAACGGGCACCCCTGACACCGATCCGCAACAGTTGAGGGTCTCATCACCATCGTCGCCGCTATCCTGTTCATCCTCTTCATCCCCAAGAAGGCCGGCGACGGTAGCCCGCTCGCCAGCATGGGCCGGTGGAGCTACTTCAACGCGCGTGAAAAGCAGATCATCCGCGACCGAGTTCTTCTCGACGACCCGCTCAAGGCCCGTGGCGACCGCATCAAAATCACTGGCCGCGACGTCTGGGACACCGTGCGCAAGCCCACCGTCATCCAGCACTTCATGATCACGCTCGTCTCCATGTCAGGCTTCCAGGGTTTGAACCAATACGCCCCCAGCATGATCAAGTCGTTCGGTTTCAGTGCCGTCCGCGCCAACGCTTTAGCCAGTGTCGCGGTGTACGCGAGCATCGTCTGGCTGACCATTCTCGCTTGGCTCTCGTACGTTTGCGCCCAATTGTCATGGTGCTTCATGATTTGGTGCTAATGAGAACGCAGAGACAAAACCGGCAAGCGTGGTATCTTCGTCCTGCTGTGCATCACCTGGAACGTCATCTCCTACACCTGCCTCCGCACCATGCCCGATGACTCTTCCCGTTGGCACAAATACGCCGTTATCACAATTGCCAACCTCATCTACGCCAGCATGCAGTACGTTTTCCTTCTCGCCTCATTATGTTATAGTTTGCTAACCCATGACATAGCGTGTTGAACATCGCCTGGCTCGGCTTCCACTGCAAGACGCCTCAAGAACGGAGTGTCTCCATGGCGTATGTTTTTTCGTCTCACAAAGCCCGAAGTCCAATCACTAACAGAGACAACAGGTTGATCGTCATGGCCGCCAACTGCGCTGGTATCTCGGGCTCGCAGATCTTCCGGACGTCGGACAAGCCACTCTACCGTCACGGATTGACTGCGATTGCCGCCTTGGCCGCGGCCTCTTGGGTCCAGACGTTGGTCTTGATTCTGTGGTATGCGTTCAAGCAGAAACGCGCTGGGGGTAAAGGGTCGGTTTGATGTTGGGCTTAATGATATGATAGAGATTTTATGACTGAATGATGATTGAACAGCGTCTTGTCAACGTTTGTTGTTTGGATACTTGTGATCGTAGGGTGGTAGATCTGAAGCTCTGGGATGTCCTCTCGGTTTCGAGTCCATGTAGTCCGTGCGGCGATGATCCTTCACTACCACAATTCTCGAGTCATGCTTTTCATGCCACTCACTGCTGGACCTCCTGTTGGCTTTGGGACCTCCACCTTTTTGAGTGGAAAGGTAGTGTGCCACTACACCAAGATCAAACGATGCATTGGTATGCTCGAATTTCGTGTCCACTAGAGCCCTACCACTTAATCTAAGCATCTATCTCCAGCACTGGCACTCACCATCGCCTACCTACCACAGTACCAGCACAACCGGCACGTGCAACAGCTCCTGTTTATGTGTCTGCTACCCAGCAGGGCACCGAGGCACCGAGGCACCTACCTATTGTAGAAGCAACAGGTGCCCACTGCACTGAAGCCATCAGCTCAGACCCACTGCAGTCGCAGATAGAAGCACCGCAGACACAAGCAACCGACGAACCAGCCCCTGAGCCAGCTTGATACTGTACCTTACTTATGCATGCTCTCATCGAAGCATGCATACTACCGCCCGCGTCTTGAAGCACGCTGTGTGCTTTGCCTCCAGATTGACTTCGACGATCGCGGAGGGTCTATTTGATATGCGCTTTATGTATGGTCTTTCCCGTGCCAGAAAACTACCACCTAGTAGTTTTTCGGCTAATTGGGCCGCTACCAAGCGGGGTTATCGTTTATGAGGTTGGATTTATTATGCGACTTGGTGAATTGTGTCGCCTGGGTGGGGTTGGATCGTGGACGATACTTTGGACTTTTGTTTCGTTTATCCGCCTTCCGTGGTTTGTATAATTCACCTTTCCTCCTCTTCTCGGTTCCTCTTCTCGCTTCCTCTTCTCTCTTGTCAACTGCGCAGTCCGTCTTCTTTACAGTCCTTGTCCTTCTCCACGCAAGCCATCCTCTATACGTTCACGCCGCTGCGTACAGGTGTCTCCGGATCTTAGCCCGTTCCAGCTCCCTCCAGCTCCCTCCAGCTCCTTCCAGCTTCTTTCAGCTCCCTCCAGCTTTTTTCAGCTCTCTTTATTTCCCTCTATTTCCCGCCACCTCGTTCGCCATGAGTGCCGTGTCCCCGGCCGTTGAGTCCGGCCTTCCTAACTTGGCTGCACTCAGTCTTTGGTCCGAGCTGCATCCGTATGATCCCTACACGGTCTGTCCCGACTCGAGGCATTTTTTCTCTGTGGTTCAGACATCGGCGGCCCAGAATCCCGCCGGCCAGCGCTATGTTCTCGTGTGCATGACGGCCTTCGGCCACCGCGCCCTGGCGGCCATGCTGACCAACGACACCCAGCGGGCGGTCTATATGTTCCCGGTCTACCCAATCTGGCTCGCAGAGGACAGTATCTCCGTCGATCAGGTCCGTCCTCTCGCCCTTTGGGGTTTTAACATCATGTACTGACATCTTTCGCCTCTGTCTAGCTCCGATCCCCTTCCTCCCGCCTGGTTGATGCCCTGCTGATTGCCAGCCGCGGGGTTTTCACCATGGACCCCTGCACGCACAACACTGGTGCGGTGTTCCGCCACTCGTTCAACCTGTACGGCTACTGGGGTGCGTGCTGCGCCGGCTGCCGTCTCGCCGGGGCTGATCGCTCCTGTTCCGCTCTGGATTACTCCTGGCCGAAGAAGTACCAACCCCCGGCTCACATGCAGGCTGAGATAGCCTGGTCTATTCTACAGTAGCTTGAAGGTTCGATCGCCCCCTATTCCTAGCATCCTGGCCGGCTTGCTTTGGCGGTGGGTAGGAATGTTGTTGGGGATTGGATGGATTTTGGGGTTCGATGGTCCCGGTATGTTCTTCTATGGGTTGCAGGATCGCTTGGAACTACGGTAGTAGGAGAGCGTGGTGTCGATGGTAATGCGCTGAAATCTTCAAATGCTTGTGGTAGTCTACTGGCTTCGGAGTGGCCTTGTCTTTATGCTACGATGTTAAGCGTCTGTACTATAGGCATCGAGAAGTCCCTCTCGTCGCCATGTATTCGAGCCAAGAGCAGCTTAGGACATCGCATAAGAAAGCATAGAAGATTGCTGTGGAGTTTGATTTAATGCTTGTGCGGTCAGCAATAATCAATAACTAGTTATTGAAATTCTTCAATACAGCTTTAACTGCATAACCAAAGCCGATAATCTCAATCTGTAATAGCCGAATAAGGTACACGTTTTGACGAAGGCTTAAGTCTCTTCTTATTCGCTCCGCAAGATAGCCAAGTTGCTTCTCATGATTTTCGAGGGTTTTGTGTCATGCTTTTTCGGCATGGCGTCGGTCGGGTCCTTGAAATAGACAAAGTGTCTTGCAAACAATCTGCTAGAGTTCCTGGCTCTGCAGCCTTTGCTTAGACTCCATCGCAGCTCCGTACTCGACTCCCAAGGGACTGGACGTGGTAGATATGTCTCAATCGCTTCGAGCACAGCTGGTGGTCAACCGTGTCAAGTAGGGCAGGCAGCCTCGTAACTTCGCTGGTTTGCTGTCCCGTTACAACAGGCCATAATTTAACTTGTGCATAACTGTGTTGTCGGTTGCGTGCCACCACTCCTCCGTGTATAATAGGATACCACCACAGACCGTGGGCCCGTATCAGAATAGTCTGGCCTATAGGGACCCCGCCTGCGGGGAGCAGACCTACATGCGTGAGGTCGGCGTCATACTTTGCTCTTTCCGCTGCCGGCAGGACTTTGCACATGAGGTAGATTAGCCAGTCAGGGAAGCGCCACGTTGTATGGTGGCCAACCTTTAACAATTGGGTCCCACAAGCCAACCACAAGAGATCGTTTCGACCAGGCATTCTGGTCGTATTCGGCTTGCTTAGCACGATTTCCCTTTATCTTTTTCGACGCAGGTGTAACTTGGCAAACCGCGTCAAGTAGGGCAGACCGCCTCGTAATGTCGACGGTTTGCTGTCCTGTTACAAGTTACAACAGGCCATGGCTGAGGTTGTGTATAGTTAACTGTGTCGCCGATCGTGTGCCACGTCAGGTTTCGAGCTGCGCGTCGATATCGTCAAATCGGCACAGGAGCAAGGGAGCGCTAAGAGAACAGACTGCAATCAATTCCGGAAGACAGATATCTGGCGTGTTCCATTGATGATTGGTGTAGAAAACCACACGATATGTTCCTGCTGATTTCCTCTCTCTCAAGGTTATCTGCAAGGATGAAGGCAAAACTATTGTCCTATCTTTCCGAGTCCGGCGTTCCATGTTCAGTTCTATCAGATCGCTAGCCGTGTCGATCTGATCAAGAACCTCATAGTAGAGAACTTCACTTGTAGCCTGACCCATGTGAGGAACGCATCGTATGATTCGCATTTCCCATTCGTAAAGACAGCTGACCTCTCAGGATTATTCCATTTTTTACTCGAATGAGTACCATGTGTTCGATGCTGCATTGTCGATACGGGGCTTCGGTATCGTACGAGGCACTTTGCATTGCAATTCATGGTGAGAGCCACTGTTAATAGCAGAATCCCCGTGCTTCGTGGTGAGATGCGATTGTTTGGCAATCTGGGATAGCTTAATCTCCAAGAAGCCGACGATGTTCCATGCTTGCCCACCATTCTAATTCTATAGATAACATCAACTGATCGCATCGACAGCATGGTCAGCGCAATTTGCTAATACTCCACCAGCGTTAGAGCTTCTCGTTGTTTTGGAAGGTTCTAGCTAACTGACCAATTTATTTCGACGCTATCATCTGCCTCGGCGGTCTTGCCAGCCTTTGTGGTATTGTCTGCCTCGGCGGCATCGTCTGCAAAAGTGGACGTTTGACCGAATTCATGGAACATCGAGAACGGAATAGCTTCTAAATGAAGTATCCAATGTCAGTAACCGGTGAAATCAGCACATGTTTCTCAAGAAGGGGGCACTTACTCGGCATAGTGTCGAGTACAATAACCCTTGAAAATTGGACGACTTCTTCGGTGTGCAAAAATGTCTTTGAATCAATGAGTAGTCAAAACTCCCACTGCTACAACTGTTGTACGGGGTTCCTCCATGTCTGGTGAAATGGCCGATGCCACGCACCTTCCCGTACGTGGAGGCATAAACCTGGCGCTGCTCGGAGTCGAAAGAATAGCGTCTTAGGGTGCTCCAGCTGTGACACTATGTGCTGTTCCGGCACGACAGAAACGTTTCAGAACCAGGCGAACTCTTACACGGCTGCAAGCCCAGTATCTTTGCTTCAAAGTCGGTCACAGATTGTGAAATTTCCTGAGCAGCCGCATACGTATAAGCCCTTTCCCCTCTTGTAGACCAAGTAGAAATCGCTGACCATGAGTATAGAAGAAGGGTTTGGCCTCGAGCTCTTCATCTTTGTTGAATCATTCTCCTAGCGTCGGATTCGCGCTGACTGCAAGTCTGTATTTCTCGCTTGGATATCGCACTTTGATTCAGGATTGCCTTGGAAAATGTCGTTAAGCACGGACACTGAAGTATCCACGACCTTCATCTTCCCTTCTTCTTTCCTGGCATGCCCACTTTTTGCCACAGAACTTTTGTAATTATCCTCGCAATGATGGCGGAAGCTTTATCACGTATGCTGTAGGGGCGGCTTGATTGCCCGCACAGCACGTGTAATCCTCGGTAGACAAGGAAGAAGAACTGTTCGTGTGCGTAGAACAGGAATGTGTTGCCATTTGAAATTCGTGCTTGGCGTGTGTCGCCTTGATGATCAAGATCAGCCGGGTTTTGCTTTTCGCTGTAGACAGCTCGCATATAGCAAGGAATGTCCACGCATCCATGAGTCGCGTGCCTTTAGGTGGCCACAGTCTTCCCTTTCTGTGGTATAGGTTTATTTGCCGTAGGCTCTTGGTCTTGCGACTTTCGTCATGGCGTTTATCGTTTTCTTACCAGGCTGTTTGTGACCTTGGAGCTTGTAAAGCCTGGCCGCAAGTCAACGTGTTGTTCGGGCAGTCTTGTGATATGATTGCACAGACGCTGCAGCTTGGGCAGATGTCTGCTGACGCCCAGAACTCGCCTGAGAATGAATTTCAGAATTATTCAATCACCGCACTGATTCAGAGTTATCTTGGCGACTATCATTCCTGTCCGGCACGGAGGCTGAAGGAGCCACGACCACAAGCTTCCCTTCCATCTTCTGGTCATGCACGCTTTGTCTTATCTCAATGAAGTTTTGAGACTATCGTCCGTTTACTGGCGGACGTTTCACCGCGTCTAAATACTTGCGTAGACGCCGAATCCTGAGCAGATGTCTGCTAATACCCAGAGCTCGCCCGAGAATAAATTTGAGGATCCCTCAATAACCGCTCTGATTCAGAGTTGCCCTGAAGGCTGTCATTCATGGCCGGCACGGAAGCTGAAGCCGTCACGAGCTCCAGCTTCCCTTCTTTCTTGTTGTCCCGCACGCTTGGTCTCAATGGAGTTTTGGAACTATCCTCTTTGTGCTTGAGGAAGCTTCGCCGCATGCGCATTCTTGCATAGACAGCGGATCCTAAGCAGATGTCTGCTAATGCCTAGAGTTTGCCTGATATTGAATTTGAAAATCCTTCAATCATTGCTCTGATGCAGAGTTGACTTGGAAATTATCATTCCTGTCCGGCACGGAAGCTGAAGCTGTCACGAGCTCCAGCTTTCTTCTTTCTTGTTGTCCTGCACGCTTGGTCTCAATGCAGTCCTGGAACTATCTTCTTTGTGCTTGAGGACATTTCACCGCGCGTGCATTCTTGCGTAGACGGTGGATTTTGAGTAGATGCTCGATGACGGCTAGAACTCGCCTTCGAATACATCCCAGAGTTCTTCAGTCACCGGCCAGTTGTGCCAGTGTCGTGGCCTTTTCTTAGCCGCCTCTGCCAGCGAAGGAAATCAAGAACCGATTGTGAGCATCGAAAATGGAAGTTTCTTCAGCCGGGATTTTTGTTTGTCGTAGGATACCCTGGTGATCAAGGTCTGGGGGGTATCTGTCTTGTTGTAATGCAATAGACAATTCACATATGACCAGAATTGTGGACGCATTACTCATTCAAGTGCTTCCTGGGGACACTTTCTCGCTGCTCTTGTGGATAGCAAAGGTTTGGTAACCGATTACCACTTGTCTTTGGGTAATTTTGCCTTTGTTTGACACCTCGAGGTCATCGCAAAAGTCTTTCGCGTCGAGTGCGACGTGGATAAATTCAAGCCACGATGCCTCTGGATATCTTCTGTGGGCAGGATCGGGTGTCGGGCAAAGCAGAACTGAAATGAAGAATATCGTGTCTCTCAGCTTGTGGAAATGAGAAGTGACATTGTCAGGTGGAACTCGGATTACTTGATGTTGAAGGTCAACTAGACCCGGCTCGTCTCCGTTGGATGCGTGGAACAATCACAGCAGTAAAGCTTTGCAAGGGGAAATGTGAGGCCACATAAGGTGCTCAGCGGTTGTGACACCAACACAACGAAGAAATAATGTGGAAGCCATAAGGGTGTGGGAGCTGTGGGCTGGGGAAGGATAGAAAGAAGAGAGTTTGGAAGAAGAGGTGTGGAAGGAGGATAGGATATAGAACGGGAAGCTCGCTTAAGAGGAGAGTATGAACTAAAAAGTCCGGATCTAGGACCAAATGTTAATAAAACCAAGGGTGAGTGAAGGGCTGAGAAATCATTCAAGATGTGATAGAGATGAATGATATGGATGAATTCTGAGCAAATATTCATTGAATTGATAATGAGAAGAGGTAGGTGATTCACTTACAGTGATATTCCCGCATAATAAGCTCAGTCATACTGAGGTGTATAGATGAGACATCACGTGCCGATGGCATTCAGAATGGTTCGTGAGATGTGCATGAGAGCCGATTGAGAAGAGCACGTGTTAAGAGCACGTGCTACAACCAAGGCAATCAATCTGATAATCGGCTATCTCCCTGCACCACGTGTTCAGGCAGATTCTCGGAGAGACAATAGAGCCAGAAGCGCTAGTAGAAGGAGTTTTGGGAAGGGCAGTCTGGCTGTCAATCAGCAGGTCATTACCTGACATCTGCCGTCAGATTATGAACCTTTCCAGGTAAAGCATAGCTGTTGTGGTGCCGCCCCTTGACGACCAAGGATGCGTTCCGGTGGATTAGGTAGTAGGAAAAAGTAAAGGCAAAAAGAAAATTTGGATGCATCATCCGTGAATCGAACACGGGCCTCATCGATGGCAACGATGAATTCTACCACTAGACCAATGATGCTAGTTGATGTAATCCCGGCGTCATTTTCAAAATATAAGTTTGAGAAAAGTTACATTCCCCTCGAAACCAGGCACAGTGGATATTGCCAACCATCTGCAATGCCCGGCTGTAGATTGCTCATAATGGCCATCGTTTTTTCTTCTTTTTCTTGGCCTTTACTTTTCCAAAGTGAGCCTCTATCGTATGCAGAGCTTTCCCCCAAAAGAATCACACACTAATTTCATCTTTAAATCCCCCTTTCCACCGGTCGCAGCACAGTTTCTGGCCTGACTTGATGACAATGATCCTGATATATATGCGGAACCCGACCGGTCATGGTCGATACTTTCGACATTATTCCATGGCATTTACATAGTCCACGCACTTGAAGCCAGATTATATCAATCAGCACCTCACTATCATCGGCAGTTATTAGTCAATTTTACCACCCGCGATCCATCAAGCATCCACAATCTGTACCCAGACAGGCGGCCAAACTGACCCCTCATATCTACATATCGGAACCTCGGCGAGCTCGGAATACGGCCCGCCCGCGCTTGGTCGTTACATCCCCACCTCCAGCGGTTATCGGCACGAGGAGGGTCGATCACATCACCAAGATGCAGGTCTGGTTGGGTACTGTACGTACATAAATAAAAAAGAACGCCGCCTGTCGCATCGCTCCCGCTACTCCTGCCCGGTTGTAGAACCCTCCCTTAGCACCATTGCGCAAATACAGAACGCATTGCACCGAAAATGTACTACGAACCCGGCGTGACCGAGCATAACCTCCCGCATGATCCCTTCAAGGTACAGTACATGCCCACCTCACCCCAATCCACCACCCCCATCATAGACCAGACCACCAACAACAGCACAGGCATGTGTAATCCCCCGCCCGATCGGCTGGATCTCCACGCAATCCCCGGACGGGCAAACCAGCAATCTGGCGCCGTACTCGCAATTCAACAACCTGACCTTCGACCCGCCGTACGTGATGTTCTCGTCCAACCAGACAGCCGCCGAAACCCGCAAGGACACGGTCGTCAACGCCGAGGCCACGGGCTCGTTCGTGTGGAACCTGGCCACCTACGACCTCCGCGAGGCCGTCAACATCTCCGCCGAGCAGTTCCCGTACGGGGTGAATGAGTTCGAGAAAGCCGGGGTCACCAAGGAGCCCGCCTCGCTGGTCAACGTGCCCATGGTCCGGGAGAGTCCCGTAAAGTTCGAGTGCAGGTACCACTCCACCATCCGGTTGCCGGGGAACCCGCCGATGGGGACGGTGGATGTCGTCATTGGACGGGTGGTGGCGGTGCATATCAAGGATGAGGTGCTCACAGACGGAATCCTGGATGTCAGGAAGACGAGGCCGATTGCCCGCTGCGGGTATTATCAGTATACGGTCATTGAGAATACGTTCGATATGGTGATTCCGGGGATGTCGGAGGATGTGCTGTATGGCTTAGAGGGGAATGCGAAGAGGAATCGCCTGAGGAATGAGAAAGGGGAGAATAAAGAAGAGGAGTAGATTGGTAGAGTTAATCCTTCTGAGTATCTAGATCTAAGGCATTGCTTGTTGGAGGTCAGCTTTTGCACCTTTTCTTGGATGAAGATTTCAGCCAGGTGGAACTGAATAGGTACCCTGATACTGCACGTTCATCAGACGACCACACAACTCAAACCTTGGCAGTCCATTTCCACCGCCACTCTAGCAGTGCCCATCTCGAGCATATCACATTGATCAGCCCGAAGACCAACACTGCCGCATAAAATCCAACTAATGTTTGCGGCGATGTTGCCTCCAGTAGCTGGCCGCCTACTGGAACAGTCAACAATGTCCCAAATGCTGCAACGCTGTACACCGTTCCATAAAATCGACCGTACTCCTCCGTCCGACACAACTGGCCTGCACACACCGGAGCCAGCGAGATCCAGCCGCCCGACCCGAACCCGAACACGGCGACGACTGCATACAACGTCGCTTCGCTCCGCGATCCGAACGGCACCCACACGGCCGTCATGACCACCAGCGTGAGGATCATCATCGCTAACAAAATATTAAATCTTCCCAGAAAGTCCGCTGCTAATCCCGGGAGCACCCGACCCAGTAAACTCATGCTGTTCAGGACTGTTAGTGTGTAAAATTGCTCTTGGGACGAGAAACCTGCATAGCGTGCATAGGTTGGAAGCAACGCTGCGCATCCGAAGATAATGAACTCAAAACTGAACACTGCAAGGGCCAGGAAACAGAGACGCGGGGACCGGAATGCGCGAAAGTTGATAGTGGCGCGAGTGGGGGTGCCAGTGTCGGGCAGCTGCCTGCCTCTGACAAGGAAGATTGCCAAAGTATAACAGCCGAGGGCAATGAAAGTGACAATCCGCAGAGACCATGCCCAGCCATATTTCTGGAGAGTACTGCGGAGCACGATCGGGAGGACCGCACCACCGGCGGACGAGCCGCCCATACAGATTCCCGTGACCAGGGCACGGCGACGTTCAAACCAGTGACTCAGCACGCTAATGGCGACAGTGGTGAGAATGGCCGAGGACATGCCGCCCAGAACGCTCAGGGCGAGCATAAAATGCCAGTATTTCGCACATTGGGCAACGAGGAGGTAGGAAGCGACGCTGCCAAGAGAGCCCACGGCGAGGAGAAGGCGAGGGCCATAGCGGTCGAAAACAGGGCCGACTTGAACGCCTAAGAAGAGCGTCAGGAAGACGAGGAGCGCGCTGATCCAGCCGATGTCCTCCACGCTGTAGCCGGATAACTGGTGGGTAGTAATATAGTCTTGCACCGTGCCGACTGGGGTCCGGTGAGAATCGATCCGTGACGCTAAAGCTCAAGATAGGAGTAGCATACCAGCAGTTTGAAAGCCGAAGGATGGGAACATAATGAAGACAGAACCCACCAGACAGCTCCATGCATTACAGCCGCCTTCGGGATACGTCAGGCTGATGGCTCTTGTGGCAACATCTTCAGAGGTATCGGATTCACGGTTGACGTCACAACGTTCAATGTCTCGATGCATCGTTGTCCAAGGAAGGAAGCCCCAAAAGATGTGTGCGAGCAGACTTGTTGAAGTTGTAGTCGAAGGAAAAAGAACAGAGCTGGTTCAGGACGTCGACTGAAGGGCATGTGAACACTGATATCGGAAGAATTGGGTAACCGCGGCCATTGCTGCATGTTGACGCTGATTCATAGATATGTGAAATGCTCTTCTAGACCAAGATTGTGTCTGGATATGTTCCCTGATTTTAGCTGACTGTATACCAACACCGGTAAGAAGGGCTGTAAGTTCTTCTCGGCTTCTATGCCCGCCATGAGTTGTATGTGCGTAAATCTGGCTTAGGCCTGGAACTGCGAATCAGTCACGACCTGACCTATCATAACAGCCCTCCGGCCAGAAAAGCCCAATAGTGGTTGGCTAAACCTTGATTTTTTCCAGGCGGCATGAAACAGGGCACGGTCAGGGGCGAAAAACAAGTCATTTGTTAAGATACGCTCCATGGTGGATATTTTAAGCTTATCACTAGGCATTGGGCGGCCGACATGAAGCTTCTGTCAGACTTACTCTACTTCCAACGTTGTCTTGGCTTCTGGACATGTACCTGTCGACTGAAACTTGTGTGTCTCAAGGTAACAAGCTCTATTCTGCCTCCGCTAGAGCTGGCACCAGGCCCCGTTTTTTTAAAGAGTGGACAGGCATCAATTCCGATCTCCCACTTTCAGAACGCCACATAATCATGACCTTGGGGGTTGGGAGTTTCTCAACGAACTCTCCAACATATGATACACACTTGTCAAGCATATAAACACTCTAGAATTAGAGGCCCTGCTGGTTTGACTGGTACACAAATCATCCATTGCAAAAGCTCGTACGCAATCTGCGCGACAGCCAAACCGGTAGTCTCGGCTCGGCTATCATAAGCAGGGGCAAACTCAACAATGTCGGCTCCGATAATCTTAATATCAGCATGTGAAAGCCCATTGAGTATCTGCAAACGCTCGTGGGTTGTCCAGCCTCCAGGCTCAATGGTTCCTGTCGCGGGCGCAAAGGCTTTACAAGTAAGTCAGCGAGACAATATTCAAATAAGAGCATATTACGCTGGGATTATACCTGGATCCGGAACACCTGTGTCAATGCTTATGTAAACGGGACGGTCTTGCACAGTATCTACCCCCTCTGAATAATGAACTCAATGCCAACTTCATCAATATGCCGAGTGCGAATCGCCGTGGATCCACAGCGGGCGTTGTTTTCTACATTATAATGCTTTTCGAACAACATGGAGCACGAGCTCAAGTGCATGATGCTGTGGTCCACGACAAGCCCTTTTTCATGTGCTAGATGTAGCATGCTTCTATGCGTCACCCCAGAGTACTTCGTGTAGCCACCCCAGTTGCTTGGGGTCCCATGTATCGAGGTGCGAATAGAAGTGTAGGAATGCCACCTTGTCCCAGGTATTGTGCAAGGCTCGTAGTGCTGGAAGTGCTGCAGGTCAAATTAGTGGATGTTCGAGAAGACAGACAAGCTCCACTTTTGTCCGAATATGTAAAGCCTTACTGATTGTATAACTTAGTCGCCACCAAGTGAGAGTAGTCGAACACGATCCCCCTTGTCGGTATTTCGTGGCTTTCTGAAGCCTATCTTAGCCCAGCCCGCCTCCAGCTTATGGATAGCTTGAAGCTTATCGAAAGGAGTGTTGGAGATATCGCCACAATCGACAACAGATGCCCAATCCTGAAATTTGTTGACGCCATGATCCATACCGGTGCCTTACATTAGCACAACTAGTTTGAAAAGAATCATGGGCAGGTACTTGCTTGCCTATACTCAAAGCCGGATTCCAGTCGTTGTGAGCTAGCCCTGGCCCCACTCGGGCCAAATATCTCGCCAGGTCGATAGGTAACTCCCAGGTCGAAAGGGGCACCAACAAAACCAATGTCAAAGGTCCCGTCGCTACTGGTGACAGAACAGTTGGTCAAATTTAGGTGCGCGAATGTGGCGACTCCGCTGTGGGGGGGCTAAAATCGTTCTCGAGATGCACCCCTTTCTGGCCCTCAGCCAGGGACTTTAACACGAATGTGGATAGTGTGTAGAGCATGGATGGATATTTTAGTTCCTTTTCATCTGCGCCAGTATTTCCGCTTCGGGATGCATTGCCGCTGACTCATTGCCGCAGCGTAGCTTGAAAAGTGGCCGCCTATTTTCTGAGGCAATTGAACCAACCTGCCAGCCCAGTGCAGTGGCACTTCCCATCCTTTCACAACATCGGCAGAATACCTACCGACGTGACAACATGTCGGCGATCTAACTGCAAGGAAATATTGCAACCAGGAATAGAGCGCCATGCATGAATTGCAAGAATTCAAAGCGCAAGGTGTGCTGAACTCATACTCCCTGATCATTGCGCGCAGTCGACATAACAAAAAGATGTTAATGCTAGTGTGACCGTGCCCGATCTTGCTGCTCTCGCTGCAAACATCGCAACCTTTCCTGCATCCCGTCTACTACCGCTCGATGGCGCATCGAAGGTATAGATTCAGCAAGTCAGCGCATCCGAGAAATTCCGGTTGTCAACTCTCATCCTAGAAGGGCCTCCGCAGCAGTATCGGGCCGTCTATATTAACTGAGGCATTAGAATCAATTGTCGAAGACCAAGCTGTTGAGCATCCTGCAACTCTAGCACCGCTCGAGGCGGATTCTGATTTCTTTCTAGGCCTGGATACTGGCCCTTCATTTCCGCAACTCGATGACCTAGTCCTGAACGCGCATATCTTACTTGATGATCTCGATGATTTGGTCCTGTGCCATTCGTCGCTTTCACATACTTTCACAAAAGACTCACAATCAAAAGACTCACTAATTGGCTCAATATCACAGGTAGCAGCGACGTCGTACCTGTGGCAAGAATTTGTTGATATCATCGCACCGAGCATCACCATCGACAACCAAACCCCCAACAACGAATTCACCAAGCACATCTGCTTCACGGCTACGGGCAAGCCAGGTCTCTTCTCTGCCGTCGTATTCCTAGCGTATTCCGTCCGAGTCAACTGGACGTCTCAGAAACCACCGTCATCGTCCATAGATGTCACGGATTTGACAACCACTGCCCTCACAATGGAGCAGCAGGCGGTCGCTTACATAGATGACACTATCTTCTTAGAAGAGAACACCCAACTTCCAGCTATGAAGAGCCCGAATCGCATTCGCAGCGTTGGCTGAGCACGCTCTCCTCGCTGATAACGCTGAAATCGACTTATATCGCGGCAGGCAACACGCACAGCCTGCGCTGCTGTCTCGAGCATGCCGTAAGGCTCGCGCGAGATGGTTTCACCACCGTCTCGCCTTCAGCGAACCCTTTCTCTTTCTCGTCCGCTGGCTGGGGTATATGCATAATGTGGCTTTACTGGATGAGACGGACTACTCCACCAATACCACCAAACTTCTACACCATTGCTGCCAGACAAGAGCATGGCGGTAGCAGCAGTAATGATGTGCTTTTATTTCATAATTTTAACACCTTCCTTAGCACATCACATTGTATGGCCGACCGTATCTATCGGCTAGGACAGGTACTGCACCACAGCACTACGGAAGATAGATTAGGCGGTTTGCACTCGGAATTCGAGGACGTGGAAGCGAGGATGCAAGTCCTGATTCGACGACTAAAGCACTAAAAGAAGAACAGTTACGAGCAGCTTTCCTCTCATCTGGATATCTATAACGAAGCTCTGGTGCATAGTGGTCAAGTGCCGGCGCAAGGACTCCAATTCGACCATTGTGCATTTCCGCTGTAGCTCAAGTGCTTGACGCGAGTGCTTCTGTCCCGGCCCATGCACCGGTGGCCAAGCTCATGCTTTCCCCGTTATTTGTTGCGGGATCTCACAGCAGCAGACCTCTCCATCATGATTTTGTTCGGCTTCGGTTATGTGTCTTAAGGAGCGGGGTGTGCATTGCAAACCTTGGTCCCTTGTTGAAGATTCTCGACGAACGCTGGCGGGGACAGAAGCAAATTGAAGACAGCCGGTCCATTGACTCGATCGAATACACCCCTGTATCAGTCTGTGTACTGTTTCGAGTAGTATAGCTACAAGCCAAAAAGGGAATCTATTTATACCCGGTCCTCAAATGGCACAGGAATGATCTTCCATGACGTCATATCAGAAAAGAAGGAGGTTCTGTCTTTGTCCACCGGTGATTCTCAGGCAACCGAATTTTGAGAGTATCAACGGTCGATCGTTCTTGGCGGGTTCTGTTTACTGTCTGCCTCGGTTTCGGGTTCGTATTCGGGTTCGTGTCTGTCTGACGAGGCTCAGTAGGAAACTCCGTAATGAACATCTTATGTCGGCAGGATTGAAGCAACGATTCCTACTGAATAGTCAATGCCCACTGGATGTTTCGAACTTTGTAGCCTGAAACTGAAAGCTTATGCTTAATTTGTGGTTCCTGGGCTTCAGTGGGCCCAGACTGAACTAGCTAGTCACAAGTGTGTACATAGAAAGCGGGCTCTGAGTGAAGGCCGACTTTTTGGAGGTCATTTTCAATATGTTTTGAGCAGATCATCCTTATTGATGTGACATAGTAGTGTGTGGTTCGACTCCATTATGTTGGCAGGTTGCGGTACAAGGTAGTGGCTCCAGAGATCCTGACTGCGTGGCGATTCGACAGACACCTCCTAGAAGAGTTTATCTTCTTCTAACCGCAGATCATCCGCTTCTCTTCCATCATCCTGAGACGCTGTGGGGCTGCCACCCGTGGTTGGTAGGGCTTCGAACTGCAACTCGAATCCGAACCCGAAGGCACCATATATGAGAACAGACCGACACATCTTTTGAGAGACACAATTGGCAGATTGAGAGGTGCCTAGTTTGTATATACACTGCAGAGAAAGTTATAAAAGGGACTGTTGCATCCTGGCTAGCTCTTGATAGAAACAAACAAGCCAGCAAATCTTTTCCCACCACCTACCTCGAGCCCTTCTTTCTACCGCAATGGTTCGACATTTACTGGCCTTGGCCCTCACTGGGGCGGCTTTAGCCAACAGCAGCAGCCCGTCGAACGCGTCGACCTCTCTGTGGCAGGGCAACTTTCACCTCACCAGCGAGGTTGCTTGTGCTTGTCAGCGGCTGAATCAAATCCACTCACCTGAGGTGTTGTCGCCTTCCTCTGCGAATTATACGGAGGAAAGAATCCGATTCTGGGACATCCGCTCCGATTTGTACCCTGCTTGCATCTTCCAGCCGAGTAATGCGGATGAAGTGGCGGAGGGAGTCAAGATCATTTCTACGTGCAATGCCCCCTTTGCCATTCGCGGTGGAGGTCACATGAACGTAAGTCCCGTGCATGACTGCTGGCCTGAGGCAGCAGGCTAATCTTCACATGCCATTGCAGTTCCCGGGGTCCAACAACATCGACGGCGGTGTTTTGATCACTTTGAACAAACTCCAGAAATACAAGGTTCATAATGATACCATCGAAGTGGGCCCTGGTATGAAATGGATTGATGTTGTCAGTGCTCTGGACCCCTATCACCGTGCTGTTATCGGAGGTCGTCTCAAGACCATCGGCGTGCCTGGTCTGACTTTGATCGGCGGGGTGCACTACTTCATCAACAAGTATGGTTTCGCTATGGACAATGTCGTGCGCTACGACGTGGTTTTGGGCAATGGCACGCAGGTGATTGCGGATAATTCCACAAACCGCGATCTCTTCTGGGCCCTCAAGGGCGGTGCCAACAACTTCGGCCTCGTCACTAAGTTCACCCTCAAGACATACCACATGCCCAATGTTAGCACCACCATTCAGACATTTGAGGAATCGGAAGTCTACGACTTCATCAAGGCCGCCGTGGCCTTGTCCCGCTTGGACGACCGCGATCCCATTGCTGCCGGCGGTATCCTCACCATTCAGCACAATGTGACCACCAAGGCGGTTTCAGCCTCGCTGATGGGTGTTCAAGAGGGTATCAGCAACCCTCCTTCACAATTTGCCAACTTCACCGCCATTGAAGGCCCGACTAAGGTACACAATGTCACCACAATACTTGAGTGGACGGAGGACAAGGATACCCCCAACCAGATGTTCAGGTATGATTACATGCATCGCCGAGGTTAGCCGGACCATAGTACCAGTACTGATCATCGAGTCTGCAGAATTGCCTTTTCCGCGCACTCGATTGTCCCTAATGCCAATCGACTGTATGAGATCTACCAGGCCTGGAAGGCGAGTGTAGAGACCCTGTCCGACGTCCAAGGCATCTACCCGACATTTGTGATTAATCTGTGCCCCACGGGTGCTGTCCGCGCTGGACGAAACACCGACGTCGGAAACACGTGGGATCTGGCCCTCGAGCCTACAGTCTGTGAGTCCTTACTACCCCGCCCGCATCAATTGGCAATGGAGACAACTGGCTAATCTTCGGTTTCTCAGGGTGGCAATTCAGCACCGGATGGGATCTAGCCCAGGACGATATCCGCATGACGTCCTGGTCCCGTGATCTGTCTGAGAGTCTGCATGAGCAGAACCGCCAACTGTCTCTGGCACGCGAGCACGTTTATATGGGCGATGCTGGCGAATGGCAGGATGCTTTTGCAACCTTCCCCAAGGAGAATATCAAGCGGATGAAAGAGATCCAGGCGGCGGTTGATCCCCAGGGCGTGTTCAGTCGCCTGAACTGGGGTGGTTTCAAGCTTTCTCCTTGAGAAACTACAGCTCTTTTGGCTCAGCGCTCCCTATTTCCCTTATTTTAATGCTATTCTGCTGCTGATTGGACAGGCTGTCTGTCGTGTATCGACTGTTGGTCCATTTGATTTCCTTGTGTGTTACCTACTGTGAGATAATTGTATTTTGACTCACGTGCGCGCGCTCTCCGGACTTTACCTTTCGATTCCACACTTCAATACTGCATAAGAACGAGACAGGGAATATCAATCATACGCATGCAGTGCATCCAGCTTATTTGTGTGGGTTGTGGGCACTCGGTTTCGGAGTCGTGTTCAGATGCCATCCGCGCTGCATCGAACGCCCAACCCTTCAAAGTCCTGCGATGGCCCTTGTGGAACAATCCCTGTCTACTTTACACTAGAAAGCTCACTGAATTTATCTTTTCATCAAATTTCAGATCGCTTAATGTTAAAGAGTTGATACAGGACCGCATCCTCTGCGACGAAAGCGCATACGCGCCTCTTGCACCACCCTGTCAACAGACTTCACATAGGGCAACAGGGATGTACCAGCACCGGAAAAACAAAATGTAAAACTGGAATGTAGGGCTACCGATTTCTTGGCAGTCAAGCTACCAGGCAGCATGGGTATCGAAGAGGAAGGAACGGAACGAGCTGCGGCTCTTGTTCGTTACTCTAGCCGCTTTGAATCCCAAGCCGCACTCGCAATTGCCTACCTTAGGGAGTTGACATAGGGCAACAAGGAAGTACCAGCACCGGGAAAACAGAGCTTGAAAGTGGAATGTAGGGCTACTGAGGTCTTGGCGCTCAAGCTCCTTAACACTGCTGGCTGCGGAGCTGTCATTCCATATGTGTACGTGGGATGCGCATCAACTCTTGATGACTGAGGGCATTCGGGGGGCGTTGATGGTGTACCAGAAGGTTCTCAGCTTTGAGGGAACACTTCCATAGCCAGCTATAATAGGCGGGCTCCTTTGATAATCGAACTTCAATTGGATCGGAGTTGAAAGATTCTTATCACTGCTTGAATCACAGGCTTCACTAACATTGTCTGGGGGGTCTGCATGGGGCAACAGGGAAGTATCAGCATCAGAAAACCAGGATATGAAAGTAAAATATAGGGCTACCGACTCTGTAGCGGCTAGGTACTCAATACTGCTTGAGCTTGAAGCTGGACATGCACTTTCCCGGGCCCTTACATAGGATAAGGGAGAGGTACCAGCCCCGAAAAACCAGAAGTTGAAAGTGGAATGTAGGGCTACTTAAGTCTTGGCAAGTAGACTTTCTAGTACTACTTACTTTCCAAGCTGTACTTACATTGCTAGAGACTTTATATAAGGCAGCAGGAAAGTACCAGCGCCAGAAAAACAGAACTCGAAAGTGGAATGTAGGGCTACTCAAGTCTTGGCAGCTAAGCTCCCTAACACTACTTCCCAAGCTGCACTTACATTGCTAGGGACCTTACATAAGGCAACAGGGAAGTACCAGCACCAGAAAAGCAGA